ATCGGAGCTGTAGTCTTAATTCTTGTCAACATGGTTCTTAGGAGATTATCTCAAGGGGAAAGGTGGCGAATAATAGGCATGCTTAATGCCGGAATATCCTGCTAGGCTGTTGAACGCAAACTCGCCATGTCCACCGGCTGTTAGCAGCTTGGTGCAGATACATCATCTAACTATTGAAGCGAGGTACAGTCCATGGTTGAAGGTCTCGAGTGACGTGAGTGCTCCAAGACAAGCACCTGTCAAAAATGGTAATGGTTATCGGTGACCATGAACTATTACAACTTCAATGCAAATAAATCTGCTTGATACTTACTACCACTATATATTTCATGGGTGTTTGGTTGGAATGTTCCATGAAAAATGTATTGAACAGCAAATTGAAAGGCATATTTCATTAAAAATAACTAAAACATGAAAATAATTATACATCAAATTTCATTATTCTGAAGTTAAAACAATCGATAACACCCTTTACGGCATGTGTTCGAGTACAAGATGGATGTTCATTTGAACTCGTCATACTCAACAAGCTAACCCCACTCTTAGTATCATTCCAGTAGTATCACCACCAGAAATGGACTTGTGCTGAATCGAACCCGGCTCTTCAGCGTGACGGGCGGACGCTTTATCCATTAGGCTACCCTACTGCCCCTGAAACCTCCACTGAAACCATCGGTCCCCAATTGCGCAGGGGGGCTGATTTATGAAAAGTAATATATGGTGTAAGATTTGATATTGAAACCACTGTAGTTCAGTCACTTTCGTGCAACTAAATGGGATAGAATTGATACACTTCCTATTTTGTTTGTTAATATCATGTCCAAGGACTTACCCCCTTTTAGCGAAGTGGTTCTTTCTCTCGTATATGTTTTTAATAAGTATTTTGTAGTAATACTGTGAACCTTTCTTTTTGTTTGTTCAGATGGTATATATGGAATGGTAAAAGAGGAGATTGTAGGAAAGTGTTTAATTTTGGTAATCGTTGGCTCTACAAAATTGTTTTACAGCTTGAACAACACCTGTGTAGGTTAAAAAGTTAGTTTTCACGTGGAAAACAGTTTAGAAGGTTTCGAATGGCATGAATTGTCCTTTCTTATCTACAAGATCGTTGATGAAACGTACCTCATTTACAAACCAATCTTTGTAAAATATGCTGGTATTTCCTATTTTTATACCAAATATATTGTGCTAAAATGCCCTTATCATTTATTCTCTCCACGTGGATGTTATCTATAAAGTTCCACCAGGTCTTCATAAGGTCTTTGTAGTATGCATTTCGTATCCAACTAGTCATTTGTAATCTTAGTTTCTTACAGGTAATTTCAAAAGCATTATAAGGCCCAGAACGAGGTATATTTAAGAAGAATAATGGGCACCACTTTGACGTTGATTTTGATGCTCGTCGTACCATTGCTATTTTTTGTGCATGGATTATTTCTAGTATTTGGGGGCATTTTATACCTCAATCTGATGTTTCACAAATAATCTGGCTTCTCCTTACTTTATCGGGTTTATTTCCCCAAATGAACGCGAAACACTTTTTTTTAAAATCGTTTAAGCCTACTATCTGGTGGATCTGGAAGAGATGAGAATAGATGGTTGCATTTGGGAAGAATAATTGATTTAAGTATGGTGTTTCTCCCAAGGGGTGTCAAATTTCTTGAAGTCCATGTACACGTGATGTTTTCGCATTTTCTAAATGTATTGTCAACGTTCAAGTCAATCATTTCGTCCAGATCAGTACTAAATTTTATTCCAAGTAGATCAAACGGATCTTGTCTCCAATCCAGGTTCCATTCTTGGCATAGTTTAATTCTAGAACGTTTTTATTTTTATCCTATCCAAAATATCCTGGTTTTATCTATATTTACGTTTAACCCAGAAAATCTCGCATAAAAACTAAGAACCTGTATTACAGCGTAGAGGCATCGCTACGAGGGATCAAGAGAACAAGTTGTATCGTCTGCAAATTGTGAGAGTAAATATTCCATGCTACGAATCTTAATACCTTTTATGTTATTATTGTTTCTTATCATTATTGCTATTATTTCAGCACATAGTATAAAGATGTAAGGGGATAAGGGATCACCTTGTCTACAACCACTAAATATTTTGAAATGGGGGGGATCCAAAGCCATCAACAATTACACGATTGAATTTCGTTGTAAAATGTTTTTATCCATCTTCTTAGTAAAGTACCAAAACCAAAAAAGTTTAGTGTCTCGTCTATAAATCCCCAATCAACTGTATCGAATGCCTTTTCAAAATCTACAAGTATATTAAACCTGGTATTTGGTAGGTGTCTGTGTAGTCCAGCAAGTCATATATTTGTTGTTATTTCACCTATGTATCTTGCAGCCATAAATCCTTTTTGGTCTTCATTAATCAATGAATTTAACACGGTTTTTACCCTTTGTGATATTGCTATCAGTGCGATTTTATAGAGCACGGATGTTAGGTTAAGCTTATTGGTCGCCAGTTTTTCAAGTATTGTTTTGGTTTATTTCCTTTGGAAGTAGCGTTATTAGTCCCTGTCTTTGTGATATTGATAACTGTCCATTTTTGTAAGCGCTATTTAACGACTTTAGAAGATATTTCCCAAAATTGTTCCAGAAAGATCTGATAAACGACGGCGTAAAACCATCTGGCCCAGGACTCTTATCATTTTTTAAGTGCTTCACAGCTTCCTGCATTTCATTGTAGGTCAGTTTACCTTCTAACCTCTGGGCTATTTCATTTGATATTTTAGGAGTATCGTATTCTTTTAGTAGCGATCTAAGGTCTATGTTTAAAATGTCATGTTTTGAGTATAGTTTCGAGTAATACGATTTTACTTCTCTTAATATATCATCTTGTGATTCAACCATTCTACCATCTTCCTGTTCTATTCTGTTTATGGATATATTTAAACAGTTTCTTGATTCTAAACTTAAGAAATACTTTATTGGTTTTTCTCCTTGTTCCATCCATTGTGGTTTTGCCCGTACCATTAAGCCTTTTGTTCTGTTTTATGATTTCTTCTAATTCTGCATTAACTATTTTAATCTCTGATAGAATTTCCTCTTTTGCTGATGGTTCATCCAATTCATCTAATTGTTTTGTGAGGGTTAGTGTTTCTTCAATTTCCCTTTCCCGTTTACATTCTTGTTTCTTTTTGTAGGATGAATACTGTATAGTCTTACCTCTTATCGCAAGAAGCAGTGTTTGCCAAAATAGTTGGTTGTCTATAATAAATTCGGTTTCTGTGTTAGTAACATTTTTAGATTGTTGTTTTGCTTCTTCAATGGTAGTTTTAATGAGTGTTACATACGTTTCGTCTTTTAGTAGAGAATTATTGAATTTCCAAAAGCCCTTTCCTCGTTTAAGATCTGTAAGTTTAAACGTCAGTGATATTGGAGAGAGGTCTGATCTAAAGCTAGGTCCTTCATAATTTATGATTTATCAGGCATGAGCTTCACTTCTTTCGTTTGCTGTTCAGTATATATCACCCCTCAACAGTATATTTCTTTTCTTGCGATAAGGGACTGTTCATGTTCATGTGCTAAACATTAGTCTAGAATCTGTTGTTGTTTAACACCGCACTCAGCAATATTCCAGCTGTATGATGGTGTTTTTGTAAATAATCAAGTCTGGACCAGACAATCCAGTGATCAACAGCATGAGCATCAATCCATGCAGTTGGCATATGATGACATGTGTAAAACAAGTCAGCGAGCCTGACCACCCAATCCCATTAATCGCCACTTACGACAAGCATACTCTGCATAGGTTACTGAAGACTAATTCTAACACCGGATCGTCATGGGGAGACAAACATGGGTTCCTAAAGACCAATTTTAACCTGCATCTTCAAGGAATCAGGGTAAAGAAAGGTCCCAAGGTGCTGACAGGTGATTACCGATTATGACAGAACTGAAACAACACCATCATCATCCCTACAACATTCACTCACTGCTTGAGGCACACAAGTTGATTTCTACAGACAATAGACCCAAATCATCTGCTGGAAGTGTATTAACATGTCAGTTCAGGCCTGATTTGACGTGAAAGCAGAACCTTCATCATTGGTCGTCTACTGCGCGGCAGCTGAGAAAATGATTATTATGCTCAATCACCTGTTGACCATGGTAATAATGAGTGAGTGAGTGAGTGAGCTAGCTAGTCGAGTTATACAACACTTTTAGCAATATTCCAGCACTATCAGGACGGGGACAGAGAAATAGGCTTCACAAATTGTAGCCATGGCCTTCGGAGGGACGAGTGCTGTAATCACAAGGCTACCTACCCCACGGTGCTGGCAGTAATGAAACATCATCAGCATGTGGACTCTGAGCATTATCCATATTGATTTTCTAAATGTATATATCATTGTAAAGATAATGTTATCTTATAATATATATTGTGTCAGACGTAAGGGTACTAATGAGTACTGTTTACGCAGTGGAATTACTAACATAATTTGTGAACGTGAAACGTGAAAAAATGTGCTTAACTAAGTGGTAAATATGCAACGTTCTTGCCATGTGCTCCGACCACCAAACTAAATACGTGTATGATACTTTGCCACTCCGACCACCAAACTAAATATGATACGTTTTCTAAACTACATGAACTAAATAAGCTATCTGATAAGATACACAACTATAATACTAAATTGTTTAGTATCTATACTATGCCCGAATATGGCAAACTATTTGTGTAATCTACGACCAGTATGAGTCTCACTGATCAAAATTGTCGACCATACACCAAGCCGTCAGAAACCTATGTGCTCGACCCTGCACATGCAGAAAGTGACTGCACGAGGCGTTACGGTTGCGTTTTGATGCAACGTTCATGGTTCTTGTAAAGATGTGTTTTGGCTATCAGATAACAAGAAAACAAAGAAACTAACTTTCTCTCCAGAACAAGTACTGAAACTGATTCCAGCACAAATGTACAGTACATGTCACTTTCCTTCATCATAGTCACTTCAACACGCTTCAAACATTACTCAAACATTTCAAACAATTTTAATTTAATATCACCTGTTTCATTATACATAAAAGAAGTTTATTCATATCAGACATCAAACAAAATGTGTTTAACATTCTACAAATTATCAGTGATAGTAAATTCCTTCATGATAACATTATTAACAAATCTTAAAACGACATATGTTTTTTCTTTAACTTCTTTTTCTTTTTCCGTACTAGCAGCTCATCATCATCATGCACCATCTGCACAGTAGTGTCCCTCTTCCTCTTCTTAGACACAGACTCTGAAAGCGACCTATCACTCGTACTGGCGTCCATCTTTTTCACACTCAGTCTGCTTGTCGAGGGTTCACTCTCCACAACATAGGAGTCATCACTCTTTGATCTATGTCTTGACTTATGCGATGCTTTGTCTCGGGACACATCAAGTTCCTCTTCCGAGGAGGAGGATGCCTCACTCTTTCTCTTCTTCTTCTGTTTTTTCTTCTTCCTCCCAGCTGGAGATGGCGTTGTAAGTCTGCCTGCAGCTTTTGTCACCTCGTTCTGTAATGCCATCATTACCTCCAATAAATCTTTCTGACTATTCTTTTTCTTTTTGGTCTTCGACTGCATCTGCGATAATATTTCCCCTAAACCAGATGCAAGACCAGTGAGAACATTCTCCTGACCCGATGATTCACCTTCCAACACAGATACACTCTCATTGTGGGTATTCTTCTTCTTGCTGTGTGATTCTTTTCCAAGTAAATTTGGTTTTGGCTTAATTTTTGTGGCAGGTGATTCTACATCACCAGAAACGTCATCCTCTGCTTTTTTCTTCTTTTTCTTCTTCTTCTTCCTCTCTGTTCGAGACTGCTCACTTTCCTCACAAAACAAGACAGAATTGTCCAGGAATGAACTATCACCAAAATCGGACGTACCTTCTCCTGAAATTTCAGAGATTTCATGTACACTCTCCTTCCTTTTCTTCTTCTTCTTCCTCTTCTTCTCTGTCTCTGACTGTCCACTAACATTATCAAAACCAGAACTATTCTCATAGGAACTATCCACAAGATATGACGTATCTTCACCAGATATTTCTGAGATGTCAAAGCGAATTCCTTTTCTTCTTTTTCTTCTTTGACTTTTCAAAAGAAGCAACAACTACTGGATCGAAGCGAACCTTTTTAACCAACACACTTTCATTAACTGGGTCTGAGTAATTCAGCTTTCTCTTCTTTACAGAAACTGGAGTTAATGGCTCAAGTTCACTCTGAACCAAGGACTTTACTTGTACATTTTTACGAACATCATGGGAATCTTCTTTATGCACATCTTTTGTCTTCCTTTTTTTAGACTTTGGCAGACATACTTCCTTCTCAGAAATAACATCAACTAAATGAAAAACATTTCCATCAACCTTGTCATTCTCTCCAGATCCTGAACTTGTTCTTCCTCGCTTCTGAGACAAAATATGTTCTTTATCAAGAGTTATCTCCCCTTCTGAGTCTACAAGAAAGTCATCTTTCCTTGGAGAAGAATAATTTTTCGTTCCTGTGCATGGTGAGTTGCCATTGTTTTGAAGGGATTTCAGGTATTCTTCAATGATACTGGAAAAAAGAGATTCCAATACTGTAACATTGTTATAGACCTAACACTATATATAGACTCAGAGAGACATGCAAACAGAGAGGTGGCAGTATAAAGAACCTTACCCCATATCAACCCGAGTCACACTGATCAGACTGAGGAAGAAGTCCACAAATTGGTTATATAGGTCAGGGTTGATATGGGGTATAATATACTAGTAAGTTGTTCACTGGTCTCAAGGGGGACATGGGCTGATGTACCCTCAATGTTTGTTTATGTTCCCTGAGCCCGAAGGGGCAAGGGCAAGGGGAACATAAAGAAACATCGAGGGTACATCAACCCATGGGCCCCGAGGGACCAGTGAAAACTTATTTATCTTACTGAACACCTCAATGGTAAGTTTGAACTGTTTGAAGCATGGGTATCGGATCTTAGTATGGAGTACCAGACGACAAGCAAAACAAATTTAGAGTTATCTCCCTTTCGTCGATTTGTATTCGCAAAATATCGGTAATTTCCTTACATCATACGTGATTCAATGTTATTCGAGATAAAGAATTATTACTACAAAGTACCAAATGAGTTCGGCATTCCCAGCGGGGTACTTAGAAAATGTTACTCGCTTGTAAGCGGGGTACATTGAAATAATAGAAGAGCACTCAGCCAATCAGAAAACAACATTTATGTGTAAGGCAAGATAATATAAAATATGCCATATAATATCCATTTTATAACAAACCATCAAAATGTGCAATGTATTTCTTTGTAAGTGAATGCAACATATTTTCACCCTATTTGGAAGACAATGTCATGCAAGCCATGGCAACAATGCATTAAAGGATTTAACTCAAAATTCTTACAACCTAAGCTGTTATCATTTGCCCATTTTGAAATGCATACACAAGCCATATCAGGAAACGCTCTAGTTATTACGCCTCGTGATATAACACTTACAGAGCAATAGTTCCAACATATTGCTTGTACTTGAACTGAAATTTAGTACACAGAGTAGGTGTATAACAATTTATTTGATTTATAAACATCAGTTACTTAAGGCACATTGAGCTAAATCTAACTGTATACATACTTCTGATCCACTAACTTCCCCTTAAGGGAGATAACTGCGTTGTTGGAGAAGATATCTTCCACTTGGAATGGAAACTCCTCCCCTGGTCGAAGCATGGACCCACGCCAGCCATTCAGGTGGATTCGAGGTCGATGGATTGATGCATTGAAACGATCATGAACCAGGCATCCAACATGATCTTTGCTCATCTTGTTTACTGTACCCTGAAGAATACCACAATAAGTGTTACCATGGAAACAAAATTCCCTTGCATATAATCTCATTTTAAAAAATCATATGTCCTATGCGTAATAATAAACAAAATGTGATTCTTTTAAATACTGCATCCCTTTGAGGTTGTGCACATTATGATTGTGTGCACACAACACTCAACAAAATAAAGAAAAAACGTTCAGGCAAAAGCTACAACAACACTTGATTCTCAGTCTTGATCCTCGGTGCTGTGGGATGATTTATCAATCTTGACCAGATACTTTATAAAGCAGATATTAATTAGTTCATGCATGTGCCACAAACATTAAAGTGCATATTTTGCAGACTCCAACTTCAGACATAAATTGACTACGAGAAAAGAGAACAATGGGACAATGGTTCATCCAAACCAGGTTTCCCATTGTACATTAGAGAGAATATCTTGCAGCTATCACAACAAGGCCTTTTCCTCGTTTTCAGATTCATCAAGTGATTAATCATGTTAATATGTGATGGTTATCAATGGGCATTGTTTGCAATTACGTAAAACATGCACTAGGTTTAACAATATGTTATGTTTGGGATTTTTTTCAGTAAAGTAAAGATTCTAGTACTTTTGTTAGGTTGAGTCCCATCCTGGATTCGAACCCACACCCGTGGAAGTCGCGTTGGCAGAGCGGGTTAGGCAGCTGATTTTGTGTGCTGGCAATTGGGTGCCTGACTCTGAGGGTGTGGGTTCGAATCCCAGATGGGACTCAACCCAACAAAAGTACTAGAATCTGTACTTAACTGAGAAAGTGTAATCCCAAACATAACATATGTTACATTTGACCACTTTCTAAATGGCACTGTGTATTCATGCACTAGGTTTGACTGTATTAACATAGAACTAGAAGAGAGAGATTAGCAGAGAGACATATGCTACCTTGAGAAGACATCCCAGGGTAGGTTTGAAGAGGATGTAGTCAGCTTGTACTCTGAGATGAAGGAAAGGCAAGTCATCCATAATATTCCCAACAGAACTAAGCAATTTGATGTTGTCATAACCTATGACTACACTCTGCAAACTGAAAAAAGTAATGACATAATTATAATGAGATTAAACAAAACTTTCAAAAAATTTATACATGTTATTTAATAATTTATACAGGCATGGGTAGGTTGAGGAGAAATATTACAAACTACTTTTAATGATTAATATTTACCTATCCTTATGAGCTTGATAAGAAAGCATTAAGGTCTGCACAAGTTTCAAATTCTCACCATTACACTGACAAGACACTTGGGTTGTGATAGAATATACTTCCCTATTAATAACTGCTTTATCCATAAATTAAGAACTGAACAGGCTTGTCTGTTGTTTATGCAGCAATTAACTATCCCAGCGATGACATTGATTATTTCATAATCCTGAGAGTCTAGCCTGTAATCTCACTAGGTAAAACGGCTCTTAAGTAGAAATACGGTAAGAGTTCCTCCCGTTCCCCATCTCCAAATAATATTTATAAATTAATATATACTAAAATTATTAACAAAACCTATCACAACAATTACTAGAGAACTCACAAAAGTAACTAAAAGACCCAAAATTAATAACAATATGTAGGGTCGAACCAAGTTGTTTTACCTCTGTTAATCTGCGGAAGAAAGAAGTGGGGGAACGAAAGGAACTCTTTCCGGCAAATGTCAAATAAATGAAAATGAAGCCTTATAGCATAAATGGACATAAAGTTCAACTGATAGCACATTCTCGCTTACTCTGTGCAAAACAAGTTGATTTCAGAGTCCAGCTGATCTCGAATTCCTTGAGATATGTTTCCTAAGTATCGCGGGGGCAGGCAAATCTGTCTGGAACTTGTCATTGCCTTGAATCCAGAAAATGGATCTTTGAGAATGTCTGTAGCTGACACATATGATATACTTGACATGCTGACATAGACATAGAGCTTTCAGCACGTAAACATGACTACACGTGGTACTCAGATATCAGGAGGCGGCCATCATGGAAAAAGTGACCTTGACCTTTAAGTCATTCTTTAGAAAATATTTTGTTCAATGTGTTTAATGTGTTGGTATCATATTTAGACGATTAGATGATTTTAGATGTTTATATTGAATTATCCATAATTCATTTTTATATGTCGTTTTTGTCTATTTTCTATTACCTCCCTTTGCGTAAAGTTCTTTAATAGATGGCGCTTGTTTGTGCTAGATTCTGTAAGTCATATTAAAAACGAGATGTTTAAAACGTCCCTATAGACGTAACATGGCAATTGCAATGTCCTAAAGTCATACATAGATATAAGGTTGGATCAAATATTCCTTTAAATCGTATTTAAGACGATTAGGTATAAATAATGGTGTAAGAGTAATAACAATAGACAAAAATGTAATATTAGTCTTAAGGAAAATATTCAGCTATATCGACCAATCCTGAATTTGTTCTGTTCAGTTTTCAAAATGGACTGAAGAAGTATGATAAGATATTGTCAGTTGTTTACTTGACGTTATTTACTTACAAAAGGTAATTTAGATCGCTTCTTTGTAAGGTTTGGGCTGTATTGATGACGAAGATGAAGTGTCTTATAACATGCTGTCATCCCAGTTGGAGAGAAATCACCCTGAAAAAGATGCGTGATTCATTCAACAGGGCATATTAATTTCACAAATTATGTCTGATATGTTGTACGTATGTCAAAGTTATGTCATGGAACATAATATAATATCGGTTGTAAGCTATTAACATACTCATAGTGCCACACAAGCAAGTGATCTTTTTAACAATTATTCAGTCTTCGCATTCATGGCCGCGCGACGCTGTTCAGAGCATTACTAATCAGTCTATAATCCTTGATTTCCGAGACACTGAAGGAGACGTGCTCAGATCATTTGACAGATTGCCCACATGCATTTATGATTATTATGATCATGTCAGTAGCATTTTGAAACTAACATCTGTGCTCTGGAAATCCTATTTCTTACATAAACGAGAAACGTCAACACGTTCAAATGTCATTCTTGCTGTCAACGAGGTCACAGTGACTTCATGACTGTCTAAGCTCAGCTCCTCTAACTTGTCTGAGTCTTGTCATCAGCTTAAAAAAGCAGGAGTCAAATCAGCCCCCAGTTTGTCAAAGTTCGGTCTAAAGTAATGGCATAAGAGATTATTATGTGAAAGTACCTACCAGGTATGTACCTCCATAAGGTATGTAAAGGTCATGGGTAAGAGTTCTCTTTGGGATGCTGTTTGCCAGTGTGTACTACACAAATGAATGGTTTTAACTATCAGCATGCATGGGCCATTCAGTGTTGTGATATCCCGTAAGCAGTTTATGCTTTTATGCACCCTCTACGGTAAAGTGGTAAATTCTGGACATGCTGAAAGACATCCAACTTTTATAAATGCCTCTCATAGAAATATTTCCTCATCGGTATAATTTAGGGGGGATACGGGCGGAAGTCTCACCGCAAGATGACCTCTTTGAAGTGTGAATTCATGGTATCATATGTGTAATATAGTATGAAATGGAGACATGTTTTTAGTCAATAGGAGAGTCTTTATGAAAGCGTTTACCAGTGTCTTCCTATGTTTCTTTCCATGTTCACGATTCCCTACATGGGTACAATGTGTGAAGCCCTTTTCTGGTGTCCCCCATCATGATATTGCTGGAATATTGCTAAAAATGACGTTCAACTTAAACCATACACACTCATTCACTCACTTTCTATGTTGAGGATGTCAGCTATGAAACATGATTATCAGTAATTATTATGAGCTTAAACAAACTCAGCATGACATAACATGTTAGAAAAGATTGATGGACCACGCTAATCTGCCAATTTGATCCAAATTTGTGTAATCTGATGCACTGGTCCTTCATTAAATTTTATTGTAACGTACTTGCTAAATATCCTTGGCAGTGTTTGACATAGCCAAAGTATTGCAAAGAAACTATACAGTCTATAAGTTAAAATGGTACCCAAAAATAGCTTAGAATTACTTTCACTGTTAAGCCCTTAAAGGTAATGGAAGTGGGAAACATCCGCTTATGAAATTCACAAGAAGTATATATATATATATATGTTTATGTACACAGGGTTTTACTAGATGCCATATATTGCTTTCTGTACTGACAGGAATTGAAAAAAGATGCAAATTATATCAACTGCAAGCTCTATTAGACAACACAATAATAAGCATAAGTCCCACTGTTTCTATTTGATGTTGAAACAGTCCCCGGAGGACCTCCATTTTAATACTGGAGACCCTCAAATTCATAGATCCCCAGGTGTATACACAATGATAAAGCCATGTGTACATGGTGTTGGGCCTATGTTGCTATCCAGTATGTGCTGAACCTACCAAACTCTTTCACTTTCCAGTGATCCAATATGGGGGATGATTCAGAATGGATGAAACTGCCCACAGAGGAAAAGTGCACACACAAGGTAAGAACAATTTTGTCATTTTGATTGTGTTAATAGATCTATGTATAGTATTTACAAAACTAAAAGGTTTGGTTTAGGTGGATATTTATCAAACATCTAAAATCATCTATAACATTTGTGCACTGATGTGAAACTGTCATATATGTCGGATTCATTGTTCATTATCCAACAGTGAGCAAAAGAAAGTCAGTTGGAAAGAGCAATAATTGTATTTTGTAGCCTTTTGAGGGCCAAAGAATTTACCTTTGTGTTTTTGCCAACTTGTCCATTGCATCATGTTTTTGATGATGAGTGAGTGAGTTTAGTTTTACGCCACTATTCCAGGTGGCGGCGGTCTGTAAATAATGCATTTGATTATGAGTACACATCAATCAACCACATACACACACGTACATGTCATGTACAAAATCAATGATCAGGGTGCCTTGGCACAAATGATCTTGGTATTAAGGTGATTGTAACTCCCATACTTTAACATAGACGTATGACAATCCTATCACTGTGTTGTACATCCGCACCCTTGTATAAAACAGGTTAGAAGCTGTCCTTGGTAACCCTTGACTTTTGTAGGTGGCAATAGTTAGAATTGGTTGAAACATTGTATGAATTCTGTCATTTGTCCAGGTATGGAAGGCCCGTGTAGCAGGTTATGAAGAATCTGGCAAACTATTCCAGCGTATTGATGATGAAAAGAGTCCTGAATTCAACAAGTATGCTGGTTTGATGAAGAAAGTTTGTGACTGACAGCAATGCTGTGGCTCAAGAGAAAGCTCTGGATGCGGTTCTCCATTTTGTGGAGAATGCGCATGTTGCTGCAAGGTATATCTGTTGACATTTCAATATTTGCGTGTCTTATGTTGGCATCAGATTTGTTCAAATCATGGGGAGTTTACTGTGTTTTTGATGAAACAGTTGAAAAACGTTCTGGCATGACATAATTCCACATTCTCACCAGAGGGACTACAGATCTCAGAATTGAGACTTTGTATCCAGTAAATGTAACTTGAAAATAGTACATTCATGCTTTCAGATTTGGAAATATTGTTTTAATTTGGTTACTTATTTCATATTTGTTAATACCTCAGACCTGAACTGCTGACTACATATGGCGATGAGCTACAATGCTGTGACACTATTAATGTTTAAAAACTGACAGATCTGAAGTTATTATGGTCTGTCCTTCAGAGGTACAGATAAGCTGCGTATCTGCGTAAATTACGCAAATATTTATGTGAAAACTCAATTCTTATTAGGTCTATTGCGTACAAGTACGCTTGAATTTTGGTAAATACTCAATAAATGTCATCTTACGTGCGTGCACACGAAAATGTCAAATGTTAGCTTGCGTACCGGTGGATAGATAAAAATAACTGAGGTATACTGAGAGGTTCTATTTCAGGACATGAACTTGACAACTTGAAGTCTTTCTTATCGTTTCTCATATTACAGATCAAATATACATAACAAACACTAACATTTAAACTTTTTTATATTTTTAAAATTAACGGAAAAAGGCAAAATTACCAATTCAGTTTGAGAGAGCTGAGTACAATTTATTTGGTTACTCAAAGGAAAATTAGGATACCCAATTGACATGATTGAGATGATCACAAGCGTGTACATAAATCAATGACCCAAAAAGTTATCTGTAGCTCTGGTGCTTAATGGTGGATTCTCCTAATGAAACTGACTTGTGACGTTGTCGCTTGGACTATTTTTGAATAATGGAATTATGTTGGCATATATTGGAATGGAAAGTCCCATGCTAGCTTCTCTCGGACAAATCGCTCAACCAAAGTCTTTCATAGATGATCTCAAAGAGAATGTCTGAAAATATTATGATCAAAATGTCAGTATGGCCACCATGGTGTGTCTTACTCAGAAATTATTTGGGGTTTGTGTGTTTGATTTTAACATTTGGTTTTGGCGATGTCCCATTTGCTTGATCAATATTAAAACCTAACAGCAGTGTTGTCAGAGAGGAAAGGTTTTTGTAATAGACATGTTGTATGTTGATGATGCAGGACAACAGCAGATGTAGTGAGTGGTGTGATTACAAAATGCCTGAATGCCAGCAAGACAAAGACGAAAGAAAAAGGCATGGAGATCATCATGATGTACATCGAGATAGAGAAACCAGATGTTGTTCAGGTAATGTGGCAATCACTGCACCACAGTTACAGCAGCAGTAGTTCTGTCTTCCAGCAGTCAAGTCTGACACATCCATCATTAACTAATGCTTGTTGTAACTAATGTAAGTGACAACTATCATGATCGGATGGTCAGACCTGCTGACTTGGTTGGCACACGTCATCGTGTCCCAGTTTGAGTGCTGCAGCCAGACGGCGTTATTGCAGGATTCCCACTAATTGTACTTACCTTGGCGCTTTATTTATAAATATATGTGCCAGCAAACAAACAGGATAAGTATAAAATATCAATTTTAATAAAAAATACATATTTATAACACGTTTTTAACGTAAGTTTTAAATACACATTACCCTTGAGAAAGTGGTCAGATGTAACAAATGTTATATTTTGGGATTACACAGAGGGGAACACAATGTAGGTGATGTAGATCAGTGTTCAGGTTTCAATGTTCTGTGGAAGCCTTAATGGCTAAGTGGGTTTGATCACTGACTTTGTGTGATAGCAATTTGGTGACTCAGTCTGCGGTTTTGAATCCAAGATTTGATTCAACATCACAGAATTTGTACCTTACTAAGAAAGTGTAATCCCAAGTTAAACATCTGACCAGTGCATCTACATGAGTTCAGTTGAGGCTTTCTTCCTATATAAGGCTTACACAGGGAGATATAATCATGAATTGGAATACTGTAAACACCAACTTACTGATCATCATGATGTGTATTCTTTGTGTTATTTCAGGAACAACTTCTTGCAGGTCTAGAAAACAAACAACCAAAATAGTTGTTGGTTGCATTCAAGCTTTAACAATTGCCCTCAGGTAAGTAGATCAGAGTGTGCATATTTGTATTTAAAGAATGGCTCTTGTGACAAGGTATATAGTTTTCAGGGTTCTCAGTCTGTAATATTTTAGTCTGGAGACAGTGATGATAATTAACTAAAAGATTGATTTTCAAGCCATGTTTCAAACAATGTCTTTATGAAACTTCTGTGAATAAATGCATATGTTTTGTTTTTGCCATTACACCTCATTCGAAGAAATGTTGTTTGATACAGAATTACTCTTAACACCCTATAATACTTAAAATTGTAATTCATCCATCTTTCCCCAAATCATCCTACGCTGACATAATACACCCTGTGCCAGAGAATTCTTCACAGTTCTAGCCTATAATTGGTCATCTTTTACAACTTGAATCAGATCAACCTGAAGAATCTTAACAATGTTTATGATAATGTTAACATTTACATGACATCCTGAAATATATGTGACAAATTATTGTAAACCCTTGCCATGCCAACAATTAATTCACAAAACTGATAATTGTCAATTCTTCACAGCATTTGAATTCCAAATCTTGAAGCCAGATTTGTCTTTGCTTGTTAAAAGCCTGGATTTGATCCCCTCCTTGTACTACATGTTAAGTCCATTTCTGTGAACCACTGCTCTGACGTTGCTCCAAATAGCCATATGAAACCATTTTCTCTCACTCTCTGAAATGATTTTCTTTGTCTCTTTCTCAGAGACTTTGGTTCGAAGACGATACAGATCAAGCCTTGTCTGAAGGTGCTACCCAAGTTGTTGGAGGACCGTGACAAGAATGTTCGTGAGGAGACAAAGCAGTTCATCATTGAGTTGTACAGATGGATCGGGGCAGCCCTGAAGCCACAGATGTCCCATTTCAAGCCTGTACAGGTAGGAACAACAGTTGACAGACGCTCCTGCAGAATGTCCCTAGCTTATCTATTTTGGGGGACAGTTTATGAAGCATTGGGGTCGCAAGCTACAAAATTGGGTTCATAGTCATGTAAAAATAAACTGAATACAGTGCTCCTCCATGTGACAAGAAATTATGCATATACTCAAAGGCCATATAGATTAGAAAAATCTGAAACATTACATTAATAGAATACATTCAAAAGTTTGATTTATCAAATTATGGAATAGTTGTGCTCGTACCTGAACATGCTTTGGAATTTCTGTATCCCTGCTTTTCTCTCTTTTTATGTTTGCCATCCTTTTCAATTTGCGTGGCTATAGAATGTAGGCCTTCCCACTATCTGGACGTGTCTGCCATGCAGTTTGTGTTCAGGTGTATATTTTTATGTAAATTATTCACCAAGTTAGTTAACAAAGGAATGAACATCAAACTCCCTCATCACTTTTTCATATATTTTTATATCCCACATCAACTTGACATGCCATGATATAACTGACATATTCTTCAGTGCAGATCTCCCCTACATGATTTTGCTATCCTTGCTTTGTCAACACCACACACAGGTTTCATCATAGTGTTAAAACGTCTGTGGACAGGTTCCTGTTGGGATTTCCTCCCATGACTGATGTAAATGAAGAACTGTACAAGCAACATAACACCATTCACACCCTATGTTGTGATATATAGTATGACCAGAAATTATTGAGAATTTTAGGAATATGTTTAATTGGATTTCTAGTATAAACAACCTTGACCAGCTATCAAGGGCTTGGTTTCATTCAAGAGAGACAACTCCGTTAATCCTTTTTCATGAGTTTGTGAAGAGTTATCCCCCTTTGTTTACTTGCTAGCAGAGGACATTTTCAGTGATCCTCAGTGTGGATGATTTAGAGAAGAGGAAGTTGATTTGAGAGTATTATAACAAGGACATCAGATCAGTTAAAGTGATTTTAAATATAACAGGCATCCCTTTGTCCACTGTTTATCGTGTTTTGAAAAATATTGCAAATGGATATGGCATTGAGCACCAGGGAGGCGCAGGTAGGCCCAGAAAATTGACTGTCGGTGACAGGAGGCGGCTTGGTATTCTTGTTTCTGAAAACAAACGAAGGAGTTTAGAAAACTTAAGGCTTGATATGATTGATGGAGGAACTGTGGCTGTCTGTAAGGAGACAATTAGAACTGAGCTGCATGCAGTGGGTTGGCAGAAAAGTTGAGGAATTCCATCACCGATCATGAAACCTGAACAAAAGGAGCGAAGGTTGAACTGGTGCTTACAGCATAGAAATTTTAACTGGGACAATGTGATTTTCTTAGATGAAAGTTCTGTGTGGCTGTTTCCTAATACACTGAAATTCTGGACCAAACAAAATGAAAAACCTTTGTGTCAGTGCCCAAAGTACAGTCCAAAATTTAATGTGTAGGGTGGCATATCTGTGTTAGGGGCAATGCCCCTCTGTGTATTTGAAGGGAATATGAACAATGAGCGGTACACGGATAATCTCGAGGGACATTTACTTCCATCTGCTCACGTGTTCTATGGAAATGTTTGGATTTTCCAGCAGGACAACGACCCAAAACATCGTTCAAAGCATTCACAGGCCTTGTTTCGAACCCAAAATATGACATTATTAGATTGGCCAAGCTATAGCCCTGACCTTAATCCAGTAGAAAATGTTTGGGGACTTATGAAGGGAGGTGTCAATAAGAAAAATCTGACAAATATTGCTGAAATGAAAGAAGAGGTAGTCCGATATTGGGACAGCATGGACCACGACTTTCTAACTTCTTTGATCAGTATTATGGCCCGCCGCATTGAAGCCTGCATTGCTGCCCATGGTGACTTGACAAAATACTAACTGTTCACCTGTCTTTGAATCTGGAGTTATGTTCTGCTAATATTCACATTTAATATGTGAGTGAAAAAAAATATAAAAAATACAATCTTTAAATTCTCAATAGTTTCTAGTTGTACTGTATATGTTTGTTGAAATATGCAGTTTTTCAGTGGTGATAACACTGTTCAATGTGCTCCAGGTACAAGAGCTGGAGGCTGAGTTTGAGAGGCTTCCAAATGAGCGGCCCATTCAGACCCGTTTCATGAAGTCACAGCAAGACCTGAAAGCCAAAATAGAGGAACAGCAGGCTGCTGCATCTTCGGGGGGGATGGTGCTGGAGGTGAGTTGTCTCCTTTATGTCAAGCACCTTTCCTGTCTGTGACACTGTTGTTGCCTTCACAGTGTCACTGTCCCCACCAACAGCTGGCAGACATTACAGAATCTTGAAAACTTGCTCAAACCCCAAATGTAGTGTCAGACATAGTTGGGTTGGATTTTGTTTTTTTGTTTTTTGGGGTTTTTTTTGTTTTGTTTTGTTTTTGTTTTTGTTGGGTTTTTTTGGTTTTGTTTTGTTTTTGTTTTGTTTTTTGGGGTTTTTTGTTTGTTTTTTGGGGGTTTTGTTGTTTGTTTGTTTTGTTTGTGTGTTTTTTTTGGGGGGGCGCATTATAGTAAAATAGTTTTTTCCCATATGAATTTGTTTCCTTGTTGTTTGACACCCAACTTCCCATTTTCAGTCACTGTACTAGTTACTTGGTAGTTATAAAGAAATAGATTTACACTGACAAGAGGAATGTTTTAAATTGGGGCAGGGTATTTGGCACCACACCAGTTGTTGTTTGTAAACATTCGGAACAGTCGCATGTTTTAAGCAACCTAGCACTGCGGGGAGCTGTTACGTGTGTTAGCGATGGCATGGAGACCTCTGTCAATGGGCTATTGCTGTGAGGAGCTTGGAAGTACTTCTAACAATGTTATTGTAGTTGAATATACTCGAAAGGGGGTCTGATACATCATCCACATGCCTGTCCTCCATCCTGCAATCAGGGACCCAGGGACTGGTAGTTTAATTATTTACTGTCACTCAGAACCACAGTGTTTTCAGTGTTCAATTGTGTGAAGCCTTTTCATGATGCATTGATGCTTGAGTAATTTCTGGAATTCATGTTTCAGGGGATGGAGGTGCTGAAACAGAAGAGATCGATCCATTTGACCTTATTGAGGCGGTAGATATACTCGCAAAACTCCCCAAGGATTTCTTTGATCAAATAGTAAGTACAGTGCTGTACAAAATGTTGTGATCCTGATGTGGTATACTTCAATAGAAAAGTCTTATCTGAATCTATAGCAGAATTTACTGAAAAGGTCGAGTGAGATAATTTCTTTGAATTAAACGTAAATTTGGTGACTCAAGTTTTGTATAAACCATGCTATAGTGTGAGCAAGTGTGTGTATTTCTTGTAGGAGGCCAAGAAGTGGCAGGAGAGGAAGGAGGCTCTAGATGCCCTCCAGAAACTGACAGAATCGCCCAAGATAGATAATGGGGACTTCGGTAATCTTGTCCGAGCAATCTTGAAGGTATGTATGTCATCCGCACCCACATATTCAGGACTCTTGAAGCAGGATAGATCCTTCAAAATACCACATTTGTATCATAAGGTTTGAATGGTCAAAACATGGATGTCACCCAGTACCCAGTCACTTGGAATTGGCTTATCCCAGATTTGATTATCCATGCTATAAATAGCAGGAGCATTGTATTAATAACATAAACACACTTCTTTCACTCATCGGAGCTTAGACGGGGCGGTGGGGTAGCCTAATGGTTAAAGCGTTGGCTCGTCACGCCGAAGACCCAGGTTCGAATCCCCACATGGGTACAATGTGTGAAGCCAATTTCTGGTGTCCCCCGCGTGATGTTGCTGGAATATTGCGTAAAACCAAACTCAGTCAGTCAGTAGGTCATCAGAGCTTAGATGTATTGACTTCTTTATAATAGTATAAAATGTGTTGGTGACTGGCAATGCTCATGCTAAATTGAGATGATGTCAATGTCAGTGAATCATAACAAGGTTTTAACATGTGATTTCTCCAATCTATGAAACCATTGAACAAGTAATTAGCTAGTACTTGTCCCCTGCTGCAACCCGGAATGGGGGACTATGTATTCAGCAGGGTCCATACGCACGTACGTCCCAATTCAGAATTTATGCATATTTATTTTTCCCGGTTTCCATGGAAACGATTTGGACTTAGTTTTAAAAAGAGTCAAGCTGGACTTTAAGTGACTGTCAGATGATTTGTTCTTTCAAATATGTGGGGGCCGGGGGGATATGTCATCTTCTGATGACTCTTGTTATATCTTGTTATATCTCGGTTGCTATGTTCCTTGAAGGTTATATCCAAGGACACCAATGTAATGCTGGTTGCACTGGCCGGGAAGTGTCTTGCCGGTATAGCCAAAGGCCTGAGGAAGAAGTTCCAGCCGTATGCTCATCAGGTTAGTTACCAATGTCCAGTCATTAACATTCCTGGGCCATCACGAATCTTTGCCATTCCATACCTCTCAAAGTGAAGATCTGAGATACCCTCCGTACACAAACCATGTCAGCCAGTCAGCGTGGAAACTTTGCATTCAGTGACTCATTCTAAATAACTGTAAGCCATTATGTCATACGTCTACCGGTATTACACTAGTGTAATATGCCATAAAAATATTACACGGCAGCATCTTCCATGGGTGAGTAATAATGCCAGATACACTATACATGTAGATAGGAAATTAGTCTTTGGTGTCCTTTGTTTTGGCTTTGAGACTGGTGTGACTGACATGCCATATGGATGAATATGATGTAGTAGGCCATTTTACAAAGCTGACTTTAGATTGGTCTCTAACCCCATTCATTGTTTTCATTAGATTGGATGGTATCTCAGCTTTTACTGGAGGTTACTTGTCAAGAGTTAGTAACAGTTTTTTTGCAGAAATATATTAAATCAGTAGAATGTCTTGTGGGTTCTTTAACGATTCCTGAATAGGTATGCAGTATATTTTCTGAAAGGGAATCGGAAGAATTATATCCACTGTGTATTATCTACTTGTACAGTCTGTAATCTGTTGATGTCTGTTTCAGTGTGTGTCAGCAATCATTGAGAAGTTCAAAGAGAAGAAAGCAGCAGTGGTGGCTTCCCTCCGCGAGGCTATTGATGCTTCCTTTCTAGGGGTGAGTGATACCAACACAAGCTGCTTGATTGGGGGTCCTTTTATTAGAGTACCTTGACCTTGGCTCGGTAAAAGTACAGAGTTACTTTATCCAAGCGTGAACAGAGCCTTTATCCTTGCTGCTGATACATGTACATGTACTAGATATCCTTAACAAGTGCACCTTGACATCAGCTTCTTGTAAGACAGGGTCCCGATCAACAACATTTGTAAGCATGTGAAAAATTATTGCTCTCTTGAGAGGGTACATAAGCCACAAACTTTCAAAGTCAATTGTAATCTATCACATTTAATCGTAGGATATATGTTATTTTAGCTTATGCCTAGATTTGTCTCCAATCACTAGCATCTGAAGGGATTGTGTAAATCCAGCAAGGGTCCATGCAGGTAACAAAAGTACCCATGGTCCCTCGTATGGTGATCTACCTTCAGTTGCTGGCTATCAATAGCCTGTTTTTATATTGTCATGTCATCTATTGTTAAAATGTTTTAGATTTAATAAGTTTTAAATTTATACCTGTGATAATCTAGTTGTTTTACTGTCCTTCTTTGACAGGCTTTTATAATCTACCTTTAATTATTATGAATTCATAACTAGTTTTAGTCACGATATGGCTGAAATACTGCTGATGTGACAAAAACTTGAACTCACTCACTCACTGTAAGCATGTGATAAACTATAGAGATATCTTAGGTCATAACATTACAAATGCTTTATGGATTAGGGCACAGCTCTGTAACACGAGCATCTCATCAAGAGCACAATGGTCAGAGATGTTTCAGTTTGACACAAACTCCTTGAAAATGAAGAGATCCATGTCTTATGTAAAATCTTTTATTTGATTACCAAGATATGTGTATGTTTTTTAGATATTTGAACCAAAATAATTTTTATGACTTTGATCTTGAGAAACAACATTTGACTTAATAGTTTAAGGTGTTTCCATTGTGAAAAACCTTGTGTATAAAATGCTGTGGCTAAATAACGTGTGTGTGTATCAGACATCACTGGATCAAATAATGGAGGACTGTGTGGCAGCCCTGGAAAACAAGAACCCTTCAATACGAACAGAGACAGCTCTGTTCCTTTCAAGATGTTTTGCAAGGAGTACAGTTTCCACCCTACCGAAGAAACTATTGAAAGGCTACTGTACTAGTCTCTTGAAGGTTAGCATCTTGAGGCTCTCATATATCTTTTGTTGAACTTGCTTTTTTCTTTGGACCCTGTATATTTCATGAATAGTAACAAAGCGATCAGTGATGAGAAACCAGTGTTAATGTACAAAATCTGGGGTACTAGACTGGGGCCAATTCCAGTCCTTTGTACACAAATTTCTCAACTATTCTATGATATCAGGATTTATCCAGGATCCCAAAGTATTTTTTTATATTTTGCCCAAGTTGGTCAGCAAAAATAAATTAGCTTCTTCAAAGCCGTAACATTAGGCGATAGTGGGATTTGAAAACTTGTTTTCTTATTAGCTCTTCCCCTATACTTCAATACATCCCCTATACTGTTCCCCAATACATCCATACATCCCTCAACAGAGGCTGACTGACTGTTTCAGACTGTAAATGACACAACTCCCGACGTGAGGGAAGCCTCCTTCCTGGCCCTGGGAACAGCCATGAAGGTGGTCTCAGAGAAGAACATTGCACCGTTCCTCAATGATGTCGACTCCCTTAAGATGCAGAAGGTGAGATTCTTTCTTTCATATTTAAAGTTATTAATTGCTTGTTACCAGTGATGGTTCTTGGGTTAGTAAATTTTATGTTGCTCTATCATAAATACATATGAACTCTGTCTAGCCTACCCATTGAATCAAGCAAAGGCATGTGTCCTGGGAGTTGCAGCGATTACTGAGACCAAAGAACAAAGTTACACACAATAAGCGTTGTTTCTTTGCTTGATGAGGTGTGTCATAACCTTGCCGCCGTCTTCTGTACCAACTCATCAATAACAAGCAACGATATAGTTGACTGTTCATGCATGAAGTATTGATCATTTGACTTCCTTGTTTGTTGAACAGCTTTGTCTCCTTAGCTTCCTGGAAATACAATTGACTATTACACAGCATGCATTCATTAGTTTCTGTATATTCTATGTGCTATGTGAGATTACATCCTCCAGCACAGTCATGCCGGCTTGCAATAAGTTTACAAATCTTAATGCCTTCATGAAGAAGCTGAGCAACTGTTTCATGTAGAGTGAGTGAGTGAGTTTAGTTTTATGCTGCACTCAGCAATATTCCAGCTATATGGCGGCAGTCTGTAAATAATCGAGTCTGGACCAGACAATCCAGTGATCAACAGCATGAACATCGATCTGCACAATTGGGAACCGATGACATGTGTCAACCAAGTCAGCGAGCCTGACCACCTGATCCCGTTAGTCGCCTGTTAGTGTTACAACAAGCATGGGTTACTGAAGATCAATATTGTAACCCGGATCTTTACAGGTGTGTTTCTTGTCGAGACTTGATAATAATGAGAAAGTATCACCATTAACATGATAAAGTTTAATAATTCTAATTATTCAGCATTGCTGATTATATCATTTCTTCTCTTTCTCCAGATCCAAGAGTGCTGTCAGACTGCTGTGCTACTTAATGCCCGGGGGGAGCCAAGGCAGGGTGGGGCAGCGCACCTGCCGCTCCTCCCCCCAAGAAGAATGAGCCAAAACCTGTTACCCGACCTCCTGCCAAACCAACAGCACGAGTAAGTTCAGTTAGAGGCCACATCAGATGATGTAGGACGTTGTGTTATTCTTCATATTGTTCAACTATTTCCTGAACATCCGGCATTAATCAGCCTTCTTTTGGCTCCCTCGTGTGGATTTCGGAGGCAAGCCCAAAAGTATCACGTTTCATATGAGTACACTAGAGAGATCTGATGGTTACACAACATGACCTGTTTAACTCACAAGCCTCTTCATGTAGCTCATGCTGTCCACCACACGTTTGCCTTGCTCAGATTCATGTGCAGGCTGCTGTGATATACTACTCAAAAAAACACCTGATTCTTTACTTTAGTCAGATGTTTTTTAACGTCTTTCGAGTAGTATGTTTGTGATTGCTGCATATCACCAGGGTCCCGATCCACAACGTATTTGTTTCTGGTGTCCCCACTGTGATATTGCTGGAATATTGCTAAAAGAGGCATAAAACTATACTCACTCGCTCAAAGTATTTGTAGCGCAGCGATATTCATAAGCCTATGTAAACTGTACAATTATGAAACCTGTAACGCTACAAGTACTTTGTTGATCTGGCTCCTGGTCACTCAGTAGCGGCAATGTTTCACTCGTACAAAAACTATATGTCAACTGCGCACATCGTCTGAACATAGATTGTTTAATTGAGTCATTTCCCTGTTCGTCCCAAGTTGGGGTAGGACATCAAGAAGGTCCGAATCTCAATTTTGAATTATGTTTATTGTAAAGTAGCTGGGTTTGATATCAAACAACTGGTCTCAATTGTCTTTAAATGTTGGCGGGTGTTTCTGTTAGTGTGACTTGTCTGTGTTTCTTTCCAGGCAACAGAATCTAGTTCAGGGGTATGTGGTTTGGTGTTTACTCCCCGTCAATGAGCATAGAACTACTAAATCTTTCAGACTTGCATCTATCTGAATGCATGGTCAAATACAGACACTGGATAATGGTGGCCTCCGACATAGGTTCACCTGTATTGATACAATGACATCTACAAAAGTAGTTTGCATGAATCTGTAGTGATGTTTTGAATGAGTTTGGGGATCTTTGATATGATTAAAGGTCATAAATTGTTGACTTTTCACTAACCCAGTGTTTCAGCCTGTAAACATTTTTTTGTGGAAGTATGGCAATTATTTGTTTGACTTAACCAGGGAAAGAAGCATTTTCTGCATGCAAGTGTGACTTGACTCTGTTATGAACATAGTGTCTTGTTGCATTTGGAAGAAAAAATTTGAAAAAAGATTTTGCATCAGTTTTTATGCCATATGTCCTTGTATCCCAAGTGTCTTTAGCTGGGTTAAACCTTATGGACTAAAAAACATCTCTGTTGAAGGGATATTTGCCACAAAAAGAATATTTGACAAAGTGCAAGTGGGTATGGCTTCAAGCCCAAGCCACACACCAACAATCTTTACACCTGTCATTGTATTCTCACAATAGAATCCACACTTTGGAAACAGCAGTAGTCACATGGAATGAAAATGGAGTATCTACGTAGATTTGTGCTTATTACCATTTTCCTGTAAACATGTATCCATACTATGCTGACTCCTCTCACTGTCTACCTTAAGCATAATATAGTGCATGGAGATAAGATCTTGACAACTGGATTATCATTATTAAGTGGGCAAAACAACAAAATTTAGGAAATTCCCCCGAACTTTTTTTAGTTGGCTCCAGAATGTTTCCAAACATTCAAAATTGGGCCCAAAAACTCTTCTCACATGAACACTTTGACTGACATGTAAACAAGCGTAAATCCATTGCTAGCTGATTTGAATTAGTTGTATTATTTTGACATTTATAATTTTTCCTTATCCTGACTCATGTTAGTTATGCTTGTCTCCTTTCCTCTTTCAAATGATAGTGGAACACTTGAAATCCCTTGAAGTTCCTTTTAAAAAAGCGGACGTGAAATCACTCACCCAGAGTAGCATCCCTTTCCTCCCTTTGGCGCCCTTTTGGTCACCTGACCGACCATGCCTTGTCACTCCTGACTCATGAGGTTAGCCCTCCCAACCTCCCCTCTTATGGCACTTTGGATTTCCCTGTAAATCCGGGTGTCGGGCATTCATACGGAGAGAGTGACAAGGCATGGTCGGTCAGGTGACCAAAAGGGCGCCAAAGGGAGGAAAGGGATGCTACTCTGGGTGAGTGATTTTACCCCCGCTTTCCGCTTTTTTAAAGGGAACTTCAAGGGATTTCAAGTGTTCCACTATCATTCGCAAGAGGAAGGAGACAAGCATAATTAGCATGAGTCAGGATAAGTATAAAATATCAATTTTAGTCAGAAAATTACATTCTATGGTATGTTAGGCATTCTTAGAAACAATTTAGACATATTTTCTGAAGATACTCCAGTTTGGAAGTTTTAGCTGAACCATTTAGCTGTAGCCAGGGAAATCATGACAGACATGTCTCAAAACATGTGATCTGATATAATGTTTACTGGTCAAGCTGGATGTCCTGAAAACACATAGTTTCCCTTTAAACAGTGAAATACCCAGCATCAGGTTGAAAGTAAGGGTGTAGTGGACTACTAAGGTAGTTGTTGTATATGTTTTTATCCCCAGCTTGTGTATTGATATACAATATTGTTTTCACTATTTCAGTCCAAGCCTGCTGCCAAAGGAGGTGTAAGTAATGTTTCTGTATTCAGATTTGTGTAAATGAACGTGTCAAGTAAATTAAACAACAGAATAAAATGCCATACCAGTTAAAAACCTGAAATAGTTAGCACATCTTACTTTATATTTCAATAAGAAATAGTCAGTTGCTCTATTGTTAACACTCATAGGTTATAAGCTGACTATATCACAATACTTTCTCTCCTCTATTGGTACATTTACAAATGGGAGATTGCTAGTGAATTTAGTATAAGACCTGGGTTTAATTGGGTTCCTCTGAGCTACTGCTTGCCATAAAGGCCGACTATGGTTAAGGCAGCTAATTGGCTGATATCGCATCCCAATTACACAGATAATTCTATGTTGCAGCCAAAGAAGAAGGCGGGTGGTGACAAAGGCAAGGGAAAGAAGGGTGGGTCTGCCAAGGAGGAACCAACAGAAACTATCCTTGCAGTGTCCCCTGCCGTGATATTGCTGGAATATTGCTAAAAGCAGCATTAAAACCCAACTTACTCACTTACTTACCTTGGGCTTGCAAGGAACCTATGATTTGTGACTGTTGATTCCACCGAGGTGGAAATGATTTAAATTTGTGTTTAAAAGGCTTGAGTCTGCAAACTTGTAATTTAGCACAATTGTTTTCCGTGGATTTTGTCTACAGTCTAAGGATAAATATCAACTGATATTACTGAACAATAAAACAACTTTACTTGACTCCAGCTTCACAAATGTGATTAAAGTTGCATCATTCATCACAGACCTGCCTGTTTGGGCTTTCCTTCACCCATATGTTGCATTGTTTGTAATACTACTCAAAGCAATAATAAACCCAAATCACTCCCTAATCATTCTACCATGGGTGACCACAAGGGAAGACAACTCTGTCGATGTATCTGTCTACGTGTCTGTCTATGTATCTGTCTACATGTCTGTCTATGTATCTGTCTACCTTCATGGCACTGGTGACCCGTCAAGATCCGGGGTAGAATAGGTCTTCAACAACCCATGCTTGCCATAAAAGGCGACTAGGCTTGTCGTAAGAGGCGACTAACGGGATCAGGTGGTCAGGCTCGCTGACTTGGTTGACACATGTCATCGGTTCCCAATTGCACAGATTGATGCTCATGCTGTTGATCACTAGATTGTCTGGTCCTGACTCTATTATTTACAGACCGCCGCCATATAGCTGGAATATTGCTGAGTGCGGCGTAAAACTGAACTCACTCACTCATGGCACTGGTTGCTGTTGGTTTCTATCATTCACCATAAACTACACTGTCAACATTAATGGTAATGGATCACATGGTCAGTGGTGCTGCAGATTGCATATTATTGTATCCTGATGATTTGGGGCATTGCTCAGTATATTAGTCACTCCTTTGTAAAGTCCATACTTCATTTTTTACTGGCTGTTGTCATCCATGGAATATTTCTATGTTTACGAATGAGATATCCTGTACTTATAACTTCAAGGCTGAGGCCCTTACCTGAAAACATCCATCTCTTGTGTTTCAGAGCGTTAAGGGTATGAGCAAGGAAGAGATACAGACACAAGTGTTTGTAAGAACCCTCACCAAGAAACCTGGTCTGAAGGACACCAACTTCCAGGTGAGTACCACCACAAACTTCATACACAATTCCCTGCTGGGAGTCACAATAAGCCTCCAGTACATGATGCTTGTGGGAGAGGCACAAGTGACCTAGTTGTCCTATGTGCCACAATTAGCTGTAGTTGTGTCCCTTGGCAGTGTCAAGAAGATATGACCATGAAGGTTAATCCTAGCTCTAAGATCTAGTTTTGTTTGCAGCATACCAAAGCTCTTGGATTTTTATGCTTGGTAAATGGCTAATCTCAAACATTCAGGTGATGTCATAGTATAAATTGGAATACTGCTGAAAGCGTTGTTAACGCCCACTCACTTCGACACTCAAGCACATAATGACCAACTCAAATGGGAGTCCGTCGTCAGGCTCGGTGGTTTTGCTGATGTTGCAGTATTTTACCAACAGTGGATGATGCTCATGAGACGTGTATTCCAAAATCAAGTCCAACATCGAATATCTGACGGTTGTCTTGATGTTGTTGGTGCTGCATACACAAGACAAAACTGTCCAGTACAATCAACAACTGACTTGAATGGTGTTATTATTTCTGTGCAAACCCTGACATATATAGAGGATACTAAACGACCTTCCGTGTAATACCTGACCCGTGACGAATTGCGCAGATCGATGCTCATGCTGTTGATCACTGGATTGTCTGGTCCAGACTCGATTATTTACAGACCGCTGCCATGTAGCTGGAATATTGCTGAGTGTGGCGTAAAACTAAACTCACTCACTCACTCACTCACTCCGTGTAATACCATTTTTATTAAACGAGTTAATGATTTGGTATCAAACGAGCAAAAGCAAGTTTGATGCTAAATCTTTCACAAGTTGAATAAAAATGGTATTTCACGGAAGCAAGTTTAGTATTCTGTTTATTACTCTCCAACATAAACTGATAGAAACTGCCTCTCAGCTTTCCACGAGTCATCCAAGGTCTAATACAATTGTGACGTCATAACTGTAAACCATTATGACATCATACGTCTAGCGGTATTACACTAGTGTAATATTGTCGTAAATATATTACACTGCAGTATCTTCCAAGGGCGAGTAATAATATATAATATAATGTATGAATTAGAGAGACTAGAAAGTTTACAGATCAAGTGTTTTATGTGTCCAGGTTTTGAAACTGAAACTGGAGCTCATCGGCTACTTGGGACAGAATTCTGTATTCACAAAGACATCGGCGGAGTTCTGCCTGTCAGACATTGTAGACAAGGTTGGGGATGTGAAGAACGGCAGTATTGCACAGGAAGCTCTGAGTTGTATAGTAGAGGCCACGTCACTGGAGTTTGTCAGTAGCGAGGTGAGTGTCACCTTTGTACACTATGTTCGGAGCTGAACAGCCAATATCATGTGGAATATGTATTTTATGACCTTAAAAGGACTATACAGTGCACTGCAATACACTTTTCAAATGATACATATTGCAATATATTTTCATCTGTTTTGAAAAAATTGTACATCTTTGTCATTTGTGTTTCCAGGTTATTAAGTGTGCATTTGAACAGAAGAACCCAAAGAACCAATCAGAATCCATGGTCTGGCTGACGCAGGCAGTCCGAGACTTCGGTTTCAAGTAAGTGATGAATTGAAAGTTATTGACTCCATTTCTACTGTGATTTGTATGTCTTTTAGCTGTGGTGTATGACAATTTTAGCTGATATAGATTGCATATCTATTTCTCCAGTATGGTAAAATATCTGAATTATGTGGAACATACATCTGTAGTCTTATTTAGCTTTCTCCATTTACTGTGTAAGCCTCAGTTGTTGAATGTAGTTTAAGAAATATTATGATATTGACTACAGATGAGAGAGTATTATGATCACCAGGAAACAGTCAAATGTAATTTCCATACATTGTGTTTTTGTTTACAGAGTGAACATTAAGCCAATGATTGAGAATATCAAGAAGGCACTGGCGGCTACCAATCCAGTAAGTCAACAAAACAAATGCTCAGCATGGACAGGGCCCATTTATAGTCAAATGTAGACTTCATGTTTTAAAGTTTCATTGTCATTATGGTGTAAAGGATTACCGTAGCCCACATGTTATTTTGGTCACTGGTAAGGCTATTGCTTATGGAACCATCTTGATGCCATGACAATTGTGTTGTGACAGACATAACTTGATGATCACAGAGCTCTGAACTATGGGGTTGTCCATGATAGCAATTGGACAGGACTGTTTCAAGTGTGATCTAAGTGTTGTATCGTCAGGCCTCTTTTATGTAGCTGTAGCTGTCTGGCTTCTGTCATGTAACTGTCGGGCTTCTGTGATGAGGCTCATGACTGACTGTTTGTTCCAGGCGGTGAGGGGGGCAGCTATTGGCTTGCTGGGTACAGTCCACTTATACATGGGGCCACAGCTCAGGATGTTCTTTGAGGATGAAAAGGCTGCCCTGCTACAGCAGATTGATGCCGAGTTTGAGAAGGTAAGACCAACCAGAGGTTGTGACAGATACAGGTTCTGCCCAGTGGAATCTAGTGTGACATTATATGTAGCCCTGCTACAGCAGATTGATGCCGAGTTTGAGAAGGTAAGACCGACCAGAGGTTGTGACAGATACAGGTTCTGCCCAGTGGAATCTAGTGTGACATTATATGTAGCCCTGCTACAGCAGATTGATGCCGAGTTTGAGAAGGTAAGACCAACCAGAGGTTGTGACAGATACAGGTTCTGCCCTGGAATCTAGTGTGACATTATATGTAGCCCTGCTACAGCAGATTGATGCCGTGTTTGAGAAGGTAAGACCGACCAGAGGTTGTGACAGATACAGGTTCTGCCCAGTGGAATCTACTGTGACATTATATGTAGCCCTGCTACAGCAGATTGATGCCGTGTTTGAGAAGGTAAGACCAACCAGAGGTTGTGACAGATACAGGTTCTGCCCAGTGGAATCTACTGTGACATTATATGTAGCCCTGCTACAGCAGATTGATGCCGAGTTTGAGAAGGTAAGACCAACCAGAGGTTGTGACAGATACAGGTTCTGCCCAGTGGAATCTACTGTGACATTATATGTAGCCCTGCTACAGCAGATTGATGCCGAGTTTGAGAAGGTAAGACCAACCAGAGGTTGTGACAGATACAGGTTCTGCCCTGGAATCTAGTGTGACATTATATGTAGCCCTGCTACAGCAGATTGATGCCGAGTTTGAGAAGGTAAGACCAACCAGAGGTTGTGACAGATACAGGTTCTGCCCTGGAATCTAGTGTGACATTATATCATCATTAGGAAGAGGGATTTTGATGAAAGAAATTCAGTTTGTGGGGTTATGTGTTATTTTTAAGTGAAACAAGTTTTGAATCTAATGGTACTTTGAATGTACATTTAACAGTGAATATTCTGACTACCAAGTAGCTGGAATATTGCGGAGTGCTGCATTAAACAACAAACAAACATACTGAACAACCCCAGATACATATATTCAGAAATATCCACTCTTTATCATGTTGAATGGGGATAGCGCTGGGGTACAGCCATATGTTTACAACCACCTGGAGTAAAGTAGTCACCTGTATATCTAATATGAGATAAATATATGGATAGCAACTTCTTTAGTTATTTCACATGACGTTTCTGGGCTAGTTCATGCTCCTTCGGGAGCCCAGAAATCGTGTGCTGCAAATACAGAAGTTGTTATCTATATATGTGTTGCCTATATATCTTTATGGCATCCCAGAATAAGGACCAGAAGCCCCCTGTGCCAACACGAGGAGTTGTTGCTGTGGAGGAAGAGGAGGATGAAGAGAATGGTGCTGATGGTGGTGGTGGCGCTGCAGAAGAAGTCAACGTGCAGGACCTCATCCCCAGGAATGACATCTCGTATGTTATACTGTTTCAACTCCAGTAACACTATGATACCTTCAGCAAGAATTCCATCCTGTGCCTTGGTGCTAGAATCAGCATTCATCATGAATCACTTACTGAATGTGTTTACTTAAATAAAGATACTGATATGTCATGTATTTTCATATTATATGTTATTTTTTATGTTAATCTGTAGCACACAAAAGAAGTTTATTGCCTCTCAATACTTTCCTAAAACTGAAGTCTAATCCTGCCAGACCTCATTAACTATAGTTATGTGAAAGAATTTGATGGACCTTGACCTTTTCAGTAGTATAAATCCTTGGAATCAATACTAATGACATACCATCGCTAATTGTGAATTTTGATTGATCCATGGAAGGGATACTTTCCAAATTGTACAGTTATAGTTTCTTCCAGACCACAGACCACAAATAACCAATAGAAAGCATATTTATGAGTCCCCACCTGTAGGCCGCATTGTCCATTCAGTTTGTGTAGGACATGTAGCCTACATTACTCATACCTTGTGGTTGTTTTTCCATGTTTTCTTGATGATGACCAACACCTTGTGTTTCATGTCAGTGAGAAGATCACAGAGGAACTCCTGGCAGAGATGGCAGACAAGAACTGGAAGGTTCGAGCTGAGGCTCTACAGAAGGTCGTTAGCCATATTGAATGAGGCCAAGTTCATCACCTCCACCATTGGCGAACTGGCCGCTGCACTGAAGACGAGACTTACTGATGCAAACAAGATTTTGGTAAGCTTCTGTCGATGACCTTTCTTTTCTCACTACAGAGCTCAAGAGATCCCCAATAGCCCTTGATTTTCACTAAATAGTTTTGCCAGTCTATCTTGATGTTTACTTGATTAATTTTATGTATGGTTACATTACAGGTGAATAACACTATTGGGATCTGCCTGACCTTGGCAACAGCAATGGGCCCTCACTGCAAGCATCACATCAAGATCATTGGACCCGGCCTCATCAGTTGTATGGCTGATGGAAAGGTAAACCACATGTTTATTAAGTGATATAACAAGACATCAAGGTGCTATTAACTCAATATGGTGGAGAGCCAAGTGGTTGTGTTCTATCCTCCTGTGGACAACCCAGGTTCAGTACAACCACATTCATGGGCTTGTGAATAGAGTATCTGGTCAGGAGGGTGGTGATTGATCCCCACACCCCATGATGACTAAACATGTGGTAGATAGTACTTGTTAACCTGCCTGGCTGTCGGCATTGAGGGGTTAAAGTCAGTTTGGCATCCATGGTCTGTGTCTGAGTGGGATGCTCATGTTGAAATGTGGCATATTATCACACTCAGATAGGACTATATAAATAACGTTAGTCCAGACACACACATGTACTTGTATGCAAGACTGTACAATGTAATATTCAGCCCATTTCACCTTGCCCCAACCAAATCATTTCTATGTATGAAGAGCTGAGTTTGAGCAGTCCAATCAATTTGCCCTGATGTGCAAGAGAAATTTTGTGTGATACTACTGATGACAGATGGAGACAGGGATGAGTGAGTTAAGTTTTACGCCGCACTCAGCAATATCCCAGCTATATGGCGGCGGTCTGTAAATAATCGAGTCTGGACCAGACAATCCAGTGATCGACAGCATGAGCATCAATCTGCGCAATTTGGGAACCGATGACATGTGTCAACCAAGTCAGCGAAACTGACCACCCGATCCTGTTAGTTGCCTCTTACGACAAGCATAGTCGCCTTTTATGGCAAAGACAGGGATGAGGATGATCAAGGATGTCTTGTAGATTCTGGTAGATTCACTGGCCTAGCTGATTACATGCCATGGTGCGTCATACCAGGGTTTGTTAATCATGCTTCCTTGTTGTTGTCTTTATATTTTACCTATATAAATATATATTTATTATTTATTGTATTATTATTATGTCCTTGAGTTCATTACATGTTGATTGATTACATAGATTACAAGATTATTTATAGCTGTTCTGGGTTTTGGAATATTGCTGATTGTTTACGAAACACTCACATGATTCATTCACTAAGTATGTTCTCTCTCCTCCTCACAGCCTCAGGTCCGGGCAGCTACAGTGAACGCCCTGAACGCATGGGTGGAACAGTGCACCCTGACTCCCCTGGTGGAAAGTGAGGCCATCTTTGATGGACTGAAGACAGAAAACCCCAACCTCAGAACAGAGGTCAGATATTTACCATGTTTACATCGCTGTGTTTTAACAGTAAGCTGGATCAATCCAATGTCTGCCATCTACATAGAACAGTTAAATATTTTATTCATAAACTTGACATTTTATGGTGGGAAATCCCATTTTTAATCAAATGAGGTTTCATAAAGTTTTAAAAAGCTAGAAATGAATATGATTCTAAATTTGTTTAGTATTCTACGTCTATATTGTTTACCTGGACAAGTGACTATATTCATGATATTTCTTGGAATATGACATATGACTGGTCCACTATGGTCTAATTTGTGGCAGAAATGTACCTGCTCATCGTCATGTGGTCATGCTGTAGTCGAACACTGTTGTTGGGCAAGTATTCAGTTGTCGGAACACTGTTATTTCATTTCCAGCTGTTGAATTGGCTGGTTGAGAAGCTTCCCACTCACAGAATCCTGCCCACAGAGCTGAAAATGTGTGTGCCTGTTATCCTTGCCTGTCTAGAAGACAGGAATGCCGATGTCCGCAAAAAAGCACAGGAATCTCTAGTCCCCTTCATGATTCATACAGGATATGACTCATTCTTTAAAGCTACCTCAAAGCTGAAGGTAATTTTTTCATGTTTTAAGACACAAGTGTTGGGTAGATTCAGATACTTATTGGTCACACTCACATTGTGGGTAATTTTCAAGTGACATTCATGTTAACTCATGATCATGTATTGTTCAGCTGTAATTGGATAATGACATGGTTAATATACTGGGGAGAATCTGTGTTTGATCCCTCACAGGACAGTCTTGCTCAGCCAACTTGTATATTGCTTGAAACTTAAATTCAACTGTATGAAACCATTTTACTCTCTCTTGAAAAAATTAATTCATATATTATTTTCACTGAAGTCAAAGTGATCATGGAAGTTTTAAAAAAGAAAATCAAGATTGCATTACTAATCTATGTCATACATCTTTCCATTACCTTCAGCCTGCATCCAAGGATCAGATCGTGAAGATCATTGAGGCTGCCCGGGGGAATCTCCCTGCTAAGGCACCTAAAGGCAAGAAGGCAAGTGCCCCTGCATCAGCCCCGCCCCCCTCAGCGTCGTCACGGTTTGACGAACCAGAAGAGCCCCCTAAACCAGCAAAGGCTGAGCCCAAGTCGAAAGCGGTGAAGGGCAAGGGAGCCAAGGTGAGATAATTAGTGACACCACATACTTTAAAAATGCTTCCTTGCAGAATTGTCTCCCTTAACAGCATTAACATCTTGTGAAACTATTCCAAATCACTGATTGTAGGTTCAAATTAGGTGTTTCACCTTCCCAGTCGTTTGTTGTTACCATACATCAAGTTTACCCTAACTCACTTCTCTTCATTTGTACTGAAACTTGCCTAAGTTATAGAAACTCTTTGACTGTTAAGTGTTATTGCTGTCCTGAAGAAGTTCTTCCTCCGTTGCCAGGCACCTGCCACTTCATCAAAGAAGAAGGAAGAAGAGGACACCGGTCCTCCCATTACTCTCACAATCCCCAAGGAGCAGAGATTCAAGGATGAGAAAAACATGAAGGTCTGTCACTAACTGTATGTTCTTTCTCCATTCAAGGGTATGGGCAGGATATACCAGCGGTTCATGTTTTTATGTTATGAAGAAAAAGTAGCACACAATAGTGTGATGCTTTCAAAAATTGAGGAATAGAGCTCCAAATATTTTGGGAAAAAAGTGTGCTTTTGAAGCATCAAAACTTCAACAGCAACATGGAAAATTGTTCAAATCACTTTCTGACTAATAATTACTTCATCCCTTGAACTTCCTCATACAAGTGGCCGTCTCAGTATAACTGAAATACTGTTTGAAGCAATGTTGAACTTCACTCGCTTCATTCATCAGGTGCTGAAGTGGAACTTCCTGGAGGTGCGTGGGGAGTACGTAGAACAGCTGCGAACACAAATGGAGAAGAACTTCAGCAAGAGCACCATGGACCAGCTGTTCCATAACGACTTCAAGTTCCACATCAAGGCCATCCAGTTGTTCATCAAGGTAGGTCCAGCCATGTGTTATGGTTTTAGCTTCTTTAAGCACATCTAGTGAGATGGAACATTCATTTGTATATTTGCATTTTGTGTAATGAAACAACCTTCACAGATGTGGAGGTGGTCCAAATTTTCATGAATTCTTCCTGGTTCCAGTGCATCGAGAGGCAAAACAGAGGAGATAGTTGGCAACCTGGACCTAGTCCTTAAGTGGATTACCCTCGCGTTTCTATGACACCAACCCCAGTATGCTGAACAAGGCCCTGGAGTTCCTTGAGAAGTTGTTCTCCATGCTGGCAGACTCGACTACCACCTGGCTGACATCGAGGCCATGTCTTTCATACCTTATCTCGCCCCTCAAGGTAGGTTGTCATCATACGGTCCTCAGCATAGTTTACAAAAAGACAGTAAGACCTTCAGGCGTGCCTGTTACCATTACAAACTAAGAAGTAGATACCATTATGTAATTATGACTGTTGCTCTATAATGATGAAGGGCAAAGTGCAGCTCTAACTAATGCTTTGTATCACAGGTTGGTGAATCTAAAGACAATGTACGTCGAGAAGTGAGAAAGATCTTCAAGCTCATCTGCAAGGTGTACCCGGCCAGCAAGATGTTCTCACATCTTATTGAAGGTCTCAAGTCAAAGAACTCAAAACAGAGAGCAGGTGTGTACTGGTTTCATTCTTTAGTTACTGGAACTGGTAAAACTGTTTACATTTATAGTAAACGAATTTGCACATTCTTTTTTATATATTCCTCCTTGGGGTACTTATAAGCATTTAAATGTCCATTTAAATTCCCTACGACAGTTGTAACAATATTTGAATAAAATATTTACAAAACTAAAACTACGTTTTGTCTTGTGAGACCACCCTTACAGGGCCTTCCGTCCCCCTACAGCCAAGAGCAGGTAACTCTAGACCGTAACCCCGTACCTCACTTTCCATGCTGTCGTTGTACCAAGACGTGGGTCCATACCAGAAGGTTTTTCCTTGCGACTAAGAGAGTTATGAGTGTTTCAGAAACTGCAACTGTATGTATGGTTCTCTTTTTTCCCTGCATGGGCGAATTGGAGGTTTTTCTGAATTTTTTCATTCATAATTTCGTTGTAACTTTCGGTACCTGTGGGTCGGCTCGCTAGTGCGTGTCAAGATGGCCGGACAGGTCCCTTCGCTAGCCTTCCTGTTCATTGGTTTCCCATGTGGTTTTTCAATGTTACAGGTGGTTTTAGTGGTTTCTTATTTGTATCTTTGTACGTGTGGGCGATGTCTACTGCTCGCATTTTCTATATTACGCTAAAAACGTGAATTGTTAGTTATGCTGCAGCGTGTACTAGGTTGTCAACTGCATGCCACGTTTGTAGCATTAGTTGTGTCGCCTATCGCGCTTTTTACATGTATTTGTATGTGGGTATAGGGTAGATTGCTGCACAGGTTTTTTACTTGTTGCAGTTTAAGCCCTGTACTTCGTGCCTTTGCTGCAATTCCCGCACGGGATTCCCGCAAGTCTGCTTACGCTGTTTTTAGTGCAGAAGGAACATGAGGAAGAGGGGTGCGCGGCATGTGCCATGTTCTCGCCCCAAACCATTCGTGCGAGGCGGATAGACACGCTGTTTTACAACAACCTGCTTTGGCGGGGGTGATCTCTGGGCACAGGATCCCCCGTCCAAAGCTGTCCCATAGTCAAAAAGGGGTCCACGGGAGCAGCTTCCCCACGCTGAGCCGGCTCCCAAAAGCTAAAGGCGACAAAGGCTTCGTCTTCACGCGACACTCATGCCCCTTCTGCATCTCCTACTGCTTCCGTCTCTGTACCGCCCACCCCTCTTGATTCAGCACCGGTAAAAGTGTTCCTGTTGATTCGTTAACCGTTTTTTCCAGGAGCAGATGTCGTCAGTCAAGTCCCTGATTGATCTGGCGTTATGGGTTCCGTAAAGGAGCTCAATGGCGCCCGGTCGTCGGGGCGGGCTGGCTGACATCTGGGGGTTATTACGGCCGAGCTCCCGCTTCGAGAAGCGCCCTCCCAGGCTTTGATCCTGGCTTGGCCCTGGTGAAGGCATGCCCTCGGCGTCTGGTGGCGACCTGGCTTTATGCACTGGTCTGTCACAGGTGCCTGGTGCCGGCGATACAGGGTTGCCCTGTCATTGCCTGGTGTCGACTGGCGGTCGCCCACAAGCGCCGACCAGTTGGGGATACCTCGGCGCCCGGCAGCCAGTCGGGGTTGCCCGGGAAGCCTGTTGCGGCAGGTTCCTCTCGGGCGACTTGGCGACCTGGCGCAGGTTCCTCCCGGCAGGGCGATGTTTTTCCCCTGGCTCCTCTTGACCTTATGAGTTTTTCTGGTCCTGCCTCTGGCATCTCCTCGGCGCTCTCTCAGGAGTCTGAGATTATGGCGGCCGAGGATTCTGCCGAGGTCGATAAGATCGCCGAAGTCCTGCCGCAGGTGGCTGTTCCCGTCCTGGCACCCGACCCCGCGGAGTTTCGGCTCCCGGGGGAGGCTTTCGCACCTAACCAGGTCGCAGAGGCAAGCTTACGCATTCTCCCATCACTGGTCAGTGAGGTGGTGAATCCGCTCCTGGCTGGTACTCGCTCGCGTTTTGATTTGCCTGAAGTTAGCCGGCGGTACCAGTTAGGTCGCGGAGACGCTCTTCGAACCACCAGTGGTGGGCCAGTGCGCGCTCTTTGCCTCAGTCAATGCTTAGAGGTCGTGCCCGTCTTCCTTCCCTGGCCTCGCCAGGCAGGGCAGGCCTCCCCTTTTCGGCTAGCGTCACTGCCGCTGAAGTCTGCCTACCGTCATGCCCGGTCATTGAAGAATGTTGCGGTCTTGCCCAGCAACGTAAAGTAGCAGTCCATTCAGCCTACCTGTCGGTTGCAGGGACAGCTGGTGGCCCCACAGCGCTGGCGGTGCCGAATATTCATCGGAGTCGGTGCTCGCCCGGCAGTTAACGGGCGATACACTGCATCTGGCTCGGGACAGCATTGATGCTGTGCCAGCCAGATGATAGGTGCCGCCATGGACATGCGCCGCCTGTGGCTGTCTGTGGCGCTGCATTCGCCGCCACACAGCAAGCTCTACTGTCATTGCCCCTATACCATGGGATCTTCCCTGTTCCCTGGGGCCTTGCAGGTGGTAAGGAGGCCGCAGAGGCTGTCTCTACCTTTAAGGACTCAAAGCCTTTGTTGGAGCAGCCCTCCGCCTCCTGCCATCGGCCCTCCCCGCTATGCGTCGCTTACCCTTCTGCCTCGCGAAGGATGTTGTTAAGTGGGCTGCCCCTTTGCAGTCCAAGCGGAGCAGGCGCGACGAGAGGCAGGCAAGCCTGCTCCAGCGAGCAGTCTTTTTCAAGGGCAAGGGGAAGCCAGCTCCGGCTTCCCACTGATTCATTCCCCAGAGCCCTTGTTGCCCCCACTCCATGCAAGCGGAGACTTGCCGACGGTGGGGTGCTCTGCCTCTTGCCACGCGTCCCCGTCGGCGGCCGACTGTCCCTATTCCTCCGGGAGTGGGAGGCAGCCACCTCAAATCCCTGGGTCCTGTCCACGCTCAGGGATGGCCATTTGCCACAGTGGAGGCGCTGATCCTCCGTCCTTCTCCGGGGGTTCGGCACACGCCTGTCACCGACCCCAGCGACAAGGCGGAAGTCCTCCGTGCCGGTTCAGTCTTTACTGACCAAGGCGCCATCGAGTGGTTCCTGTGAGTCAGCGAAAGAGGGTTTTATTCACCTACTTCCTCGTGACCAAAGGGACGGAGGGTTCAGACCCATTCTGAATCTCAGAGGGCTGAACAAATTACTGGAGGTGCTGTCTTTCAGGATGGAGACACTCAGGTCAGTGATCTCCTCCGCCGAGACAGACAGGATTGGCTTACGTCAATCGATCTCAAAGACGCTTACCTCCATGTTCCAATGCACCGATTCAAGAAGTACCTCGGTTCTCCTTCGACGGATCGCGTGCTACCAGTTTCACAAGGCTCCCCTTGGCATCTCCACGGCGCCAAGGGTGTTCACCAAACTTATGCTAATCCAGCTCAGTTAGCCAGGTCTCGGGCAGGTGTTGTCACCCGCATCTGGACGCATTGGCTTCACGGGCCTTAGGGCCTCAGTTAAGCAGAGCCTCCACACTGTCGTGCTGGATACTCTGGTGTCACTGGGCTGGATTATCAATCTCAAGAAATCAGACCTTGTTCCGGCGCAGGATCTGATATTCTTGGGAGCCAGATTCAACACGGGCGCTTAGGGATTGTTTCCTTGCTCGACCGCGATCGTCAAAGTCGAGGGGACTGTGTTACAGTTCCTCCAGTCCCCGTTCCTGCGCCGCCTGAACATGGCTTCGGTTGCTCGGCAACATGGCGCTTTGACAGTGGACATGGTTTGGCGCGGCGCGTTTGAGGATGCGAGCCAATTCAGCAAGCATTAGCTCAGCTGTGGTCCCACTTTCGCAGGGCTCACGAAGATTATGCTCATAGCCAGAGTGGTTAATCCTCACTTGCGATGGTGGACCGACGGCGTGGAATTTGTCCAGGGGATCCCCTCGACACCCGACACCTTCCCTCTCAGTTCAGACGGACGCCTCCCTCACAGGTTGGGGGTCCTGGCGAGCACTCAGCCTCCGGCCTCTGGTCGGAGCGGGAGGTCAGCCTACACATCAATGTGTTAGAACTGAGAGCAGTCCGCAAGGTGTTCGAGTGCTTCCGGTGTTGGTGCAGGGCCGTGTGGTTCGATCCTAGAAATGGACAATCAAACGGCCATGTCTTACATTCTCAAGCAAGGCGGCACAGTGTCTCTGTCGCCTCCTTCAGGAGGCGTGGCAGTTTCTACTGTGGTGCGATCAGTTCAACATTCGGGTTTTGCCTGTTTATCTCCCCGGGGTAGACAACGTCCGTGCAGATGCTCTCTCACGGGCGAAATATACTAGCCCCACACGCAGTGGGATGCTCGACCGAGATATTCGAGATTATCTCCCAGTTGTTCGGTCGTTCCAGGTGGATCTGTTTGGCGTCTGGGGTGACGAACCAGATTCCTGTGTTTTGCTCCCGGTTCGGATCCGGATGCGTTAGCCAACGGCATGCTTTCAGCTAGATTGGACGGACAGGGTACTGTGGGCGTTCCCCGATACCACTGATTTCAGGGTCCTGTCGCGGCTGACCGCACAACCAGCTGGGCTACTTGTGCTTCTGGCACCCCTTTGGTCGGCACAAAGCTGGTTTCGGTAATTCTCAGGTTTCTGGCTCAGCCTCCTGTTCTATTACCTTTTCGACCGGACCTCCTATCCCAGAACGGAGCTTCCCACCAATCCCAGGATTCAGTGGGTGGCTTGGCGCTATCAGGGATCGCCTCCATCGAAGCGAATTCCTGCACCAGTTGCAGACACAATTCTGGCTTCGGGAGGGATTCGACAAAGCGTTCAATATGAGGATAGATGGGCCTGTTATTCGCGCTGGTGTGTCAACAGGGGATTCTTGATCCCTTTTCTACAGATTTAGTCTGTGTGTTAAATTCCTCCAGTCTCGGTTGGAAGCCGGTCTAGCGGCTTCCACTGTTCGAGGATATTCTACGGCTATTTCTGCGTTTCATATTCCTGTTGACGGTGCTCTCTTGGGGCAGCACCCTCTTGTACAGCGCTTTTAGCAGGCGTGGACAGAATCCGTCCGGTTGTCCGACGGTTAGTCCCCGTGGGACTTGTCAATCGTTCTTGATTGGCTGTCCGTCCACTGTTTCACAATCTGTCGGCTCTTTCCTCCAGCTGTTGACGTGGAAGACGGCGCGCTTGTGGCGGTGACTTCTGGCAGGCGGGTTGGCGATATTCATGCAATGTCGGCCCGATCCCGCTTACTGTTTTCACAAAGACAGAGTTAGCATTCGGCTGCCTGAGACTTACCGTCCCTAAGAAGGATAGTCCCTTCCATGTGACGGCTTCTATTGAGCTCCCAGCTTTCACTCAGCCTTCCCTGTCCGTACCTCTCTCGACGCGTGCTCACGCCTCTTAGATGTCCGTAAAGACACTTCAGGCTTATATCAAACGAACAAGGGGTACCCGTAGGGTAACCAATTGTTTTGTTGTTATGGCGGGGTTCAGGCTGGTCTTCCGCCACCAAGCAGACCATTTCTCGGTGGCTTGTCTCTGCCATACATATGAGTTATACTCAAACAGGGCGATCCCACCTGTTGGGTTGAAAGCTCGATTCGGTTAGGGCGTGCTACATCGACAGCTTACGCTGCAGCCCTGCCCATTGAGGAGATCTGCTCCTCGGCTATTTGGAGCGATCCAGTACGTTCATCCATCATTACCAACTTGACAGACTCTCCAGTGAGCGTGCTCGGTTCCGGTCAGTCAGTTCTCTCCAGTGGGCATGGTTCCACCTCTCTAGCCGATTGAGCTTTGAGGTTTTTATTGTGTGAACCATTATCTGCCTATTTTTAACACTGGTGTTGGGTTTTACAAATCTTGTTACATTTTCCTTGGTGATGGGTTTTATGTGGTGATGGTTTTATTCCCATGTCTCTTGCTTTCTAACCGAGAAGCTCTAGACTAAACTGCCCTTGGAAACTTTGCTGTTCATATTCCGGCATTTCGTTTCTGGGTTTATTATTGCGGGACCCTTATCTTCACTTCCGAAAGTAGATTACGGAAGGAGGGAGGGTGTGTCTCGTTCGTTGCATTAGCGAGGTTTCGCTGGACAAATTTGCATCGTTTAACCCTGACCCTGGCTCATGCCCCGCCTGATTGGCTTTGGTGGACACGTGACCAGGTAAGTGTGCCTTTTCTGCTATAATTAGCTTGGGAAATTCCACTTCTTGTCGGGGTGTTTAAGCAGACAGAATGCCGCTCCTGAGATCCGTCTTTAGGAGTCTGTCTTATGCTTATAAATTCAAGGAGGAGGAATATATAAAAGAATCGAACTAACCTGTAGAGGTTTCAGATTCTTTGAATATATTCCTCCTTAGCAGTACCACCTCCCTCAAGCATTCTGTCTGACTTAAGTTCAGCATGGAAAGTGAGGTACCTAGGTTACGGTCTAGAGTTACCTGCTCTTGGCTGTAGGGGGCCGGAAGGCCCTGTAAGGGTGGTCTCACAAGACAAAACGTAGTTTTTGTTTTGTAAATATTTTATTCAAATATTGTTACAACTGTCGTAGGGAATTTAAATGGACATTTAAATGCTTATAAGTACCCCAAGGAGGAATATATTCAAAGAATCTGAAACCTCTACAGGTTAGTTCGATTTTTATTGTATTCCAATACAGGGAAACTTTAGTCTTCGTAATGAAGGTACACATTTCAGGTGCTCTGTACTTCAAGACTGTCACAGCTCTTATGCTAGGATAATTGTTTTTGCCAAGGCCACTGTAACTTGTCTTGAACAGTATTGGTTAATGTCTAGTAAGATGACATAATGTCAAACATTGTGTTGCCATGATGTCCATAGCGACTGACCAGCTGACTTACATGGGTTTCTTCAAGGAGATGACAGATGATGAAATAGCTAGATGCTGTGTGAATACTGATACATATCTGTCCATTTAACATACTGCTCGTCTCTACAGAGTGTCTGGAGGAGCTCGGCAGCCTTATTGAGTCGTACGGCATCACCATATGTCAGCCATCTCCTGCACACGCCCTCAAGATCATCGCTGGGCAGATCAGTGATCGGGACACATCTGTGAGGAACGCAGCCCTAAACACGGTTGTGACGGCACACACCATCCTGGGTGAAGGGATCTACAAGTACATAGGGCATGTGAGTACCGCGAGACCCCAGGAATCTGAAAAGCAGGATAGCGTTGTAGTGCCTAACAAATACATGTCTTTACATTTTGATGGCATTTTAGGAAGACAAAAATTAAAGCAAACAAATGTAATCATTGTCATCGAGAAACGTGAGAATGTGGATTTTTGTTGTAGTTGGCAGAGAAGGATCAAAGTCTCCTGGAAGAGAGAATCAAGAGGTCAGCAAAGACCAAACCACCCCCCAAACAGGAAGAAAGGCCGAAGACAGCACCACTGTCACAGAAAACTATGTCCCAGTGAGTAGAAGTGGTAGTGTGCAGGTGCCCCTCAGTAGGATTCCCGACCACACATACCGGTAATTTAAGGCAGAGATCAGCTGGTCAGATTCATGTCATCATACCCTGAAATGGCTTCAGTAATATCTTCCACAATATTCTCAAATGGATATGACGCAGCTTGAGTGTTGCTGAGTGCTGTATTATCACACATGTCAAGTCCTGCGATCAACCTCAGATTTCCTGGTCCAGATTGGATTATTTATTGGCTGCTTTATTCCCAAGTATTCTTTCATGTCATATGTAACTTCGTTTGGTTATTTCATTGTATTTTTTGTCATTACCATTTTCCAGACCAAATATTCCTCGTGCCCAGTCAGCAATGCAGAAATCGTCGTCCTCAAATTCCGTGAAGCGCGAGTTTGCACTGGACATCGACACCGAACCAACCAATTCCTATGACATGCCACAGCTGATTCAGCATGATCTAGATGACATCTACGAGCCAGTGAAACTACCCAAGATTAAGTGAGAGCATGTTTATATTTTACTTCACAGGCATGCATCGGAACTGAGTTAAATAATTTTTCCTTATCCTGACTCATGATCTTTTGCTTATCTCCCTTTCCCTTTCGAATGATAGTGGAACACTTGAATCCCTTGAAGTTCCCGAAGCTGACGTATAAGTACACTCACCCACGAGTTACCTCCTTGCCCTTTCCCACGCAAACATATCATGTGACGTGCCCATACTTGTTACTCTCTCCCTTTTCGCCCAAGCGGATGGTTGGGCGAGCACTGGAGTCCCGTATACGGCATTATATCCTTTTATATTTAGGTCCTATTCTTCAAAATTACGATGTATATGGATTTGATTATAACTACTTGACGAGAAGCCCTCCCAACCTCCCCACTGGAAACACTTCAGATTTCACAGCAGACCCAAGTGCATGGGCAGAAAATCAGGAGAGAGTGACAAGTAAGGCTGGTCACATGACTGTTTGCGCGGGAAAGGGCAAAAGGGAGGTAACTCGTGGGTGAGTGTATTTTTTACGTCCGCTTAGGGAACTTCAAGGGATTCAAGTGTTCCACTATCATTCGAAAAGAAAAGGGAGATAAGTAAAAGATCATGAGTCAGGATAAGTATAAAAATATCAATTTTACTTAAAAAATTACATTTTCATTCAAATTTTCAGATCTTTTATTAGGAGGTACATGATAATTGTACAAAAGATGGACTTACATAGAACATTGATATATAAGAGCATTATTTCTTCCTACTTGTCCTTAATCTTCCAGCTTGGCAAGGTGTTTTATTTACCTAATTAATTTCCAGGTTGACGAAGTGTTGAAGGACGAGGAGAGGGCAGAGATCATGGCTGGTCACGTGGACCAGCTGCTGTTGACGCTGTCTATGCAGTTCAAGATGGTGTACTCCACCCACATGGGGGATGAGGACACTCCGAAGGACGATGTGGTCAGACTTTACCGATGTCTGCTGGGAACACTACTAGCAGTGAGTAATCAATAGCATGTTTGATAGTGAAGATTTTTTTGTAAATTCTCATTGACCACACTCCATTAAATAAAGTATTGTGAAAAACAGCCTGAAAAATATGTTACTGTTAAAAGGATATGCACAAAACATTAGTTGCTACAAACAGTTTTATGCCTTGAGAAATAAATGCCTGTCAACTTGCTTCCTGTCAAGGATTAAACCATTTGTCTGGCAATCTGACTGTCTTGAGCTTAGCAGAAGCCTGGGTTTTCTAAAAGCTTTTTTCAGTTTGTTGGCAGATTCTGCTAATTTAAAAAAAGAAAAAAAAAAGTGTTGAGCACATAAAGTTGTTCATCCAGTAGATTAAGTGCAATTCAGACAAGACAAGCTGTGAACACTGCACAGTGGGCAATATGTTGAGATTATTTTATGATGAACCAAAAGCATGTAGCATAACTGTTATATACTTCCTACTAGTGTAATTCACAAGAAGCCAAACAAACTATGAAGAAAACTAACTAAAAAGTATGGATGACTCTTACCTACAGATCCTCCAGACCCAGCGCCTGGCTAAGAAGGCTGGCAAGGACATCCTGAAGGATGTGGTCAACTCACTGATCACCATCCTGCTTGACAGTCGGTTGATGGAGCTGGAGGAGGGTCCCCAGGTTGTCCGCTCCGTCAATGTCACCGTCGTCAAGATCGTCGAGAAGACTGACCACACCAGTATCACAGGGTGTGTAACTTACTCTTGTTCTTAAACACTGGTAACCGAACCCATGGGACTGAGGGTTAGAGTTTGTCCCCAACAACCTAAGCTGGTCATACAGGCAACCATCTGACTCAGTAGATTGCATGCTAATGTACCTGAATGGTAGGGATCATTGTTTTCAATATCTGTGTTGTCTACTGGCTGCTGTCATATTGGTGGAATACTGCCATACACTGTGTTCACAACATGCATGCACACATACACCTTCACACTCGTGTTACAATTTATTTTAGACATTTTTCAGAAGTACAGTATGTAATAATAGTGATTTCAAGTTGTATGATCACACCCTATTTTGATTTAGTGTGAAGAAACATTTGCATAGTTCAAATAAATGAGGGGTAGTAGGGTAGCTTAGTGGTTAAAGTGTTTGCTTGTCGGGCCAAAGACCCAAGGTTCGCTTCCCCACATGGGTACAATGTGTAAAACCCATTTCTGGTGTTCCCTACCATGAAATTTCTGGAATATTGCTAAAAGCAGCATAAAGCCACTCACTCACTCTTCTGAGTTTTGCAGTCTTGTTCAAGTTGGCCACTAAGATCATTCTGGATTTGTTTCAGTGCCCTGATTCGGCTCCTACAGGACTGTGTGGCCAGTGAGACCTGCACCAGCAAGTTCCTTGACCTCATCATGAAGGTAGGCAGCTCTTGTCTATGTATGCTGTCAACTTTAGTGTGTATGCACCACAATGAACAATGGTTGAGATTCCCTACATGGGTACCTCACAGTGACTGAAATATTTTAGAAGTGGCCAAAGAGCTCTTTAGATTGTAGGATGAAAAATAAAGCCATAATGATCAGTAATAAACAGGCCAAAATTTTCGAGAAAGACTAATAATGTTATGGTGGTCATGGATGGTTCTGTGGTCTAAGGCACCACAATTCTGTTTCCAGAGTTGCTTCCCTTTAATGTGCCAAGATCAGATGAGTGTTTCCAATCTCAGATTTGTCCCACTATAGGATTGAGAAAATTACCTAAGACAACATGTTTTACTTGTGTTTTGTACAGATATTTTGTATTTATTTACATTCCACGTTGGTATGTTTCAGTGTTTGTGGAAGATGATCCGGATGTTGCCGGACATCATCAACGACCTGAATGTGGACCGCATCCTCATGGACTGCCATCTCTTCCTGCGTGCGTTTCCCTCCAGTTCCTGGAAGGACAAGGGGAGTGATCTCCCCTTGAGGACCATCAAAACCATTTTACATTCCCTTGCTAGACTCAAAGGTCATAAGGTCAGTTCAAATTGGATATTTGATTGGATATTGACATTGATCCATCTGTGTTTGTTTAGTTTCCAAATGTTCTTTGATGGGTCACTTAGAATATTGTTGTCATGTTTGTTTGTTAGTAGTGTGTGACATTCTGTCTCTGCAGATTCTGTACCACACTGGCATGATTGAGAGTTCAGAGAACTCCGAGGTTGAGGCATACCTCCAGAAGGTTCTCAAGAATGATGTTGCTGCAACAAATGCCAAAAATGATGAGCTGAATGACAACAGAGAGAAGACACCAAAGGTGAGAAAATGGAACACTATCTTAAAATACAAACTCTTAACCAATGCTCTCAGCTTCTAAAATCAGGGGTTTTTGTGACATTTTTGTGTGCTTCTTATTTATTTTAAATATTTTCTTGTTTTTTAAGAGTTCATCAAAAACAAAAAGATTTTCCAAAACAACACATGACATGTTGGCTGAGATTTTCAAGAAAATTGGTGCCAAGGAAAACACAAAAGAGGTAAGCCTTGGATAATTATCGATGTAACATTATGATTGGTATGGATGTGATCTTTCTTTTATATGTAGATAATGTCAGGTGCTTTTCCAAGTCATAGTGATATCTTTTCCTGTGACGAAATGTCATCTTTGTGTTTAGACGAGGTCCAGTGTTCAAATTACACATCTGTTCGGTGTTGAAGCCCTGTTCGGGTGTCCCCTACCTTGTAATAGATTCAAGAATGATACAAGAGGCATTAACTTGAAATCAGTCCATCCGTCCCTGAATCAATCCATCTTTGGCAATTTATGTTAAGCTGACATGCTGTATCATAAAATTTGTTGAACCATTGCTTCACATCTGAAAAACTATAAACATGCAGCTATCATTCCTTTACATGTCTGTATCTCCAGGGCTTGAACGACCTGTATGACTTCAAGAGGAAATACCCCGATGCTGACCTGGAACCCTTCCTCAAGAAGTCCTCCCAGTTCTTCCAGAATTACATCGAGCGAGGTCTGCGAGGAATAGAGGAGGAGAGGATGGGAACATCAGGTGAGGTTGCCAGTCACGGTCTCACAACATAACATACTGACATGGCCGGCAGGAAGTCTGTAGTGCTGGAGTTCACTGTTAGTTATGTCCCTAGGGCTAGTTCATCCAGGCACTGGCTCCCAAGTGTATCACGACAATTGTTGGTCTCCTTTCATTCTGCTGTGACATCATGTGTAATTATGTGGACCAGATAGTGTACAGGACTGGAAATAACCTATCCATGATGGTGGATGTCATGTAATGTTAATGTTTCTATCAGGTGAATCTGGCAACATTCCTGTCATGTCGTCGACATCGTCATCAATGTCATCATCTGGTCAAAGTGGTGGATCTGGCGAGGAGAAGGAGGATCCCAACTATTTCCGTGAGAGGCTGAAGATGCTCAGAGTCAAGTGTGGTCTTGACCACAACAAGGAGGTAAGACTGTGTGAGGGTTTCACCCAACTAGTCTCAGAGCTGCATCACTTTCAGGTTTTCCTCAACACCAAGTGACAAGGTCAATGAGTATTAAGTCTGTTATGTCATGAGAGGCTGATAGACATACTGAGATCACCTTGTGGGACAAGACTCCATGGCATCCCTCTCCACCCTGGAATACAACTGGAGTCGTGCTGACTTTAAAGTTCAATCTCCAAAACATGCATGATTGATACGTAGTCCTCTTTGAAGTCATGTGATGTTGTTGCTCCTATTGTTCATAATGACATGAATTAGTTCTTATTTTGTGTTTCGGTATATACCATTCAAATTAAATGTGGCATGTAACAAGCTTGCTCTTCCTTTTTTGTGGTAAGATTAGAGTTGTTCAAGTAAACGTTTTTAGAGAACAAGTTTTTAAAATCTGCTTTTCACTGTTTATTTGAATTTGTGATATTCTATTAGAGTCCTTGTTTTTGCATGGAATTAATTGTAATGATGCGAACAAATTATGTCTAATGTCTTTTGTGTTATGAGTTCTGAAAACTACAAATGTCCTGCAACATGTGCCCAGATGGACGTGGTTGCACATTAATAAGTTGTCAGGTTTGTGTTGGCAAATAATGTTGTACTTCCCCAGTCTGTGCCGACATCACTCAACAACCCAGGCAGTATCAGCTCAGCATAGTCCCCTCTCAGATCAGTAGAACACTGGTTATACTCCTGAAACATGGATTGGTCAGCAGGCATAATGTCTGTTTGAAGACCTTTCCAATATTTTAGATGGCTTGAACTATCATGCCTGTCAATCTGTCCAAAAAGTTGCTTTCTTTGTAAAGTGAAAAAAAACAAGATTCAAACATAAAGAGACCTGTTTTGGGAAAGGCAGAAATTGTTATTCTGGCCAAAGTTGTTGCCTGCACGCTAATTTTGTGGCAATGTTTGGTGTGCTTTTGTTACCCTGGGCCTAAAGGATGGGGCAGAGACTGGGTTGACTGTTGTGGCATGACCAGCTTTCTATGTTGTTTCCTCCGTCGCCAGGCTGGAGATCCCGATCCCAGCAACGCTGACGACATTGACGTCCTAGGTAGCACTGAGAATTTGGTAAGTAGTGGAGGAAGGTGCAGACTTGTACAACTATTGCTTTGGGGGCCTGTGTATTCCCGCATCAAACAGTTCATGGTATTGTCAAAATTGTCAGGCCAAACATATCTTTCATTTCACAAGTTTACTTGCTCAAGGGTCAGGGAATGTAGCGAAGGTGTTAAATGCAAACATCTCATAGTGTTGTAATATGATTTTAGGAAGAAGAAAGAAACATCTAATAGTGTTGTAATATGATTTTAGGAAGAAGAAAGAAGTATTTACTGCTGACAGGTGTATCGTGTACCGGTAGAATTGATCTTGTGAATGATTCATTATGAATAGATTGACGAATGGTACCTAGCCTCCCCATGAAAATCTGTGCATGCATTAGATATTTTAAGTTGAATTTTGTCCCTATTGTGATTAATCTCACTGTAGAGAGCATTAGAAATTGCTTGAATTATGTAACATGTTTTATGTCACAAATATGGTACAAACAAATCCTATGGATCTTTTATCTGTGAGTGTCCCCTAATTTGTTTGGGGTTTCCAGGGCAGGGTGGTAGGCCCAGTGTACCAGATATTACCTTCCCACACCTTCCTCCCACTGTCTCTGTAGCAGACGGCATGGATCATTGTTCAATCTCTCCACAACTGATTCACTTCTCCCACACTCAGTTACTGGCAAACCCAGTGACATGGCTGCAGTGTCGCAGACCCTCAGTCCAGTACATGCCATGTTCCTAGTTGTCACTATGTAAACATTGGGTTGACAGGTCCAAAATGACTGACTTGAGTCAAACTATGGTTTGCTTGCTTGAGGTTGAAGGATTGGTGGCAGATATTGGTCTACATACTGTCAGAGTCCGACTCCCTCGATCCCACCCTTCCAGCCTGTCTCCATCACACTCACACTTATGACTGGCTGTTTCAGGACGAAGCTACATCCCTCGATGATGACAGACAACAAGAGAACATCGACCCTGAACCTCCCCAGCCCACCAACCCTGCCGTCTCTGTGGATGTGTCTGATCTCAAAATGAGGCTTGAAAGAATAAAAAAGCTGGCGAACAAAAGCTGAGATCCTTCAAGAAAATCCCAGGAATGTGCATGTTAGACAAAATATGGAGGACTGGCTACAACACTGAGGACTTCCTGACCACAGCTAGAGCAATGTGTCGTCTACTGGTGGGACTCTCTGCTTTATTTATGTGCCTGCTTTGTTGTAGTCTCACCAGAGATCGGACTCACCAACTTTGTGATAAACAGTCAACCTTGCCCAACATCGTCAGTGTGGCCCAGTCTGTGTGTTAACCGAATCAACTGTCTACAATCTGTATATTTACAATAACCGTATTTATGATTCAATATCACTATGTCATAGTGGTTGTAAATCCATTGTGAACCTAACAATCACTTTGGTACACTGAAATTCTTGAAAACCTAATGGCTAATCTGCTTTTCAAGAAGGTTGCTTGTACTGGTATACAAAATCCAGATGTCAAAGGTTTTCTGAATGCTTTGCTGAACTTACTTGGTGTGAATACGTGAATAGGAAGCTGATCTGACTGAATGCAGTATGAAGTGCTATTGTTGTTATTTTGTTGTTAAATGCAGCTTCCAGTGCGGGTGGTGATGTTGTCACATCATCTGCTTTCATCATTTTCATCACCACATTTGGCTGACGAAGACAAGCATATATTGCTGTCCACGATGTGGACTGTTCAGATCTCGCACACTTAGGGGGAAGAGTATTAACAGAATCTGTACGGTGATATTTGATAAGGGTCTGACAGTCAGTACTAGTCGAAAGTTGCGTAAACCCAGAATGGAGTTATTTTCATAAATCTGCTGTATGAAATGAGCAGTGGACAAGTTAGATATGACCAACACTGCTGTTCAAATGGATATTGAAGTCAGTGGCTAATACTTACCGGTAACCAAGGATATAATGAAGTGCCAGCTGTTCAACTTAGGTAATATACACAGAAGTATTGTCGAAAATGATCTTAGTGAAAATAGTATACTTCACTCGTGAATGAACACATCAAACCCAAACTCCAAATGCATGTGTGTGTTCAGTAATGGCAGGCACTGGAGGTGTACTTGTTTCACAAGTGAGGTTCAAGGCCCAGTGCTTCCAGCGTGATACACATATCGATGTAGTGGGGCACTCCTCTTGTACTGGGGCTATGTCCTAGTATTCAGGTTAAATGCCTAAATAGGACCTTATCAGGTCAGATCTTCTAGTTCAGGAATATCTTGACTTGTAGCCAATGTACGTCCCTGGTAGAGTATGTATACCGGTGTTCAAAAACATCTACATTACAGACAGGCTATCAGAAGGTCTTGATCCAGTTACTATGATGTAACATCTAAGGCTTACGATGTCCCAACATTGCAAGTAGAAAGTTGTAATTTCAGCTCAACAGTTCGAGACAATCTGCTTGGTTTTGGGCAATCCATTTTGAAAAGATGTAGGGCTATTATTGTGTTCCCAAAGTTACCTGTACATTCTCTTGTAATTCAGTGTATAAGGTACATTAGGTGGACGGCTAACTTTGTACAAATTGTTAGTCTGGTTGTGTAACTGAAATCGAGGGAAATTGATAGACGACAGCTTTGATTGACATGCGTGTATATGAAATATTGCATTGTATTTGCATTATTTAGGAAAATCCCAACTTGCTCATCTTGTCATTGTCATGCATATATATAAAGTATATTCTGACCTGTGTACTCTTCTGTTGGTGTGTTTCTTACTGCTAAACACAGAGTCTTCGAGTCAGTCTCTGGGTGTCTCCTTCAGATCTGTTGTTTAATAACAGGGCTGCATGTGCTAGAGAGAGTGTGCTGCTTGTTTGTGTCAGATTTTCGTCTGTTTGTACAGGGAAAACGATTCTATTTTTTCTCAGCCCCCAACATACATGTACACTGATGCCCAGAGAGTACCATTTAACAATAATGTGCTCCTAGTGTTAATAATGTTGCTTCCCACCTTCCCCATCATCACACATGGGAGCATTTTGAACAAAAATTAAGATTTGTCTTAATCAGGATTCTGATTGGTTTATTGTTAACAGTACGGAACCCACAAAATGATCATAACTACAGCTTTTTTTAGTCCCGCACTTCAGTGTCGACTTGTTTCAGTCATTACACTACGGTCAGCATCTGGGGCCTGTTTCACAATGTGGTATTGGTGCCACAACTGTAAGTCCATTTTGTAAGCTTGTGACTTGTTTCAACTTTTTGTTGAAACTGGTCTCCGTTCATTTCTGTGAGTCTTCACATTATTATCAGTTCTACAGTGTGATCCAAAAATGTCTTCAGTTCATCGCATACTTAGAAGTGTCTGTCTGTTCTATCCTCATGTTCATAAACATTGACATCATCCTAACCTTATTTGACAATCATAATCATAACCATAATCATAAGAGTCAGCTACAGTGGCTCAGTCAGTAGTATTCATCACATCATTAGGCAAATCATAGAGGTTCAGCTTGTCAGAAATTAAAGATGTACACATTTTTTTGCAATTTGAACAAATGCATGTGTTTTGCAGAGTACACCATTTCTGTGTCATTAGTAAATAGCATATGAGACATTCTGAGAAATGCATAATCAGGTACCGGTATGAAGTTTCTCAGGCTGTTTGAACATAAGGATTGAGTGTTTATTGGTCAGTTTAATATGAATGTGTAGACAGGTTTGTGTTCGACAACAACTGTCTGGTGAAACTGTCAGTGGTCGTTGTCCATTTCACCATGTTCATTGCTTTATTTACAAATGGCATTTATCATCTGTTATGGCAGAATGTGCAGGGAAACATGTCAATACTCAGTCCTTATCCTTTCAGGCTTGATTTGTTTATTTATAATGATTATCTATAATTTGGCAATTCATTCCTCAAGTAACTCTGAATCCAAATAAATAAAAAATATATAAGTGTATATATAAATATATACAGTGTATTGACCAATTCAGTCTTTGTACCAAGACGCTGTTGATATTGTGATGTTCTTTGTATCTACTAGGGAGTGGTCATTTAATATTAATACAAATATACTTGCCATGGAGACATGGCATTTGCTTAAACAGGGTGTTTCATGTTGAATTTAGACACCATCTTATCAGCATTACTAGACCTGGCATATTTCACGACAGTAATGCTAACACTGCATTTCATTAACAGTTAACACACATTTTAACAAGAGTCAAGTTATTTTAAGGTTTTGTGATGTTTGGATGTATTGAATATGACTTACTCGTGATGTATGGGTACAGGTACACTATTGTATTCACTGACAGAAACTGTCAGTTCTTGTATGGGTGTGGCTATGTGTTATGCTTCTTTTCCTAATATTGGAAAGTAGAGTTATCTTCCCTTGCACCAGATGACCAAATATGGGCAGGCTGTCTATTACGTGGTGCTGTTTGTAAAGTGCCGTGGTGACACAACTTGGACACTAATCCCTTCTGCACAAACGGGTTGTGTAGGGCAAAGGATGCAACCATCTTGTGTTTCATTAAGCAAATAGGTGTTATGGTATTTAATCCTCCACTGTATAATGTAAGGTTTTTGTAACAAATTCATTTGGTTTGGCTTGCTCTCATCTTGGCTAACATTTTCGGGATATTTGTCTGCCTTATCACAAGAAATCTTGGCTGCAGTTGTATCAGTGTATCAATTGTTTGCAAGCATAACTGAGCTGTGTCGTCATTGTAGATGGGGAGTAGAATATGACCAGCCCTGAGTGGATGTCTATGCAAGGGGAGGTAACTCTGGTATTAAACCAAGTGTGACGAGCAATGTACGTGTTTGCTGCTGAGTGTGTGAGATGTCACGTGTCTAATGACACAATTGTTTGCTGCATATTTTGTGCTCTGGTCAGAAGCCACTTTAAACCCTGTATAGCCGCCCATGATCTTGGCCCTGCATTTCATAGCTAAGGACCTTCTTGGAATCACATGCCCAAAAGAAGTCAGTGGACACACTGATTCCATTCTGCCTTTGCGTCAGTGTCCCACCAATGTTGAACCGGTCGGAGGCAAACAGGGTACGATGTTTGTAGTGGTAAATGTGCTAGCATGGCTTCCTCTGTGACTTTCCATTTGTTGATAGTTACAAAGCAGTTTTGATGTTATTGAAGTGCTCTAAAGTCTGCTATTTTGTACAAGCTTTTACCTGTTCTATACAGTTAGCTGAGAACCATTTATCCTGGCTGGCTGTTGTGTATATATGTACAGTTTAGTGTTGGTGCAAGCCTTGCAGTCTTCCTGGCTCACACACATGCAGGGATGCCTTTCCTAAGGAATTGCTTCCATTCTTTCCAAGAAGATCTGCCTGTCACTTTTTAGCCTTTTCTCCCCCCAAAATAACAAGGACATTTTGACCATATATTATCTTCGTCCTCACTCCAGCAGAGACTTTGTCTAAGGTAGAGGACAGCATCCCTTTACACACGCGCACTAAAAACTTTGCTAACCAAACTGGCTGTGCATTGCATCTGGTACATGGCAGAAAATATGTAGTGTGTATTTTAGTCTGATTTTTCTATTTAGTAAGTTAGGCAGGAGGAAATGTCATGTTAATAAATATCTAATTTTAGGGATGAAAATATGTAAAACAATTAATCAATTTGATTTGGCCTAATCATGAATTAAAAGGAATTTAAGCATCTGATTTCAGTGGTCAGTGTGATGTCGAAAGTTTATCTAGTTCCACCCTAAGGTCTGTGTAGACCAGTAAAGTGTCTTCTGTACCTTGCAATGTCCCAAGAAGTAGAAGTGTGAGTGGAAGTTTGCCGTCTGGCTGCTGAGAATGACTTGGATGTGCAAAGCAGAATCTTTGTCTCCTCTATCTCATACCTGTTGATCTTCTCTGTCTGTCACACACACACATTAGTTTGTGTAAATCTGTAATTGTGTAAATCTGTAATAATGCCACATAAATACAATAAACAACTTCTACAATTACGTCATATGTGTTTGTTTTGTGTGGATAACAACTTGGCCAGAGTTTGCTTGTGGGTTTCGGGGGCCAAATATTCACATAAGCATTAAGCACCACTCTGGGGGGTTTTCAAATGAGAACAAAACACTACATTTTGTTGAAAAGTATGCATTTTAAGACATACTGTGACATATTTTACTTCAAAAGTACATAAATTGAAATTTGGCAATAACATTGACTTGCAGTCTGAGAGGAATGCACCAAATGTGAAACTGACATTATAGAGCCAGAAGATTAAAAGTTTGGTGAGTACAGAGTATCCGAAGAACAAACCACTTCTAAAAAAACCCTTTTTTTTGTAAACTCCATTAATTTATTGAAATCCACCATTTCTACATGAGCCATCGTAACATGTGGTTATATACAATGAGCCACAAATCACAATTGAGCAAAACACATCAATCATCCACATTATAGCTAAATTACATGGAATTATCATAAAACGGCCCTCCCATTATCAGAAATTTGCGGGCCGCTGCAAATGATATTGGACCGCTCAACCTTAATGATAATGCCCTGAAAAATAGCATTACTCTTATAGTAACAAATCATTGTAAATACTTAGCTGACAACTTCATCCCACAACCGACATAATGTATACTACTGAACAACATCCTTACAGATTATACAGATCCATCTCTAGTCTGTTATAGTAAATACACAACCCATTATCACACCAAGCTCAGAATGGGAAGGGAGTATTGTATGTAACAGGTGTTAAAGTTAACACCGGCATATAAACAACCTACATTCAACATGACGAAACAACAGAGTAGGGTTAATCGCCACTTTGTACAGTATTACTATCATATTACAATGTGTCTGTAAAATGAGGAAGTGAATCTAAAGGGACATTTACTTGTTTAGCCACGCACAGACAATTTATCTACGGTGCTGACAATTCAAAGGTGATAATCTGAGGGAATCAGCCGAGATGGTCCTAGCAAAGGGACACAACTCGGTACACTGAATTAGGTCTTGCACAACAGGACTTACTGTGCTTCTAAATGTTACCAAAGCAAGGGGGAACAGGGGAGGTATTATATGGAAGAATTAATGAAAAGATTACATACAAAAAATGTTAAACATAATGATCTTCAGTAATATTTCTGGAGTTTAAACTGGTTTAACTGCAATGAAACTAGAAAAACACGAAAGAAAGGAGTAAACATCAATGAATCCTTCAACATTATGATGTACTGCCATCATGGAACCTCACACAAAATAGATACATAATTATGACAATGGATGAAGAGTATACCAGCTGAACATTTGGTGGAACTGATCTGGAGTATATTTAAGTATTTTCACAGGTGGCTAACCTTGCTTGCTGTCTACAACAACACTCAGCAATATTCCAGCTATATGATGGATGTCTGTAAACAAGTCTGGACCAGACAAACCAGTGATTGATAACATGAGCATTCATCTACACAATTGGGATACAGTAATATGGTTCAACCAATCCTGAGTTGCAAGTCCAACCACCCAATCCTGTTGGTCAACTCTTACAACAAGCATGGGTTGCTGAAGACCAATTCTAACCTGATTTTTACAGTGGTCCTGATAACAAGATTCCAAATATTCCCAAAGTGAGACAGGTAGAAATACCTGTTCACTTCAAAACTTGTCACAGGTGCAAGGTCAAATTTTTCAGAAAGATAAACTCACACCTTACACCATATAGTGTTATCTGCACACAGCACAAAATGTTAGGAAAGACAACCAAAACACACCACAGAACGTTACTAGCTCTATTGCTGTTTTCATTCTGTTCGTATCTGAGAAAATATGAGGATATTCAAACATTAACGAAAAATTTCATCCACCATCAAACTTTTGTACTGTTCCCTGAGGTTAAATCAAAAGGCTTGAAGTAAACAACACATATTTTCAATGTGATAATTAACCTTGCCTTCATTAAGAAAATGTCTCTCCATGTACATGGGTTACTGAGAGCTCACAAATTTGAATGAGAGTGTGAGTACATATTGTTGAATAGTGCAGCTGTATCATGACAACCGTTACAACTATCTGAGACTTAACCAGGAATACAAGAGTATGCATACAACCAAGATTGCTTGTCATTAAGGAACTAATCACACTCAACCAGCCAAGGCACTTTCACACAATGCAATCTCAGTGCTAATACTATTTTAACTCCGACATTTATCACACTTACTGCAGTTGTAACATAAAGATTGCTTAGCGGAACTGGGGCCAGTTCACACACTGTAGGCATCAAGCTGGCACCTAAAGGTTGCTGGGCACCTATTACATCTCCCCACTGGTTGAGTACCTGAACAACAATATGTCTCAATAAGAGACACATCTACTCAACTTGACACACTCTAATAGTTCTAATGTAACACATTATGCAATACCATGGTAACATATAAAAATATATATATAAATTGCATAACATCTTAAAAAAATGCATTTCTGACAAAAAGGAAATCCTAAATCAGGTAGTGGCTATAAATAGATTGTGATAGACACCTTTTCTGAAAAACTGTCAAGTCCAAGAAACAGCCTCTATGAGGTTTCCATGTCAGTTTGGTAGGAAAGACAACAACTGTTTAGGGGATTTGGACAATGTATATCCAGTGTTAGAAACATTTAAAGCAGATGGTAAAATTGTAACAATCTTTGGTCAATACACAAAGTGACTAAGAGTATTTTCCTGGAACGGGTACATCCCGTTCCGAGAGAGCTAATGCTAGCTTTAAGGACACAGTAGAAGAAGTACAACAGGTTGCATATTCACTGCAATGGTATTATGTGATGTTTGGCTCTAGTACAATGCCGCTCTGCTTGTAGATCTGACAAAGCCTGTTTTGGAGGTCACATTGACTGAACCTGACTGAACCTTGTCCGTCCAGTCTGAATGAAGCTCAATGAAGGCTCTGATAGTTCAAAGTTAAAGTCAGGATATACCTGGTGTGACTCCTATGGTGGTGTTGCCTGATCTTGATTCTGGGAGGCATTGTATGGAGAACCACAACATCTGATTAAGATCAGCATGGAATGATAAAACAATGCCATTTAGAAAGTGGTCAAATGTAACATATGTTATATTTGGGATTATACTTTCTTAGTAAAGTACAAATTCTAGTACTTTTTTAGTTGAGTCCCATCCGGGATTCTAACCCACACCCTCAGAGTCAGGCACCTAATCGCCAGCACACAAAGTCAGCCGCCTAGACCGCTCACCCACCGCAACTTCTGCATCAGCATGGACATACAGAACTTGTCTTGTACAAAGCAGAGTGGTACGGTGTGGTGCCGGCATAATGGCATACAACCAAATTTGGTAAAAGTGTATGAGTAGAAATACTTGAGGTAACAAAATTTCGATATGAGTGAATAAATATAGTTTGAAAGTTTGTCAGGAAGACATGAGCAAGTTTAAGGAAGAGTTTACATCACACACAACAAAGATTCTCCACCAACTTGTCATCACAGCCTCAGTTTGACACAGTGAAACCTCAGTAATCCAGACAGAGCTAATAGTGATATTGTCAAGAAACCTGAGTTTTGTCCCTCTTATCAAACATAGCTTATCCTGAAAAAATGCCTTAAGGAATGATTTCCAGATCAACTGGCTATGAGTATACTATCTACAATATCATTCTCGAGTAAACAACAACTAAATAATAAACTACCCTTTACATTTTGGCAGTAAGTATGTAAACTCCATTAGAAGTAAAAGTAAATCCATATATACTGGTAGTAAAGAAATACAAATATCAGTGTATATTAAACCTGTGTAAAAGATGCTGCTGTAAACCTTGTAGAACTGAATACCTTGATGAATGAGTATGTTGCCATAAACAGGCACTGCACCTTGTTGCGTTTAAAGGTCTGCAGTAAGGCACACCCAAAGGCTGGAGGACTTACAGCATCATGTGACCTGTATATGTCAATGAACCTGACTCACATTATGACAGTATTAGAACCATGTCAGGTTGAAGACGGAATGAAATAGGTTTGTGGTCTTAACATGACTCCCAGATGAACCAGGTTTCTCTGTGGAACCTTGAAAGGGACGTCATATTATACTACTTTTTGGTCCTAATATATTTCATTTATTATAACAAGATCATTTGTCTTACATCTGAAACTACAATACATCTCCATAGTTGTTATGTCTAACTTGGTCCTAGTGTATAACATGATCTGGGATACTGAAGTTGTGTTTAGTTAGAAAATATGCAAAATGCTTGAAAACTATGTAAAATATATTGCAGTTCTTGAGTTCAATTAAGTATTTGATCTACCAACCGTAAATTTCAGACTTAAAGTTAAATACAGAGACTTTTGTATCTTCAGGCAGTCTGGTTACCATGACAACCATAAAAACTTCATAAAGACGATAATGAAAGGGTGGCCATTCCCCGTAACATTTAACATTTCCACGCTTAATTATTATATCATATTATTTACATAGATAGTCATTATTTCATTTTTGTCATTTACTTTGCCCAAATGACAATATTATCAAAGAAATTTTGTGAATGTGCATGTTATCAAAAACTAATGTTTTCAGACACTGAACCTAAGGTTGTTTATGATACAACATAGTTAAACTTTTAATTTGATTTAATTTTCTTTCATGCATATAAACATACAATAACTTAACAGAGTGGAAATAATTACGGGCCACTGTAATGAGCTACCACTGTAAAAAGGGTTCACAATAAAATTATCCATTATTCTAATGTCTACCATAAAAGTCTGCAGCATCAAAGGTCCTTGTGGCATGGTAGCTGTGAAATAAGGTTCCCCTGCACATAAAGATCCATCTTCAAATATTTCCAGACTCTGAAATGCAAGCAATAAACACATCATGGATTTGTTCAGTAGTTCTTAGAAGATCAACCCAGAGCATTCGGACGTTGGCCCAATGTTGGCAATGTTGGCAAAACCATTGCCAACGTTGGGCCAACGTCTGAATGCTATCTGGGAACATACCTTGCGGCCATTGTGCGGGCTGTGAAAATGCTTGTGTGAAACAATACTCAAGCAACACACGCTTTAACCATTATGTTACACATCCCCCTTGACAATGAGCAAGTGAACAAAATTTAAATTTAAAAAAAAGAGAAAAGATAATGAGCAAGTGAGTATGGTTTTACACTGCTTACAACAATATCACAGAAGGAGCCACCTGAAATGGGCTTCACACACTGTACATGGTCTATGTGAGGACTGGACCTTGCACAGTAGCTTGATGAACCACTTGTCTACCCCACCACCCAACTTGGTCATTAATACTGATGATAACTTAAAGACATAAACCTTACTTCAATCTCCAGATGCATAGCCAATCGTCTGTAGAGCTTCCTTGATCTGTGGGTAAACCGAGGCGTCTTCGATTGTAGCTGGGATCTGGCGAGGAAAGACAGAAGTGACACCATTGTCTCAGGTTAATCTTTCTTATCACACAGCACTTTGAAATCAACAACACTAAACATGCCCACTCTGAGACTGTGTGTATATGTAACTAAATGTTAAACTTGTGGAGAAGATGATTATCTGAGTGTTAAGACAGTGGAGGGGAGTCTGTACTGTACAAGCCAATGACAGGTTTGACTGCAACACAATGATCTAACAATAGCATGGGGTTCAGTTATGAGTGAGTGAGTTAACATTTTACGTCACATCAGCAATATTTCAGCCACATCATGACGACGGTTGAGTTATGAACAGAAGGTGCCAAGACATCTTCCGATTTCTTACACACACACAGCTCAGGGTGTACCCGCTGGAATTTGATTTTATGCCACTTTAAACAATGTCACATGACGGTATGTCAGCTTGATATGCGAGATAAAGCCCGAAGTAATGCAATCTCAGACATCTACCACTTGGGCGAAACCCACTAGTACAAGTTGGTGCTTACCAACCTGGAAATATCATCACTGTGAGTCAAGATTCGAACCAATATCACAGTTTCTGTGACGCCAAAGAGCCAGTCTACACCTGAGACACCAGGGGCTCCTTTCACGAAGCAACCTTTACTAAGGTTAACCTTAACTTCCATTCTTTAACATTGTACTAAGGTTACCTTAGTGCCTTACGATCACCTTTGTGCTTTGTGAAAGGAGGCCGTGGTCCACTCACGCTCCTCACAACACATCCGGACAATTCTGTTAGGACAGAACAACTCGACTAACCTTGTAGGGTTTGTTGGCTGCCATGGCTGCCATTGTGTTCCGCGACTTTCCCTGAGCGAGTCTTAGGAAGCTTGGGGACGATCACAGCTTTCTTGAAGGCAGCAACTGGCCCAATCTTCTCTCTCACGGCCTGAATCACATCTCGGATGACATCCTCATTAGATTTCTCCAGGTCTGCAAAACATAATGCAAGTTGGACAACGTCTGTTTCACAAAGGGCACTCAGTGTAAAACAGCTCCACCTTGAATATAGAATGTCAAAAGACCATTACCCTTTCAACTGAAAATTCACAGAGCATATTACAAATTTTCATCATTAAAATCATTAATACATATTACAACACCCTGAAAATATATACTGCTAGTGCCTCTGTAATGAGAATGAACACAATGCTGGGGCACGCACGCATGCATGCACGCGCGCATGCATGCACGCACAGACGCTTCACATTTACTGTGATTTCAAAGAAGATGCAGAAATAGTTGACATTCATTTTCCAAATGTTGCCACACTGATTGAGTACATGACTAAATGGTTAATTAGTGCAATACAGCAGTGACGTGTACCACATGTTTTGAATGACCTTGACCTTACCGGGCCTGATGATGCAGATGCCGACAGGGATCTGCCCCTTGAGAGAGTCGGGGACACCGATGACAGCAGACTCCACCACATCCTCGCACTCTAGGATAGCCTGAGGGGAATGGATTATCAATTCAGTTGTAATACAAGGAAGAGATTCCACTGTCTTCAAAAATAGACTACGATTATCAAAACAGTCGCTATTCAACTAGAAGAGAATGGACCCACATACTCTGCCACATGAAACTCACTCATTCTCTCACACATCCACTAACCCAGTCACACACAAACTCACTCATGAGCTCATTCAGTCATAACCAAACTCACTCTACTCTGATACGGGTGACCTCACGCCTCACTGACCTCCTCAAGTGCTCCTGCTGAGATCCTGTGACCTGCAACATTGATGACATCATCACTTCTTGCCATCACAGCGATGTAACCATTCTCATCTCGGAAACCTGCATCCATCGTGTCATAGTAGCCCTGGACCAATAACAAATGATGACTTAATGTGGAAGAAGTCTTTCGTAAAAGATATAGAACATAGGTTACATTCAATGACAATGATATGGAAGGTCATTTTTTCCACAAATTATTAAATTAGCTAAGCTAAACTGAAGGATTCATTTAGGACGCCACAAATGTTTTGTTTATTGCTCAGCATCATTCCAGCTACATATCAGCAGTCTGTTTATAATCGAGTCTTGACCAGACAATCCAGTGATCAACAGCATGAGCATTGATTGGGATATGATGACAATTGTCAACCAATTTGGCGAGCCTGATCACCCGATCCCGTTAGTCACCTCTTATGACAAGTATGGGTTGATGATGACTAATTCTAACCCAGATATTTATGGGTTCAAAAGTTGATATTCATCCTTAAGTTTCCAGCTTATATACTGGACCCAAATTAAAATTCCAAATGTTTCTGCCATAGTTGGATGAGTTGTTGCTGTTCCGCCTTCACTTAGTTGACAAGATGTTGTGTACAGTGTACAGGCATAGAAACATCACAGTAGTGATGTCATGATGTAACAGAAGTGGTGATGTCATGATGTAACAGAAGTGATGTCATGATGTAACAGAAGTGGTGATGTCATGATGTTACAGAAGTGGTGACATCATGATGTTACAGAAGTGGTGATGTCATGATGTACAGAAGCAGTGATGTCATGATGAAACAGAAGTGGTGATGTCATGATGTACAGAAGCAGTGATGTCATGATGAAACAGAAGTGGTGATGTCATGATGTACAGAAGCAGTGATGTCATGATGTAACAGAAGTGGTGATGTCATGATGTACAGAAGCAGTGATGGCATGATGTAACAGAAGTGGTGATGTCATGATGTACAGAAGCAGTGATGTCATGATGTAACAGAAGTGGTGATGTCATGATGTAACAGTAGTGGTGATGTCATGATGTAACAGTAGTGATGTCATGATGTAACAGAACTGGTGATGTCATGATGTAACAGAAGCAGTGATGTCATGATGTACAGAAGCAGTGATGTCATGATGTAACAGAAGTAGTATGTCATGATGCAACAGAAGTGGTGATGTCATGATGTAACAGAAGTGGTGATGTCACGATGTAACAGAAGTGGTGATGTCATGATGAAACAGAAGTGGTGATGTCATGATGTAACAGAAGTGGTGATGTCATGATGTAACAGAAGTGGTGATGTCATGATGTAACAGAAGTGGTGATGTCACGATGTAACAGAAGTGGTGATGTCACGATGTAACAGAAGTGGTGATGTCATGATGAAACAGAAGTGGGGATGTCACGATTTAACAGTAGTGATGTCACGATGTAACAGAAGTGGTGATGTCACGATTAAACAGTAGTGATGTCACGATGTAACAGTAGTGATGTCATGATGTAACGGAAGTAGTGATGTCATGATGAAACAGAAGTGGTGATGTCATGATGAAACAGAAGTGGTGATGTCATGATGTAACAGAAGTGGTGATGTCATGATGTAACAGAAGTGGTGATGTCATGATGAAACAGAAGTGGTGATGTCATGATGTAACAGAAGTGGTCATGTCATGATGTAACAGAAGTGATGTCATGATGAAACAGAAGTGGTGATGTCATGATGTAACAGAAGTGGTGATGTCATGATGAAACAGAAGTGGTGATGTCATGATGTAACAGAAGTGGTGATGTCATGATGTAACAGAAGTGGTGATGTCATGATGAAACAGAAGTGGTGATGTCACGATGTAACAGAAGTGGTGATGTCATGATGTAACAGAAGTGGTGATGTCACGATTTAACAGTAGTGATGTCATGGTGTACCAGTAGCGGTGATGTCACGATGTATTAGTAGTGATGTCATGATGTCTGGGCATGATATAACAGATGTACACAAGGTGTACGCACGCACGGGTATTTTGGTGAAGTATGTCTCTCGGAAGCGTTGGTCCGCATCCCATAGCGTTGAGAAGGAGCCAGGAGGTAGAGGCAATCTGACACACACAACATACTGTCTTAGCAGACAAAAAACCCAAAAGCTCCAAATGATTAATGACAGCGTTTAAAATTCACGCCTGCCCGACCGTCCGGAACGGTCTATTTTTATCTCGGACGGTCAAATTTCAAAAGTAGCCTGTCCGGTGGCCAGGTAGATATTTCTCTGATCGTGATTGTGAGGCAGAAAATGCAACAGATTTCTAGTTTGTAAACCAGGACATGTACCTTAGCCTTAACGTTACAATGCATGCAGTAAAGTATTCAGAACTTGATTTTATGTTGTTTTTTCATTGTTGAAAACCGAACAGGCAAGTTTGTATCCGGACTGATAATTTTTTAAAGTTACCAGTCCGTCTGTCTTGATTGGAATTTTGGGAGTTTTAAACACTGTTAATGAAGATTGTTTATTATTCAAATATTATATTTAGCCGACATCACATACAGAATGAGCACCATTGAGCACTGGCACAAACTGGGTACATTCCCAGTGAAGGTATGACTTTCCAGGGCTCTTGTTTGTATACATATAACCTTCGTAGCTTAACTTGACACCACCCATATTATTCTTCAATATCTTCATGCTGGAATGCTACTGCCTGCTTAGTTTATGGAGCATATATTTATACCAGTTACAATATGACAGTGAGTTGAAATACTTAAAGGTCACATAAACCCTAGGGGTTAAAAATACATAAATCACTAACTGGCATCGTTATAAATGAAATCCCGTCATTAAAACTACTCATTTCGACCTTTAATTGACTTAAATCGACCTTTTTGACAACAGTGCACAATTCTCACCCGCGAACGAAATTTCAACCAATCAGAGCGGCGCGACTCTGTGACGTCATATGAGGAATAGCTTTGAGGGCCGATGCAGAATTCATCTACATTTTAGGGGGTAAATTATCTTGTTTACAGGCTTGTATAAACCTGAAATCGTGACAATTGTTGTGGAAAATGAAAGCTATATGTTCTCACAATCTACTGGCATTTAATTTTGTCTCCTGCTTTGCCTAGTTTCCTAGTTACAACTTGTTTTCATAGACGCTTCTGTCACAATTGATTGGTGTCGTTAGGCCCTATTTGTATAATGACTGATCCAAATTGATCCCATTTCTGTGTTTTTTTACCTCGATATTTAATCATGTCATGTAAAAATCTGTTTGTATTCTCAAAACAGTGTCGGCCCATAAGTTTTCACATGCAATACAGCAATTAATACTCCTTGTTGTAACCCGTGTTAGGTGGTATAAACCTACACATGTTATTTGTCATCATTCACTTGATGGTCAGTTAATGAATTTATAACAGGTATAATTAGTGGTAACACACTTAGATTACCGACAAAGGTTCCCATTTGGCATTTCTTGTGTCTGGAGTAAATATTCAACATTATAAACATCGATCAAAGGATTAACCGATAACACGCTGATTGATTAATTACTTTTATCTTACACAGGATTTGTCAAAAGGTAGTGTTTATGTATGTAGATTTACTAATCTATACTGAATACACTCTGCCGTGTCGGTGTCTCGTAAAACAACGTCCTTCTTTCAAAGGATTAACCGGCAATACATTGATTGATTGCCCATTATTGGCTAACTAAATTACTGTTTTTAATGAAAGCGGACATTATGCAATTAGTTGCCAGGTGTGCTATCTTGGGTGACCAATGAGACTATACACCAATACCTGAAAAGATTTATCACTTTTTCTCATATATTAAACTGTTAAAAGACACATCATTTGGAACAGTTTTGTGGATATTGATGGATACATTCCTCAAACAAGGTAATGGCCTGATATTGTTCCTATAACTTTAATCTGTTTTAATTTTAATATTTGCATTTTGTTTTTATTCATTTGTCGTAGCATTCAACAGAATCATTGTTTCGCCGTGAAGTGTATTGAGACAGACAACATACACTAGGGTGTGTGTGCGAATTATGATTCACATTGGCAAACTATAAAATGTCTAGATATTACAGTTCTGTTATATATTTCACTATAAGTATCAGCAGATCGTCAGCTTTTTATTTAGTTTCAAAATGCATAAAAGTATGATAATAAACTAATTAGGATTATAAGACCAAATATAAAGACGCACATTGACTAGTATCTACATACTGGTGAGTGGACATTAACCATGTGAATGTAGCAAGAAATTTATCGCGCTGTATTGTGACTTCGACCCCCACCTCGCTTCCGTGGAAGAAATCGTTATGTTATAAGTTGTGTCATGCAAAATCCTTTTGGTTATGATTCCAATACATATTTAACTACGAGTAGAAAGTAGTTTTGATTTTCTAACTTGATGAAAACAAACTATAATCTCATTAATTCTAACAGACTTTACGATTTTCAAAAATGTGGATAAATGCTATTTAGGTTTGTTTTCACCGAGTTACAAAATCAAAACTACTTTCTACTGGTAGTAAAATATGTATTTTATTGATGGCCAATAGGATTTAGCATGACATAGCGTATAACATAACAATTTCTCTCCTGGCAGCGAGGTGGGTGTCAATATAATACTACTTACAATATTATTATTACTTCGACCACAACCTCACTTCCGAGGAAGAAATCGTTATGTTACAAGTTGTGTTATGGAAAATCTTTATGGTCATCAATCATATACATATTTTACTATAACTAGTAAGTAGTTTTGATTCTTTAACTTCCGTGAAGCGATCTGAACACAAGTAAGATATCGTTTCAGGCTTCCACAACGCTAAAGCTTAGCACTCACAAACATAACCCATTTAGCAGGAACTGCGGGGTCCTGTGGAAATCTGTGCATGGTGACACCATCACCCGACCCTAGGAGCAATTGGCGACAAAGCAACGATTCGGCATGTAAGTCGTTGATGTCGAGAAATCATCAAAATGATGGCGTGCTACACACTTTCTATACAACCAGCTGAAAATCGTTCCTCATATGACGTCACTGCAGTGCTCTGGCGACAGAGTTACGTAACCTGTCTGTGGTTTCGTTGGCGGGCGAGAGGGAAGCAGGCGACTTTTTGGCCACTTTTAATCGCTCGGTATTAATTAACCACAAGTTTTTAAAGAATAAATTTGGTGTTCCGCATAAGACTAACCACAAATCTTTCATATGTAATGGTTAAAAGAGTAACAAAAAACAAAGTTTAGTGGTTCTTTAATAATGTGTACATATCTAAATACTAAGTTGATTAATTAGGGCTCCTTGCCTCTAGGCAGGAGACCTATTGTAATCGTTCGGATTATTATTATTATTGTTTATTATTCCGCCGATTTTTTTCCCAAACATAACTCCTAAACCAATGCTCCGAATCACTTACAAAAAATCACACAGATGCGCACCGAGGTGTAGGTATTCCCCTTAAAAATCTCTAGGCTCTTGGCCCAATAGCAAAGGGGAGATAATTCAAAATTCATTCCAAAATTTCAACGTTTGACAGCAAATATCTCAAGAACTAATTGTTCCAACACTTCCAAATTTCTTGTACAATTTTGCCTGGATAGGTCAAGTCGCTAAAACGTACCGTTTGGCAGTTATTTTTGTTTTCAGTTTTTGGCCATGTTTTTCAGCACTTTTCCGAGTAGTTTGCTCCCAAAATGTGCCAGTATGGTAGATGATGTACTGGTGATTCCAGAACACTAATTGTTTTGAACATAGACCCAAGAACAACTGAGATACAGCCTTTCAAAGAAGGAACTATTTCTTCTCCGGAACTTCTTAAAAGGTACATGACCCCCGTGACCCCCGTGACCCCGGCTGTATTTGGAAGATCCGCTCGCCTGTCAAAACATGTGTTCTGGCTCCGTTTTGGACATGATATCTAGCCCTCAGATACAATAGATAGAAAGTAAAGCCAAGGAGACCTCATCGTTGCCTGCAACTATATTTAAACTTTTAATACTCTTGAAGTCAGTTAATCCTCATCAATAATGAAGCTTCACCCGTAATAATGTTTACAAACAAAATACTTAGTTAATTAATGAAGCCTGTTAATCCCTATCCCTGATAATCTCTATTACTGATTCAATCAAAACATGTCACTTAAGTCAATCACTCAGTAGTTAAAACATGTTTGGGGGTTTTGTCCAAAGGTCCTCATTTGGCTTTTTTGTCCTTATGGGTTTTTGTCCTTATGGGTTTTTGTCCAAGGGGTTTTTGTCCTTGGGGGCTTTTGTCCTACAATCCTTAGCACATATCCACAGTCTTAGCAGATAACTACATTGTCTTAGTACATACCCATTGTCTTAGCACATACCAACACTGTGTTATCACATACTTAAATTGTCCTAGCTAGGGGTGGGTATTGCAGGGAATTTTCGTATTGCGATATATTGCGATGCAAAAGCATGCATTGCGATATGTATTGCAATATATTGCAAGAATTATTTTTAACAAAAAAACTACTTATAATAGAGTTAATGCTTGATTTGTAAAGCAAAAACACAACAAAATCACAATGCTTGATTAGGCTTTGATAAAACCTTTTAATCATGGCAAAGTATAAATGTAAATAATGTTTGGCACAAATGAAACAAGGAAAGGAACAATTTAAAAAACAGAAATATCCGAAGATATCCGAGTGTTACAAAGTTTTCCGAATGCATGTCAAATTACCGGTTTTCGATCAGCGTATCGCAATACGTATCGTTTACATGTCTGAACCGGTAAATACCGGTAAACCGGTTATATTGCGCAGCCCTAGTCCTAGCACATACCCACACTGTCTTTGACTCTGTACTTACAATGTTTATTAATGCAGACTTGTTCTCGTCACTACATGGCTTAAATAATGCCAATGTGACGTAAAGCCCAACTCAACTCAACTTAGCGTTTACTTAAGGGGGCGCTGTGGGCGAACTGGCTAAAGCGCCAGGCTAGGGATCCAGCGAGCTTGAGGTGACGGGATCGACTTACTGACTGACTGAGTTTGGTTTTACGCCGCTTTTAGCAATATTCCAGCAACATCACGGCGGGGGACACCAGAAATGGGCTTCACACATTGTGCCCATGTGGGGATTCTAACTCGGGTGTTCGGCGTGACGAGCCAACGCTTTAACCATTAGGCTACCCCACCGCCCCATGACGGGATCGAGCCCACCTGTGACCGGGTGTGAAAACCTTGGAGTCAACTTTGTGTGCAGACTCTTTCAGTGTTGTCACAACCCCTAGTGTACAGTACACAACCCTGTGCACTTAAAAGAACCCATGAATCCGTTGGTATATGACCAGATTGTGGCCACATGAATATGTTCAAACACCTAGTTGCGGGAAAAGCAATGTGCAGTAAAACTTGGACAAAGTACTGTGACTATGTGTCCCAGTCCACCCAGCTGTGAATGGGTACCTTGTAAGGATAGGAATGCCACAATAACTCGGTGTGCCTAGTGGCTGCAAGAGTTGTATGATCCCCAGGGAGTTGAGATTGACAAGTCGGTGTGCGGTTGAGATTGACATCCAGTGAACGAGGGAAAAACTAAGCGCCTTTGAGCAGCTGAGCTGAGCTGGATATCGGCACTATACAAATGATGTGATGTGATGTGATGTGATGTGATGTGATGTGATGTGATGTGATGTGATGTGATGTGATGTGATGTGATGTGATGTGATGTGATGTGATGTGATGTGATGTGATGTGATGTGATGTGATGTATACTTCAATTGTCATAGTACACACACTCTACTTGTACACACCAACACCATCTTATCACATACTTACATTGTCCTAAAGTACTGTCAGAAATAGAAAAAAACTGCTTTTAGGGTGTAACTCTGTATCCCTAAAATTTACACAATTGCAAATAGCATATGTCGAAATAACCCTCTTTGGCCTAACTGGGCGTTCAGTGGGATGCGTAATACGATATCAAGAAAAGCATGTTTACTCGTAAAATCGGGCAAAACTTAGAAAAAATACCAATAGCTGCTGAAAACAATAGATCAGACTATAGATGGCAATTAGGTCGCTCAGCCAGGTATGACGACAGACCGTCGACTCACCTGGCATGAAATGCACGTGCTGCCTACAGGCACAAGGGGTCATCTCAAAGATATTTTGTGCTTTTTCATGTGTGTTGACTATGTCTCATCTATTGATTAACATCTTACGTGTCTTTCTTTCATATAGTTTCATATAGTTTATGTTGAGATATGTAAAAGAGTATGATACCCGAAAACCATGGAAACGCGATCGTAGTATATAGGTGGCATGACCACCCGAAGATCGACAGGACTGGATATTATTTGCAAATTGTTATGACTGCCGTGTACCTCCCCAGTATAATTGCCCTAAAGGATTATCTTATCTTAGCTGATATCTCTATCCCCAAGCCCGACCCCAGGTTATGCTTTTGAGACGGCCCCTCCTATCTGTTTCTTTTTATAGTGACAGTGAGACTGCATGGTAGCTACATCCTTAATAGTTTCGGCATAAAAGTTATTATTTTTTACGTCAGCTACCGTTTATAATGAATCTACATCTACTTTCAAATTGGGCATTTAAAAAGTGTCTTTTGTAATACAATATCGTCGCACACTAATTTGCATAAAGCCATGGTCTGTTCCAAATAAGTCTTTTTGGACTTAGAAAAAAACCGCATTGCTCATTTCTGCACTAATCTCCCCTCAGTAAAGTCCTTTTTCTCCGTTTCCTATCTCTCTACCACCGAGACTGTAGCTAGGCCGAACTTAGTTTAACAGATATTTCACACTTTCACATAACTACATAAATTGTAGAGATAAATGAGAAACTACAGTTTTTTTCTATTTCCGACAGTACTATAGCACATACCCACATTGCTTTAGTACATTAGCATGAACATACCCCTTGACAAAACTAACCACGCACATTCCAGACCCAATCCAATACCACTGGTTATTTCATTATATTATTACAGTGGTCAGTAGATACACCCACCAGTGTACCAACAAAAATTACTAGAATTTGTACTTTACTGAGAGCGTTTAATCCCAAATATAACAGGAGTTACATCTGACCACTTTCTAAATGACATTGTGTATAATACCAGTGGGTGATACCATGAGCAATGTCAAAATGATTGGCCATCCAATGTTTTTGCAACACATGAGAAAGAGTAGAGTCAGGCCCTATTCTAAGCCCCGGTCCCAACACAGGTGACACTCACACAACAACCAATTGATATAACTGACTTACTGACTGAGTTTGGGTTTACGCCGCTTTTACCAATATTCCAGCAACATCACGGCGGGGGACACCAGAAATGGGCTTCACACATTGTAACCATGTGGGGATTCGAACCCGGGTCTTCGGCGTAACGAGCCAACGCTTTAACCCTTAGGCTACCCCACCGCCCCGATTGATATACACAAAGAGACTTACTTGACAGCAATCTGTCCGAGTTCGTCTGGATCTGTCTCACTTCCATCTTCCCTCAGAACCTTCACTGACACACAGACACAGAAACATGACTACCACAATCACTTGATCATCACCTTTCTTCTACAGTTTCCGATTTGTTTGGGTTAAACTTACAAGTGAATGAATGCAATGTTCCAGCTAAATCATAGCATGACATGCTGTCAAAAATGAACCTTTACAAACCACTGACTGTCGACTCAAGCAATTATCTATGTATGATGAAAACAAGCATGTGAAGTATATACTGTCTGATCTCATACTATACTCATAAATAATCACCATTCCATCCTGGCACCGGTTTCCCAGCAACCCCAGAAGGAGGATACAGTTGCATGCCTAGACCAACACACGTAGACGTGATCGGCGACCCCGTCTCTGTAAAATACAACAAACAAACACATAGACATGGTCGGCAACTATGTCTCTAAAACACAACATTCATGAAGAAGCTTTAAGAAAAATATGTGGGTCAGGATAACTAAGCATTCAGTGCTGCTTTAAAACTTACGCTTCATTTATGTAACACAGCTATATGAATGTTGTAGGGCAAGCAGATTTTAATCATCAGCTATTTTGTCAAAACCCTCAAGCATGCGGTATGGTCCTGACAACTGAGGGTTCTGTCGAGACAAATATGGGCTTCAAACTATGACCAGGAACTTGGCTTAGAAACTCTTCCAAGCATATATGGGGCGGTGGTGTAGCCCAGTGGTTAAAGCATTCGCTCGTCAAGCCAAAGACCCGGGTTCAGTTCATTTCTCCGGTGTCCCCCGCCGTGATATTGCTGGAATATTGCTAAAAGCGGCATAAAACCCAACTCACTCACTCAATCCAAGCCTATATACCAACCTGTTTGCCACCAGTTGTCCAGGATGGGTTTGTTGATGATCTCCTGGATCCATGTCATTGTCTCAGGGTCCATGTGTTCACCCGCAACAAACAATGTCCGGAAGCTGTTAAAGTAAAACAATGACATTTAGAAAGGCTCAAAGGACCATATTCATCTGTAATTCTGCAGCAAACAATCCCAAATATTAATTAAAATTTTCCAATTCATGTTAACACTGTTCTGGTAGGAAAATGATGGCAGGTAAAACCAATATACTAACTTTTCTAAAGGTAAATACTTCCTCAAAAGTTTTCCTTCAGGATCCTGAAATAATAGAAACGACATTAAACATAAATAACAAGATTGTCACACACAGGATCACCCACATTTGTCAATGACATCCACTTCTAGCAATGTGACCCTAACTTATCAGTATGAATCACCTCTATTAATAGGATCCACCTCCATTAATGTGACCCACCCCTATCAATGTGACCCACCTCTAGCAATGTGACCCACCTCTAGCAATGTGACCCACCTCTAGCAATCAGACCCACCTCTAGCAATCAGACCCACCTCTATTTATAGGACCCACTTCCATTAATGTGACCCACCCCTATCAATGTGACCCACCTCTAGCAATGTGACCCAACTCTAGCAATGTGACCCACCTCTAGCAATGTGACCCACCTCTAGGAATCAGACCTACCTCTAGCAATCAGACCCACCTTTATCAATGTGACCCACCTCTATCATTTATGTGACCCACCTCTAGCAATGTGACCCACCTCTAGCAATGTGACCCACCTCTAACAATCAGACCCACCTTTATCAATGTGACCCACCTCTATCATTTATGTGACCCACCTCTAACAATCAGACCCACCTTTATCAATGTGACTCACCTCTATCAATGTGACCCACCTCTAGCAATCAGACCCACCTTTATCAATGTGACTCACCTCTATTAATGTGACCCACATCTATCAATGTGACCCACCTCTAGCAATCAGACCCACCTCTAGCAATCAGACCCACCTTTATCAATGTGACCCACCTCTATCAATGTGACCCACCTCTAGCAATCAGACCCACCTTTATCAATGTGACTCACCTCTATTAATGTGACTCACCTTTATCAATGTGACCCACCTCGAGCAATGTGACCCACCTCTAGCAATCAGACCCACCTTTATCAATGTGACTCACCTCTATTAATGAGACTCACCTTTATCAATGTGACCCACCTCTAGCAATGTGACCCACCTCTAGCAATGTGACCCACCTCTATCAATGTGACCCACCTTTATCAATGTGACCCACCTCTATCAATGTGACCCACCTCTAGCAATCAGACCCACCTCTAGCAATCAGACCCACCTCTAGCAATCAGACCCACCTTTATCAATGTGACTCACCTATTAATGTGACTCACATCTATTAATGTGACCCACCTTTATCAGTGTGACCCACCTCGAGCAATGTGACCCACCTCGAGCAATGTGACTCACCTCTATTAATGTGACCCACCTCTATCTCTATTAATGTGACCCACCTCTATCTCTATTAATGTGACCCACCTCTTTCAATGTGACCTACCTCTATCAATCAGACCCACCTTTAGCAATCAGACCCACCTTTATCAATGTGACCCACCTCTAGCAATCAGACCCACCTTTATCAATGTGACTCACCTCTATTAATGTGACTCACATCTATTAATGTGACCCACCTTTATCAATGTGACCCACCTCGAGCAATGTGACCCACCTCTATCAATGTGACTCACCTCTATCAATGTGACTCACCTCTATCTCTATTAATGTGACCCACCTCTTTCAATGTGACCCACCTCTATCAATGTGACCTACCTCTATCAATGAGACCCACCTCTATCAATGAGACCCACTTCTATCAATGAGACCCACCTCTATAAATGTGACCCACCTCTATCTCTATAGATGTGACCCACCTCTATCAATGAGACCCACCTTTATCAATGTGACCCACCTCTATAAATGTGACCCATCTCTATCAGAGACCCACCTCTATCAATGTGACCCACCTCTATTAATGAGATCAATCTCTATCAATGTGACCCACCTCTATCAATGAGACCCATCTCTATCAATGAAACCCACCTCTATAAATGAGACCCATCTCTATCAATGAGACCCACCTCTATCAATGACCCATCTCTATCAATGAGACCCACCTCTATCAATATGACCCACCTCTATTAATGAGACCCATCTCTATCAATGTGAGCCACCTCTATTAATGAGACCAATCTCTATCAATGAGACCCACCTCTATAAATGTGACCCACCTCTATCAATGTGACCCACCTCGAGCAATGTGACCCACCTCTTTTAATGTGACCCATCTCTATCAATGAGACCCACCTCTATAAATGTGACCCACCTCTATCAATGAGACCCACCCCTATTAATAAGACCCACCTCTATTAATAAGACCCACCTCCAGCAGTATGACTCACCGCTGCCCTGATGGCCCTGATTGCTGTAGGCGCCGTGAACATCCCATGGACATTGTGTTCACGTAGCAGACGGAAGAAAGTCCCCGCATCTGGAGTTCCTACAGGCTTACCCTACAACACACAACTGTATCTATTCAATACAACAAAATCTGGAGACCACTGTCATATACATGGTGATATATTTGACTTATTCAAACAAATTCTTTCTTGTGTGAAATTATTGATGCTTTTCTTCATGTAATGTTTGGTGTTTCACAGATTCCATCAGTATTCCAGATATATGACGTCTGCCTGTAACAGGACTGACCACTGGCTGATATATACAGCAATATCCACTGCCATAGTGACACAATGACACAATCCAGAAAGTCACTGAGGCTTGCAACCAATCGAATTGTGTCAACTCTTCCAATAAGGAAGAGATCCGGAGTGGTGTACAATACTTTTATCCATCCTTTTTCAGCATACTTAACATGTAAATATGCAGCCAAATATGTAGAAAAACCAGGTCGCAGACATCAGACATATAACACTAGGGTATTGTGATGACAGGTATGACAAACCTAGAAACATAATTAGGGTAAACCTGGAATATTATCCACCATCACAGGTTTCTGGCAGGCTGAAGGTATGCAACTCTGCACAGCCAACTGCATGCTTTACACGACTGAGCCACCAAATCTCCCTATTAATCTTGAACTGTAAATGAATGTCTGTGAAGAGTAAACAATAAGACAATGAGTTAAGATACTGGTGTACAATACCGTATATTACCGTAGATAAGCCGATAAGTCTGTTATACATATCTGAAATGAAATGCTCACCTCAAATATAACAGTTGTGTTGTTGTTGAGCAGAGGAGCATAGGCAATGTAGGAATGTCCGACAACCCAGCCCAGGTCAGACGCTGCCCACCACACCTGCAGTCAACAGAGACCAACATGTAGCGTCTGCTCAAATCTAATGGAATGAAAACAACACAGCCTGGTTGTTGGAATATAGACGAAAAACAGATGAAAATGTTTTGATAAATATTGATCAAAACTAAAATAAGTTTATGCTACATCATCCTGCCATGGCAAATGGCACATTCTTTCCAACTTGGGAAAGAAAATAAAAATTGTTCACGATGAAAGGTATTCACATTCAGTGAAAAGATGAGAAGCTTTTCAAGAAATAATACCAAGGAATAATATTTTTGAACCTATCAGATTTGCAGCACAATCATGATTACTCTACAGCATACATTTGACTACCTGGCTAGACACTGACTACAACACCATGTGGTGGACCACTGTGTTCACGGCTGATGGAGGAATGTAGTCCATACAGACATGTAAAGTACTGACGATTAAACACTTCCAATGTCTTGAGTTACCCACATCTCCTGGATTCATGCCGTACACACTGTACATTGACCACTTCAGTTTGACAGCATACCCTCCTGTCGGCCGAACAACTGCCTATGTAATGAAAATATAAACCCTAAAGACCACAGTTCAGTGATAAGGTAAATGTTCACAAAAATAAGTTTGCAAAACAGAGCCATTAACTGCCATTTCTGAAAGGAAACGACCTTCACTATCAGTAGCAAGCATGTCATAAACACTGCCACAGATTATATGTACTCTGTGTGAACCAAATAGGTCTCCAGGTGGAATTTAGAGAGGTATACAACATTTGATAATCATAAACATTACTCAATAATAATATCAAAGATTGTCATCCCTCGTCATACATAAAACTTCTGCATCCAAATTATATAACAACTAAGTGCAAGAGACCTAAAACTGACCTAAGAAAAGAATTCACTAAAAATGTGACTGACCTACAGTCACCCTGAACCCTGGGTCCCATCTGTATCCTACACAGAGATTATCACATGAACAAGTGTGTCATACGACTTATACGAAACAAGTATGTCAAATAAGTAGGAAATTTTGTATAAGTTATGTGGCCCCATGCGAGTGTAATAATTTCTTTATGATCCATTCTATTCATGTACATTTTTGCAGTAAAACACGGTAAGCAAGTGTGACTGCCCTGTTCACTGACGTCACATTCAATAGTTTAAATGACATCACAGACAACGACATAGAGAAACAATGGTTGCTAGGCAAAAGTGACATGCGCAAATGTGCACGATATATATGACACTGGTTATGTTTCACCATATGGATAATAAAGCTACCTACTGCATGCCTATTTCCTTGTCCACATATGCATAAATGCTTCCTCCTGTAATATCAAACATAACTAGGGTCCCACTACATAAGGCTGCCAATTGATCCCAACTGCGGTTTTCAAGAGAAGACTGAATGAGAAAATGGCCTTTGTACACACAAATATAGTTCATATATATATTAACTGATCTGCCGTCACCTTCCGTTGTTATCCACCCTTGCCCTGGATAGTTATCTGCTTTCTCTTTTGTAGGTTTGGGAATCCTTGTTTTGAAGAGTTATCTGCTCTTATCTTGGTGAATTATCTCCCCTCACTAAAAGTAGTTTGTTCCCCTGGTCTTAGGTAGTTATCTGCCCCTACCTTGAGGAGTTACGTGCCCTTACTTTGGGGAGTGATGTACACTCACCTTGGGAAGCCCCGTGGTGCCAGATGTGTACAGGAGATAGAGGGGATCCATAGCCAACACAGGAACACAGTCGACAGTGTAGTCCGCAGTCATCTCTTCCTGCCACGATACATCCATCCCAGGATTCATTGTTGCAGCCTCAAACTGAAATATTTCACAACAAACCATAAACAAATAGGCAGAAGTGGAACTATAATCAACCGGAGGTGCTTTGAAATGAACCTTTGCTGGCGGAGAATGACTGCTTTCATTGCCATAATTTTACATAAATAGTCTTGATTGTAATTTGAAAATCATATGCAGATTCAGGGTGCTGTTGTACAAAGAGATCTTAGCGCTAAGGTGACTGTTACTCCCTTACCATAACATAGACTCACAACAGTCTTAGCACTAAGGCTGTTTTGTACATCTCAGAAACATTTCCACTTTGGAGAGTGCTTGACCCCATCTCCAGACATCTTGTACACCACAAATGTCTTGTCATCCAAATTAAACGCTACAGAGTCATATCAGTGTACACAGGTGTCCCATTAAATTAGAGTGGGATTTCACATGGACTGCATGACAGTTCCCAAGGTGAGAAGTGTATTTCACCAACTGCTTGTCTTCATGTAAGGTGAGAGATGACATCTGTATCTTTGCCCAACTTATATTTAATACTTTATGAGAATCCACATGGGACAGAACCTTCCAGTTGAAGCTTGAATTAAACCCATGATCATCGAGTCTGGCCTCCTAAGGGAGACAACTGCTAACTAACTGGTCCCCAGATTACTGGATCATCCCAGGTCACAATAACAGGAAGAGTGAGTGAGTGAGTTTAGTTTTACGCCGCACTCAGCAATATTCCAGCTATATGGTGGCAGTCTGTAATAATCGAGTCTGGACCAGACAATCCAGTGATCAACAGCATGAGCATCGATCTGCGCAACTGGGAACCGATGACATGTGTCAAGCAAGTCAGCAAGCCTGACCACCCGATTCCCGTTAGTCGCCTCTAACGACAAGCATAGTCGCCTTTTGTGGCAAGCAGGGGTTGCTGAAGACCTATTCTACCCCGGATCTTCACGGGTCAAACAGGAAGAAACTTACATGGGATGCAGTACACCTACCCCAGGCCTGTTGAAGATGATGCACTTCTTTGGTTTGAATTCACTGAAGCTGATGGCCTCATCCAGCATTGGTTTATATGGTACGACTCGAGACGGCTCCACTCCACAGTTGGCGCTCACAACTACCTTAGCCTGAAACAGAGATCACAATCTGTCCGACAAGTCTTTTACCATAGCCTGAAACAGAGATCACAGTCTGTCTGACATTTAACCCGTTTTATTACATTTGTGTGACAGTTAGATACACCTTTAGAAACTGAGCATGGACTCGTTCAATACTGACGTGGCATGCAAGCGACCTGCAATAGCAGGGCATCAGTTTGGCTGTACAGACCAGTCAGAGTGTTCTATCAGTAATGATAAGATATTCTTGAGAGAGGCAATACACGTCAACTCTCTCAGTTATCATCACCAAACTTTTGGACCATTTCAAGATTTATTTGCAAATCAACTAGTTTGTGTCTTTTTTATATTTCATGCATCCATGTTTTGTTAAACTGTACCAACCAGAGCTCACCTCTGAGTGGTTGATACGAGTTGCTAGTTCTTTTGAGGCAAATCCTCCAAACACCAGGGAATGTATGGCTCCTAGTCGAGCACAAGCTAGCATGGCGACCACTGCCTCTGGGATCATCGGCATATAGATCAGCACTCGATCACCCTTCTCTACACCATACTTCCGCAACACTCCTGCAAACGTTTCTACCTGCAAGATTGAAATAATACAATTCACACACATCTCTAAAAGTCAAGGTAAAAACTCAATGCAATGAATTGTGATCTATTACTCCAAAACAATACGTCTCTGTGATATCAGAACTCTCAACAGGTCATTGAAGTTGAATTCTCCGATTAGCCAGGTTTCAAAATTCTTGGAATTGGTCAGTTAAGCATTCAAACCAGCTTATCTGATTTCAGTAACTTCATAAGTTAAAAGATCAGTTCTGGATGTACATAACAGCAATATTATATTGTGGACATTATATAGACCCTCCTTTCCGAGAGCATCTACATTCAAAAGGGCTTATCATTGAAGGATTATCTGCTTTGCATGGGTCAAAAACAGAAATGGCTGATTTCAAAATTATGGTCGATAGGTAGGCATTCTAAACTGGATTAGTATGATTACTGAAAGACCTTCCATATTCACATAAAATGTCCTGTGCCTATTTCATTAATTACCCATGAGTCTGGTTGTACATTTTCTGATTCAACTGATACTCACATTTACAATTGGACAAGGAGCACCTGGTAACATTTTGAAATTGAACAAAAGGTTAGGGATTGGTTTGATATTTTTCATGTGCAAGGAAGTGAAGTAATCAGGTTGCACCATCCAAATATTGGCTGCACCATGTTGCCAACTCTCTCTGACAACAAATGATACCTTATCATCAGACTGACAGGGATACTCATGGCCAGCTTCTCAATCTACAGAACTTCTCACAAACTGCGTGTCTTAGAAATTTGCACTGATAGTCTTCTCTGCTTGAAAGCAGTCGCCAAAACCTACTGGTCCACAATTACAAATGACAATATCACACAGTGACCTTTGACCTTCTATGAAATGTCACAAGATTTTGAACTTATTCATGAGCATGAAAGCAGACTTGTTCACATTTTTAACTTCTGGTAACTGATTCACCTGAGACACACTATAGGAAAAGACCAATAAAACTGCTGCCATGCACTGGTGGTGGAAAAAGTTGCATGTACTGGGTGCAGTCTAAATAAAAGCTACCTACACTAGCAATGTTTTACCTGCACTAGTGCAGCCTAGATAAAAAAACATCTATCCCTGTAAGACAATATTACAACAGAACACTGCTAAAAATGAAACAGTTTACACTCAGATGAACCGTTAGACAAACGTCAAGCTTCAATTGATACATGGCAATAATTTCTATGCTATTACCTCTCGTTTGAGTTCCTTGAAAGTGATCTTCCGGATGGACTTAGTGACCGGACTGTCATGTATGATAGCTGTCCTCTCGCCATGTCCATCTTCCACATGCCGATCAACAGCATTGTAACATATGTTCAGCTGCCCATCAACAAACCTGTGATCAAAACAACATTTACATTAATGAGGCATCATCAGTACATCATCATCAGTACACCATCATCAGTACATCATCATCAGTACACCATCATCAGTACATCATCATCAGTACATCATCAGTTCATCATCATCAGTACATCATCAGTACATCATCATCAGTACACCATCATCAGTTCATCATCATCAGTACATCATCATCAGTACATCATCAGTTCATCATCATCAGTACAGCATCATCAATACACCATCATCAGTACACCATCATCAGTACATCATCATCAGTACATCATCATCAGTACATCATCAGTTCATCATCAGTACATCATCATCAGTACATCATCATCAGTACACCATCATCAGTTCATCATCATCAGTACACCATCATCAGTACATCATCATCGGTACATCATCATCAGTTCATCATCATCAGTACACCATCATCAGTACATCATCATCGGTACATCCATACACGGTCTGAAGAAATAGCCCTGAACCAAATATATCCAATAGAGCCCATGCAAGTCTACAACATTTGGCAAGTCTAGAGTACTGTTTCTCAAAATCTTGGCTCCATTTTATTATATTTCAGGACCCGTGAAAATCGGGGTTAGAACTGATCTTCAGTAACCCATGGTTGTCATAAGATGTGACTAACGGGATCGGGTGGTCAGGCTCGCTGACTTGGTTGATGCATGTCATCGGTTCCCAATTATGTAGATCGATGCTCATGATGTTGATCACTGGATTGTCTGGTCCAGACTCGCTTATTTACAGACTGACGCCATATACTAGTAGCTGGAATGTTGCTGAGTGCGACATAAAACTAACCTCACTCACTCACTCACTATTGTATTTCAGTAAAATATTTTAACAACTGTTAGTCTAATCTGTATCGAAAAACAGTAGAACATTGAGAGCGAGTGAGTGAGGGAGTGAGTGAGTGAACATACTAATCATAACAACAAGCATTTTATTCAGTAATGAATGTGTATTGTGAATAGCAACTACCATGAAGCAGATAAGTTGAAGCCAGAGATAGTGGCAGCTGTATATGGTGATAAGATGAATCATGATGACTTGCAATTTGACTCTTGAGAAAAGTAAACTGACAGTCGTTGGTTATACAAAAATACCATCTGATTAATATATCAAATATTCAGTGATCAAATATATTGACATAAAATAGAAATATATATACAGTTAAATTATCCAGAATTTCATGTTAAAAATCCACGTTAGAATGATTCAAGCGGTCATATGGAAAGGTTTGAAGTGAGTGAGTTGAGTATTAAGCCGCTTTTAGCAATGTTCCAGCAATATCACGGCTGGGGACACCAGAAATGGGCTTCACACATTGTACCCATGTGGGGAATCGAACCCGGGCCTTCGGCATGACAAGTGAACACTTTAACCGCCTGGCTACCCCACCGCCCCGGAAAGGTGTGAAAGATGTCCTTGTTTCAAGTTGTACACAATACAAACACATCAAATGCACATTAGTAAAGAAACTTAAACTCTTTAAATTATTTATTTTAACTTGAAACACTGTTTAAATATAGCTTGCATTCAAAATGATGCAAATGAAATAATAATCCATTGTCGATGATGCTTAAAATATACTCCATTGCATATAGACAAATCCTTTCTCCGACTACCCCACACGATCCTTCTCTCCCCAATATGGCCATGTAAAGCAGAGACCATATGGTCTCTGTGTAAAGTGATAGTTTACTAAAGTTTTTAAAAAATTACTTTACCGACCGCTGCACAATATAACAGGGCAGCACTGACAGTGATCTCTTTGTATACCGATAGTGACCACTGACATCAAGCTTACCATTTAGTGAAAGGAGAATTACTGTCATCTAAGACTTTTGTCCATTTCTTATGCCAAGTTATCTGTTGAGCTGCTTCGCCCCAGTATTCCTCGGGCTGCTGAGTTGATCGTGAGAAAGCGTCGTCATACAGTCTGACACATCTCGTGGTGCTAAATGCACGCTTGTCGAGATTAAACATACACTTCTCCCACTTGCATGGGTCGTTCCGTGTTGACGTTTTCACAGTGCAATGCTTCAAATATCTTGCAAAACTGACCGCTCGTCTCGGCAACACCATCTTGCTTCGTGACCCGACCTTGACCCGATAGACAACAATTTACGGGAAGGTGAATGCTGAAATCCACTGGGGCCGTGACCGGCGAAGTTGAATTGCAACTAAACTGGCTCTACTATTGAATCACACAACAAGCTTTGCGCACACATTCATTGTGGTAGAAAGGAGCCCAGTCAGACTTACACCAATATAGAACAGAAGCATAACTGTACTAGAATACGAGTGATCAACTTTTGAACATCTGTACATTCACAACCAACATAAGATTAATATAGACTTACTTATACATTTGTCATTGTCGACTATATAACACAAAGACATTAATCAGTTAAATGGCATTGCCACTATCCCAGCTGCCAGGAACAGTACTACAGTATGCTTCAAAACTCATCGGACGCTAAAACACACAAGGATATCATTTCTCGTGAGATATGTGCTAGCAGAAGCTAACTATGTCATTTGAATATTAACACTTCAGGTAAAACCTGTTTGACCGGTGCCGCATGTGTGTAGAAAATGGAATATTAACCATATAAGAGAATAATATATAGACGATACTAAACGACCTTCCGTGTAATACGCGAGTCAAGCATGGTCGAATACCATTGTGACAGAGGTATTAGCATTGTGACGTCATAACTGTAAAACATTATGACGCCATACGTCTAGCGGTATTACATAGTTGAGTTGAGTTGGGTTTTACGTCACATCGGCATTATTCCAGCCATATAGTGACGGGATCAAGTGTGAATTTATAAACGTTTTTTGTTCAAAGTCCAAATGAGTTGTTATTCAAAAGCATATATATATATTTACATTGTTATAGCACCAAATTCGAACGTAAGCAGTTCGTTATTCACATTACATAACTACAATTTATGATTAAGGTCAACTTCCCTCAGGTAGTTAACAATGAGATGCCCGCTCACGCGGGAAATCAGATCTTTCAGATTTGCCGCGTCATAATGTGAGTCCCTTGCAGTCGAAAAGTCCACACAGTCAAGCAGTATTGATGGTGGACACACATCCATCGCCATCCCTTTTCAGCAGATAGTCATGAGTAAACCGACTGTGGCCAATACGACATCGTCGTAAAATTACCTCATCAAGTCTTGACAACCCAAGTAGGTATAACCAATTGTTGGCTTCAATTCATGAAATGTATTTCTTCCTGCTTGGGTGTCCCACCTTTTTTGCATAAGGTCCCGAGTATAGCATTTGATAGTGGGTTTGAAATCACTGTAAGGGCTTCTCAAGAGCTGATTTAGCTGCAGCATCGGCCTTTGTGTAACCTGCTATGCCGACGTGACCCGGCAACCAGCAGAGGACGATGTCACATTGGCCAGTAGAGAGGTCATTGTAAAGTTCAAACATGTCTAGGGTGATAGGGTGACTTGAAGTAACATTTTGAAGTGCTTGAAGGCAAGATAATGAGTCTGTAAAAACGATGAAGTATTTGGAATGGTTCTGTTGTTTAATATAGGTCAAAGCTGTGAATATAGCTTTGGCCTCAGCAGTGAAAATGGAAATATTGTCGGGAATTCTGGAGGAGAGTCTTGGATCCAATGACTGTAGCACTGGCAACTTGGCCATCATCCTTGGATCCGTCTATGAAGATGGATCTATGGGTGTTATATTTGGACCGTAACTGGTTGTATTCCTGTTGGAACACCAAAGGATTTGTTTCAGACTTTTTAAGTTTGGTGAGGGCAAGGTCGACCTGTGGTTTCACCATCTGCCACGGTGGCGAAGACAGAAGTCTGTAAGGTGCTATGATATCGAGATCAATTTTAGCTTCAGATATGTGTGGTTGAATTCTGATTCCAATTGGTGGAACCAGGCTTGGCATATTAGTAAACAGGTTTTCATAGAGAGAGATGAAAACGCAATTGTGTGCTGGATTGGACTGATTTGAACGTAAGTTAGTGATATACTGCAGTGAAAGTTTAATGCGGTGTTGTTCAAGTGAAGGTTCGTTAGCCTCCGCATATAGACCTTCTACCGGAGAGGTCCTAAAAGCTCCCAGGCAGAGCCTCAAGCCTTGGTGGTGGATAGAATCTAATTTTTCTAAATTGCTTTTGCAGGCTCCACCATAAACAATGGAGCCGTAATCTAGTTTAGAGCGAACCAAAGATCTGTACAAGTGAAGGAGGGTAGTCTGATCACCTCCCCACTCTGTATTTGAAACGACTTTTAGTAAGTCCAGAGCCTTCAAGCACTTGGTTTTCAAATATTTTATGTGTGGTAAGAATGTCAAGTGACGGTCGAATATGAGTCCCAGGAATTTGGCCTCTTCTACTACCTTGATGAGAGTACCATCTAAAGATAGGTCTGGATCCTTGTGTGGTTTGTATTTACGACAAAAGTGAATACAATTTGTTTTGGAGTTTGAAAACTTAGACCATTTTCATTGGCCCATTTTTGGATTTTGTTAAGGCAGAGTTGCAGCTGCCTTTCTATTGCCTGCATGTTCTTCCCACGACATGAAATAATGAAATCGTCCACGAAAAGGGACCCATCAACACAACTGTTCAAGACGTTAGTGAGGCTGTTTTGATGCTGAAAAGGATGACAGACAGGATGCTGCCTTGAGGGACGCCTTGATCTTGGTGGAAATAATCAGACAATGTGGAACCTACCCGTACTTGAAATTGTCTGTTGTTTAAAAACTGATATATGAACTGAGGTAATCTGCCCCTCAATCCAAATTCATGTAAATCTTTTAAGATACCATGTTTCCACGTTGTATCATATGTTTTTTCTAAATCGAAAAAGATAGATACAGTATGTTGTTTGTTGACAATGGAATTTTTGATAAATGATTCCATACGCACCAAATGGTCAGCGGTACTTCGGTTCTTTCGGAAACCACATTGGAGGTCACTAAGGAGGTTATTGGTCTCCAAGTACCAGATTAATCGATTGTTGACCATGCGCTCCATGGTTTTACAAACACAGCTAGTTAGTGATATAGGACGGTAATTTGAGGGATCAGTATGATCCTGGCCAGGCTTTGGTATAGGGATGATAATGGCATTGTGCCACGAAGGAGGGAAGTTTCCGGTTGTCCAAATATCATCAAATATATTGAGTAGTGTTTCCAAACTTGAAAGAGGGAGGTGTTTCCAAAGTTTCGCCAAGTTTGTTTGCAATTTCAAATTTATTTGTTAAAAGAGAGTCACCATCTTTAAGTTGGCGAACACCAGATTTTGATCCTTTGCCCTTAATCTTTTGAATCATATACCACACCTGCAGGACGCCCTGGATCCTAAAGGGACAACCGATCCACGGCAGCTGGATCCTAAAATGGTAATCTGCAAAAGGATGGTCATTTTAATTTAGACATTATGGCATTCACCCAATTATAATTTCACCATTTGAGCAGGACGTACATTTGTTAATGAGCAATAATCTCCCGATCGCTTACGTTTTTCAAATGTTATACTTTCTAGTTAAAAACTCTCCCCGTTATGTTTAACACAGACACAGACTACCCAAACCTGCATGTTATATCGCATCCTGCACCACTGCATACCATGGGACCCGTATCGAAGCAACTCTCAAAACCTCATATACATGCTTAGTTTGACCATTTTACATATTTGGGAATAGCATAATATGGGACAATATGATCAAGAAAACACTGTACTTGTGTACTATGAGGCTACCTGTACTGTACTGTACTACTGAGGTAAAATCTATAAACATGTAACACTTCATATACATTTTTTGTACATGCTTAGTTTGACTATTTTACATATTTATGTACTATGAGGCTACCTGTACTGTACTGTACTATACTACTGAGATAAAGTCTGTAAACATGTAATACTTCACGTACATGCTTAGTTTGACCATTTTGCATATTTGTGAACAGCATGATGTTAGAGTGAGTGACAAAGGAAACATTGTACTTGTGTACAATGAAACTATTTGTACTGTACTGTGTACTACCGAGGTAAAATCTGTAAACATGTAACACTTCATATACATGCTTAGTTTTTGACCGTTTTTACATATTTGTGAACAGCATGTTAATTGACAATGAGATCAAAGAAACGCTGTACGTGTACTTGCATACTAAGAAGCTACCTGTACTGTACTACTGAGGTAAAGTCTGTAAACATAATTCTGGGAATAAAAACATAAAAAAAACCAAAAAACTCTCAAAACCTCCCTACAAGCAGAACCATCTGACAGTATAACACAAGGCAATGGCCGGAGGAGCATGGCGAGTTCGCTCACAGACGGTCAGGATTCAAATCTCTAGATATATGGTGTCCACCGTCATGATATTGATGGGTATGTTGCTCGCTCGCTCCCTCACACTCACTCACTCAGTTAATCACGCAATCACTCTGATATTCACTCACCTTCCACTGGAGACAGGAATGCTATTCCAGGACGTGATTTTGGTCAGGTATATTCGTAATTCTTTCCTATTTTTCTTCTTCTTTTGTAATTGATATTCTGAGTCCCCGTTAGTGTGATACATTTAAGTCATCTCCAATGGTAACACGCGCACACCCACTCCGGTGAGGTGAGGTGAGGTGAGGTGAGGTGAGGTGAAATTGGGTTTAACGTCGTGCTTGAGAATATTTCGCTCATATGACGACGTGTGTTAGAGTGTAGGTGTATGTGCGGCTGCTTGTACTAGCCCAGACTGAAGCTGGTTTTATAGTGCTAGCACACTGAGATACCATGCCGCAGTGAAGGATGAATACCCCACTCAGACACTATACTGACTCCGAGCTGACCAGTCCTTGTTGTACCCATTAATGCCGAACGCCAGGCAGGGACCAACAAGTACCATATTTTAACGTCTTTTGGTATGACGCGGTCGGGGATCGAACCCGCGACCTTCCGCTCTCCGGGCGGACGCTCTAACAGTTTCCAGTGGGATCTACTGTTATTGTAGTGCTGCATCATTGTGTCACACTTAAATAAACCTGTATTCATTACGATTTGTTTTGCACTTAAGTTGTAGGCTTATACTACCTTTCACGGAACCTGGAAAATATTATCAACGCCAATCTCGGGCTTATTAAATAAATTTGAAATTGAATATTTTTTTGTTTTGGCATGAATATCAAACCTACAATATATCATTGTTCCGAGTGTCCTCACTACACATACACCGCTGCTGTTTCCCTCAGTACTGATTATAATACCAATGAGAATCTGTATTCTATATTGCACGTGCATATATATCTTAAAGCAGATGTGCCACTACTAGCTTCCTGTTCAAGTCTGAGATTCACTGCGCGTGCAATGTAATATAATTGGCGGACTTTAACAGATGTTACCAATCTAAAACTGGTAAAATATTCAACTCTTAAATGTTTCTTAAATGTTAGACATGACCAAGCCTGTAAAGCAATACTAAATAGTTTAAAAAAATAATTTCTTGATTATATACAGAATTTGAACAAGTTGTCCGTATAAAAGACAGACGTTTTCACATCCTCGTCTATCTGGACTATTTTAAGCACAGAATTGTATTATATAATTGTCATTCTATAGAGACTTGGAGCAAGTCTACATTTAACAAGGCCGGAGTGGGTGGCTCAGTCGGTACAGGCGCACTAAATCATTGAGAAAAGTCTCGTCTTCAGGACAGGTCACGAGTTATTCTTTGGAATTCTATCCCGCCCCTCGCATTTCAGAAGATATCATTCAGAATGCTATTTCCTATAGATTACATTTCAGAAGACTGAGTGAGTGAGTTGAGTTTTACGCCGCTTTTAGCAATTCTAGCAATATCAGGGCAGGGGACACCAGAAATGGGCTTCACACAATTTACCCATGTGGGGAATCGAACCCGGGTCATCGGTATGACGAGCGAACGCTTTAACCACTAGGCCACCACACCGCCACCATTAAAGAAGATATCACTGAAAGAAATAAACATTATTCGTGGCATTCGCTCAAGTTTTACCATGCATACTATTGGCAACGGTATGCATGGTAAAACTTGAGCGAATGCCACGAATAATGTTCTTTTCAACCCCACTTAGAAGAACCCAGTAGTGTTGGGTCATTCTGAAGGGATTGAAATGAATACACATACACTCAGAAACCATATGACCCAGATACTACCGAAAGAAGCAAATCCTCTTTTGCAGTCGTTCATGGAGCCATGAGCGGATCCACAACTGACATAATTAAATAAAGAATAACAACAAATTCTTCGTTAAATACTTTTTCCTACCACATCTGTCATATTACACATCGTGTCAGCGTTGACATTGCTCAGAAGAAAGATAATTTCGTGTAGTCCCGGAAATATAACTATCACAACAAATTTAGTACACGCTCTTAACCTGTGTATTTCAAGTAAATACAATCCCCTAAGCGTCGCCCGTGAAGAATATAAAGGGAGGTAACTGCAGGGGGATAAAATTACATTTGTGGATCTCACATGGTCAGAAACATCGAGAAGCAAGCTCTCAGTATCCACAGAGCTGCATCATTGGTTGTGTCGGGATAAAGACTAACACATTGCAGATTTGCCTGATATTCTTGATAAGACGTGGGAAAACGTATTTTTAAAAATGGAAAGCGATAAGCCTCAAGAGGAACAGAAACCATCAGAAAGTGCGGTTGATATTTCTCTCGAATCGGACGGTGGGATTTTGAAAGAAATTTTACGAGAGGGCGAAGGCCACACAAGTCCATCTCCCGGAGACACCGTGTTTGTTCATTATGTGGGGACACTCACAAATGGGGAAAAGTTTGATTCCAGCAGAGATAGGGAAGAGAAGTTCGAATTTCAGCTGGGAAGAGGTAGGTAGCTCACGCAAACGAAACGATAACGAAACTTGTATGCTCGGAGATCACTGAAATTGATCTCCATGTTGGTATTTGTAAGTTATTTCAAGGTTAGTATCATTTAATCGATGCGAGAAGGTAGATTTCAGTTATTTTGTTATAAATAATTGTTTTCAGAACCGGTCTTTGTAGTAAAATTTAAGAGATGAATTCAGGGGAGATAATCACATGTTTTACTACTATTTGGAAAATTATCTCCCTTCGACCTTACTTTCTTTGCCTTAAACGGGAAGTGAACACAGCGAAAATCACATTTTATCTTATGTTAAATTTTACAATCATTTAATATCAAAGTTTGAAAACATACACTGATTTTTCTTACATAAAACATAGAATTGCTCAGTATAAGCATTGACATGTGCCATATGGGGTCTTTGGTTTCAGAGCTAAACAGACCAGAGTTACCCCTCTTAGGTTATAATGTAATTGTTGATAATTGATTTAGACTGGTCTCCTCTCTAGTCCCAAAGCAAAAGATGATGAAATTAAATTAAAAAGTGTGTAAAAATAAAGAAAGATGATGCCTAAAAGCAGTGTATGAAATAAGCCAAAAACCCAGGCCGACATCAGGGCTGGTAACATTTTGGAGTGGATTTAACCAGACCAGACACCAAGATATGGTGAATTTACTCAGATGTATGAAACATCTTCTATTTTTACCAGACCATCAGGCTGGTTAGCTGTTAATTTAGACCGTTCGTCAGAAATCTAGCCTATTTTGGGCAGTCGGATGGGCCTTATTTCATACACTGATATAAGGCACATTGATGATGTGTATTTCCATTCATAAACCTCACCTCAATACCAAATATGTAGATATCATTAACAGTAAAGTGACCTTTACAAATTGTGTGTTCACCGGCGCGAATATGTGGCATATTAGGAAGAAGACTTGTTGATTCCTGGATTGTATAAATGTGACATTACATTATCAGAAATATTCTGACAACCTGTGTGTTGTTATTTTCTTTTCGTTCCATTGTAACTGTTGAATACAGACAGAAAATGGGAAGTACCCTTGTCATTGTGTGTGTTTGCATCACACATAGCGTTATGCTTCACTGAAACTAATTAGTGTTTATGTACATGGGTTTACTAAAGCGCACAGAATACAACCATATCTTGAAGTAAAGTGTCTGTGTATTCTTGAAAAACAATACGTCAGTAATAAACTGATTGCTTGCTTATTGACATCTAAGTGAATGACATGTTATAGAGCCATGGACATGACAGTAGTTGTGACGTGTGCTATATCAGCTGACCAATGATACTTTACACCTGTGTGAAAAACCTGAAACAAATTTCCTAACCAGCTGAGAAACAAACACCAGTTATGATATATTGTAAACCAAAAGTCATTGTGTTCTTTAATCTGATTGGTTGCAAAACATGATCAGATGGTTATTCGATTCCTGGAAATTCGCTGCATATTAATACATACAAACATCGCTCACACCATTGTATTGTTACGTCATCAGCTGTGCTGACGTCATTAAAATCATATTGTGGTTTTAAGTCCGAATGACGTCACAAATAAGCAGTTCCAAATGCTACCATGGGAGACAGCCGAAACGGCCGGTTGATGACATCTCACTGCTGTGCCCGTACTCGATGTCAATGAGTGCAGACACAAAAATGTGTGTGGACCTTTTGGTTTACTTTTGTGTTTACAATATCGATAAACATCATGTGTTCCAAATGAATTCCCGAGTATTCAAATACTCAATAACTCCGGCTGATATTGGCCAACACATGATGTTTATCTCCTAATTGAAGTGCCATATATTACAATATTAGATTGTTAAGAATACACATAACACCTTTTTTTTTTGTTAGCTGCAGACATATTTATAAAATGCTCACATATTTTATTCGCTTTGAAACTGACTGAAAACTCTGTCTATTTTTTAGACAGATTGACTAAATCTTTCAAGAAATTCTCAAAAGGTGCTAAAAAATAAAACAGTAGACTAATTATGCTAGGATTAGAAAACCCCTTTCAATCCTAGTATTTTCAGTCACTGGGAAATGAAATTAAACTTCAGATTCAGAATGATTACAATTATTGTCATAATACAAAATAGACAGATTTGGCAGTCAAGTAGTAAAATATCTGAAATATTAAGAGATTTTGTTAACAGCGAAAAGTGTAAATTTCAGTTGTTTTACACATTGACCTCAGCATACATGCTCACGATCACATTGATAAGCAATTTTCAGGTAAAATAATTAGTTTTTGTTAGAAGTCTAAATAGTGTGAAAACAATTGCTGATAACCAAACAATTGACATTCTGGATGATGATCAGCAAGCTTGTTGTCATGTGTCAGTATTGTTCATTGTAATACACTGGTGTAATTGCTCTAGATTTTCTAGTTAGTTTACTGTTGGAAATTGACACGTAACTGTCCATTTGTTTGTCTTCATTGTGTTTCTATTACTGGTACTTGTTTGTAGGTAAGGTGATCAAGGCATGGGATCAGGGCGTGGCAACGATGAAGCGTGGAGAGCTGGCCAAGTTTTGGTGTAAACCGGAGTACGCGTATGGCGAGGCAGGTGCCCCACCCAAGATTCCCCCTAATGCTACACTTGTATTCGAAGTAGAATTATTCGACTGGAAAGGTAAAACATCATGGGAACTTTTGCAGAAATTAACAGGCCAGACTTTTATGTCTTGTTTACATATTGCAATATTTCTTCTAAGAACTGGTATATTGGGTAAAGAACGTATATGAAGTTTTTGTGATTATCTTTATGCTTTAAACATGTTAAATTAAACACTCACTTTCATTCACAACAGATGTTTTCCTTCACTATTCAATTACAAAACAACATACTGTAATGCAATGAATTGTATACAAACAGAAAATAGAATCCATGCCTATGCAACCTTATTTTGAGATTGCTGTTATCAGAACCATAGCATGTATGTTTAGGGACTTAAAATGTAGAAAATAGGATCGACATGTACAATTAGTGGCACTTTGTCAAACACTTAAGTTCCCAATATATTGAGATACATATTGCAATACGGGTACCTGATTCGCAGTATATTGCAATGCCCTAGTCTTTGGTATCTGATCTCCAGAAAGTTATCTGAATGTATTGTCACATATTCAGTGTTATTTTGAGCTTGTCTCATTGTAACCATGGTAATCTATTGCTTTGCAGTTACCTATTTTATTGTGAAGTCATTGATCGTGATGATTTGATTGAGTGAGTTTAGTTTTACGCCGCACTCAGCAATATTCCAGCTATATGGCGGCGGTCTGTAAATAATTGAGTCTAGACCAGACAATCCAGTGGTCAACAGCATGAGCATCGATCTGCGCAATTGGGAACCCATGACATGTGTCACCAATCCCGATCCCGTTAGTCACCTCTTACAACAAGCATGGGTTATTGAAGATCAATATTCTAACCCAGACCTTTACGGGTATCATGTTGATTTGAAAGTTTGGTATTGATCTATCAATTCAGTGTTATGATATGTCAGTGTCTTCTGTAGGTATGGGGATGAAAAATGCCATTTAAACCTGCAATTGATCAACTTGAATATTAAATTTAAATTGAAGTTTATGCCAATTGTATCTCAACTAAGTAATCTTATTAAATGTAGGTTATGAGGTAGCCAGCTAGTTAAAACATTTTGTTCATCGCACCGAAGCCCAGGGTTTCATTCCTCACATATGTACAATGTGTAAATCTTTTTCTGGTGTCCCTTCAAACCTAGGTTTGACATTTTCGAAATACAATTATACAACTATTTTTTCCTGTAGTATTTCAAATGAGCAAAGAATCTGTAAACCAGTTTTAAAATGTCTCCACTAAGCATCTTAAAAAGCCTTAAAAATGGTATAATACCTGATTTCCTGTCAAAATGTTTCCATATCTTTGAAGTGAGTAGTCAAGTTTGATTCTTAACATAAACTATTTTTATGTTGCATTTGTAGGTGATGATATAACAGAAAGTAAAGATGGCGGCATCATTAAGCACGAAATAAAGAAAGGCGACGGGTTCAAAACTCCAAATGATGGCGCCATGGTAAATGGTAAGTATGAACTTGCTCAGGATAATGAGTAATTGGATTGTAAATAGTCATACTCTGTTAGCTTGTTCACTGCTCATGATACTCCAAGGCATGCCAGGGTGAACTGGTCATCTAAGGTGCACCAGTTTGTTGTGCAGAGCTGCTTCCCTTTGTAGTGCCAGAGATGTGTGATCATAGGTTTGAATCCAAGATTCACACTGATGTTTATAAGCTTGTTAGAACTGTGTATGTTGTCTTGATATTCATCAGATTTGTTGACTTCACTTCAGGCTTTCCAATATGTATTTGCACACAGTGAAATGAGAAATTCAAAACAAAACATCAGTAACCATGGCAACCAAACTGATTTTCTGACAAACTGATTCACTGTCAGACAATGCTCTTTCACTTGTGGATCTATTGTCGTAAGCAATGATAACTGGTAACTTCATTGTCAGTCTGTCTGTCCATTGAGAATCTGTAGCATTAAGACAATTATAACTATGTGTGTTGCTTTCTTGCAGTTCATTATAGTGGTCTATACGAGGGTAAAGTGTTTGAAGAGCGCGATGTAGAGTTCGAGGTTGGAGAGGGGTCAGAAAAGGGCATTGTAGAAGGTCTGGAGATAATTGCGAAGAACTTAAAGAGTGGTGAGAAAGCCAGGTTTGATGTATCATCCCAGTATGCCTATGGAGCAGTAGGAAATAAGGACTTCAATATCCCTCCTGGAGCCACTGTGGAGTATGAAGTGGAGTTGAAGTCCTTTGAAAAGGTAGGATTTGAGATTATTTGTTTGTATTTCAATGCTGTCAGGACCATTAAAGTGAAAGGTCATATTGAATGCAGTGTAAAGGTACATCAGAAATTAGGAAGCAAAATCTTTTTCAAAAAAGCTGTTGAAGTAGTACATGTAACAATATTTACACCTGTGAAATGTGACTGTTGGAGTTATCTCCGCTTGCAACATTTGGTAAGCACAGAAGAACCCTGTTAGAGCTTTTCATCAGGCTTTTGTGGCAGTGTGTTTGTGTTGTTGACTGTTGGTCGTCTTGTTCAAGGTGAAGGAAGGCTGGGAGATGGACACAAAGGAGAAGCTGGAACAGTCCGAGATTGCCAAATCTAAAGGAACAACATTTTTTAAGGTACCAAAGTTGCAAATAAGAAATCGAGACATACTGTGAGTTTTGAAATCTGTAGCTGCTGTGATGTTGTAAGAGCTTAGGGACCATTCGTAATTCATGGCTAGGGGGAAGCGAGAGATCGGGGGTCATCAATTTTGTACACATGAACTTTGGGGAGGGGGGGGTCAGCGATATTGACATGCTAGGAGGTCACTTTGTACATAAATTGGGGAAAAGGCATTCACATGCTTCTCCCAAAAAATCATCATATTGATTGAAGACTATTACTTGCTCACCTGGGTACAACTTGTATTTTCACTTTTGTATACTTTGTGTTTGTAATTTCAGGCAGGGAATTATAAGAAGGCAATACAGCACTACCAGAAGATCGTGTCGTACCTGGAGTTTGAGACGAGTCTCGAGGAGGAGGACCAAAAGAAGCGCGACGTGCTGATGTTGGCGTCACACCTGAACTTGGCCATGTGCCACCTGAAGTCCGGCGACAGTCTCGGGGCTGTGGAGCAGTGTGATAAAGCTCTTGAATTTGATAAAAAGAGTGCCAAGGCTCTATTCAGGAGAGGACAGGTAAATGTTTATTATTTAACCTTCATCATGAACTGAAAATGTAATTATCTTTTTATCGACGAGGAGTGTCATTGATGCTTCTTAAAATTTCATGAGAATATGTGCACATAATATCTTATTACTACAGTCTCCATCCTGAACTGAAAATGATTGACAAGGAGTGTCATTTTGGCATCTCAAAATTTCATGAATATGTTTTTCTGTCGCAGGCCCGATTCCAGACCAGCGAGTACGAAGAGGCTCGTGGTCGATTACGAGGAAGTGTTGAAGGTGGAACCCGATAATAAGGCTGCCAGGAATCAAATAGTTCTGTGTAACCAGAAAATAAAACAGTTCAAAGATAAGCAGAAGAAGCTCTATGCGGGAATGTTCACAAAGTTTGCAGAGCGAGATGCCAAGAATGCTCCAAAGGTAGGCTGTGTGTGATAATGTTGTGAGAACGCATGTAGGTAAATTAACAGATTATATGTGGATGTGTTAGGACTGTTGCCCAAACATTTAATTGATGTAAGAAATGAACATCCTTAAGCTATAAACTGATTCCTTCAGATTAAAACACATCATCATACTGACAATAAGTCTGCTTTACCAGCCATTTAGCGTATTTGGGCCTGTCAGTATTTTTATTACTCTGATGCAAGTAAATAGAAAAATGAAAAATGGATTGATTTGGGACAATAATATATCAGGGATAGAAATACTTTTTTTTCTAAGTGTGCCTTAGGGCACCAGACAAATATTTTAGGTGTGCCTTTCAGAAATCGAGTATGCCCACATGTTTTTAGAATAAATGACAATGATGATGATCATTTGAAATTTAGTGTTAAATAAAGAAATGGGTTTATAAGCATTGAAATATGTATGGTATTATTCAGTTTGGTAAAAAATAATTGTTTGGGGGATTAAATGACTAAATGTGAGCTATGTCTCCAGAAAATTAGGCATGTCAAAAGGGCACAGAGAACATCTTTTAACCGTGTCATTTCAATATTTACCGTGCCATGGCACACTAACATATGGGGTATTTCGAACCCTGTATATACATCCAAAGATGGTCAGAGGTTGATCTTTGCCATATGCAGTAAAACATGGCACCTATGACTTTAGTTTGTGATCCGCCATTTCGATTTCCTCACTGTTCATGATATTCATGGTCCAGTATGAAATACCGGTAGCTCAGATTGATCATGACTGAGCTTGGGCTTGATTTTAGCCATGTAAGTTGAGGTTTCACAGATGTTACTATGTTGATAACCTTCCTGGTGATGTGTGTGTGTTCTTTGTCAGGAGTACTGTACTAATGCTGTACGCTGTACAGTAATATATAGATACTAGATCCGCCATGAGTTTAATAAAAATGGTATTTCACAGAAGCGAAATATTTTAGCGTTTAGTATTCTTTTTATTACTCTCCAACATGAATTGATAGAAACTGCCTACAGTGTGATGACTCTCAGCTTTCCGTGAGTCAGGCAAGGTCTAATACCATTGTGACAGAGGTATTAGAATTGTTATGTCATAACTGTAAACCATTATGACGTCATACATCTACCGGTATTACACTAGTGTAATATTGTCGTAAATATATTACACTGCAGTATCTTCCACCGGTGAGTAATAAAGCAGAGTAACAGTTCTGTAGGGTTTATAACATGTGTTATTACACTAGTGTAATATTGTCGTAAATATGTTACACTGCAGTATCTTCCACCGGTGAGTAATAAAGCAGAGTAACAGTTCTGTAGGGTTTATAACATGTGTTGTTCAATTCATTGTTGATTGTGACTTACTGTGTTTGAGGTTCACTGACAAACAGACATGTTGGTTGATTGATTGCTAATGTTGACAGTGACTGACTTGGACCAGCTTGTTATCCAGGCTACAAGACGTTTTATCTCTTTGTTGCTGTTATTTAGGCCTGTTTGTTAATATGGCCCCAGTAAATACAGGTTGGGGAAGTTAGGTTGTCACTGTTACCTGACCACCAAAGTCCAGTGATTATCTATGTATTCTGTAAAATATTATTAAAAGAATGTACATACATGTAAATTCTAGGTATGTCTTTTGTCCAATGTTGTCCAGTTAGCATTAAGATGGTATCTTGGTATTATGTTATTCAGAAAGAACTTAGTATTAAGATTGTACCATAGTATTCAGAAACATTATTAGTGTCAAAGTGGTACCTTGGTATTCAGAAAGAAGCTTAGTATTAAGATGGTACCATGGTATTCAGCGGAACCTTGGTATGACAATGGTACCATGGTATTCAGAAAGATCTTTAGTATTAAGCTAGTACCTAATAGTGTATAGGTCCATACTATGGACAGACATACTCTTATGTGATCAGGATGCCTCTTAGCCAGACATTTCTATCTTTCTTTGATAACTGTATCTGGTCCAGACCTCGGTATTTACTGTTGTATGGGCTTCCCTTTATTTTACGAAAAAATAGAACACGTAATTCAAAATGCTGTTGAATTAAATTATTCTTTAAAAAATTGTAGAAAAATTAGGGAATTAATCTCAAATCAACCCTGAGAATATATTTATATTTTATTCATTTTGCCTTCTGTAGTGATGGTGGTTATGGCTGAAGAAGAAACCACATTAAACTTAATGTATGTTCAGCCAAGAGAAGGGGCGGTGGGGTAGCCTAATGGTTATAGCATTGGCTCGTCACGCCGAAGACCCGGGTTCGAATCCCCACATGGGCACAATGTGTGAAGCCCATTTCTGGTGTCCCCTGCCGTGATGTTGCTGGAATATTGCTAAAAGCGGCGTAAAACCAAACTCAGTCAGTCAGTCAGTCAGCCAAGAGATGCATACATGTTATTTTCAATAAATAATTGTCTGTATTATTATTTTGGTTCTATTTGCCTTTTTTTCATGAAAATCCTGGTGCAGCACAAGGTAAAACTCATAATGTATTTCATTTTAAAAAATCATTCTTTCCCATAAAGTTAATCTTTTTGCAAAATGTAAAGACATCCATCTTGCTTCCGAATAAAAAACTTAGCATTTCACACTTCACTCTCTCTTGCCAAGAAAAAGGTTTATTATTTTGAAAAGATCCAAAATTGTTTGAAAAAAAATGTATTGTGCCAAAGTAAGTTTGAGTCTGTTCCTATTTGCTTGTAGATAATAAATAATGACGATCTGCTAGTAGATGAATGGACGAATGATATGGCACGAGGAATGATGCCGCTTGAACAGGAAATGGAAGCATTTGGCGAGAAAATGCCAGACAAAGATGCATCAAATGCAAATGGAACAGAAGAGATGTGACAGTAGCAACACTTACTTGCACAGGGTACGATATACAAGCATTACTTATTGGCATGCAGTTTTGGCAAAGATTTTCTTGGCAAGAGTGAAGTCATACATGTTCTGCCAAGAGGTATAACAATGATGTAAAACATCTTGTCGGAGTTGATTTGAGGTTAATTTCTTTAAATATATTCTCCCAAAGAAAAGAGCTCAATCCCAAACTTTCTGAATGAATTATACTTTTGTGACTTAATTGACTGGATAATATTGGGCAGGTGTATCTTGAAAACAAATTGTTGCCTAAGCATCACTGCACAAGTACTTCCCCTGATTATAGATTATAGATGTGATTTTAGTTGATGTTGAGTGTTCATTGTAGATGGTACAATTACTTAAGTTACCGGAGTTAACTTTGCAGAGTTGTGTCCCTTGGGCATACCGAAGTCCTTTGCTTGTAGGTTTGAGTTGGATCTGATTGCCTGCAACACACCTGCATTGATACTGATTTCACCATCGTTAACATTAAGATCTGTGTTGTGTCGTGTTGACATGCGGAGTTGTTTCCCCTTGACAAGTCAGGTCTTAAAAGTGGTGATGTGCATGACCTGCTTTCTGTTATGTTAATGTGTTCTTGGATAACTAAAATGGTGCCAAAATGGCGTTAAACCCAGCAGAAACATTTTATGTTGCAGGTGGAAGAATCTGCAAACGAAGCCCCAGAGCCGGAGTCCACCAACGGGGAGATAGAGGTTGAAAATGGAGGTGACGAATCATCTGCCACTGAGACCACAACTGCAGAACCAGCTGAGGCATAAACTTTGTCTTTGACCTTGTGACGTTTCATTCGATGTTACCATGGTCATGTCACATATTTCCATCTTAAAATAAATCAAGAATCTGCATTAATGCATTTTGTAAACAATTTTATACCTGTCTGTGATTACCGATAAGTGTCTATGAAATTGAAATCATTTTTTATGGAGTGTACATTTCTGTTGATACCTGAATAATAGATGGTAGTAAACTCAGTGTTTGAAAATGTAGAGATGAAGCAACTGCATAAAGATAAAAGTGTTTGAAAATGTAGAGATGAAGCAACTGCATAAAGATAAAATACTGTTTGAGATAAGGACCACTGATAATGATGTTAGCTGATTGTTAGTTTCTGATGGTCAACATCCAGGGAACTGGTCAGCTGACTTATACGGGAGTCAGCTGAGTTATACGGGAGTCAGCTGACTTATACGGGAGTCAGCTGAGTTATACCGGAGTCAGCATTATACCGGGGTCAGCTGACTTATATCGGGGTCAGCTGACTTATACCGGAGTCAGCTGACTGATACCGCTACAAGTGTTGTTGAGGATCTCTCAATACTGATTATTGATTAGGAACACCAGGTGTCCGTGTCTCACCTGTTGCTGGAGGAAGCCAGATGTTCAGATTCATGGCAGCAGAATGTGTTATAGTGACAGGTTATGTAGAGTACAGTTTGACCCGGGTTCGAATCCCCACATGGGTACAACGTGTGAATCCCATTTCTGGTGTCCCCAACGTGATGTTGTTGGCATATTGCTAAAAGCGGCTTAAAACCAAACTCAGTCAGTCAGTCAGCCATTCCACAAAACAATCTAAGTGCTAAGATGTCTGTAACTTGTTTTCTCAAAAATAGAATGAGGGTAGTCATAGAACTCTTGTGGAACTAGGTCATAATTTACAAGTGATCTTAGTGCTAAGACAGTCTTAAGTCTTATACTGTAAAATCCTGTACAACAGCTCTGTTGTATGGTTCTGGCCTCCTTGTTGGACACTTGTCCCTTAGTACTGCATGTGTGGCCTGTGCTCAGATTCAGGAGTTACTGCCCATACCGTCAAGATTATTATGTTTCATCTGGTCCTTGGTCCTGAGAAGTCAAAGATGGCAAGTAGTATGGAGTTATTACAAAGGCAAATTTGGGGACCAAGTACCTGCAAGAAAAGCAAATGCAGATGCTACAACCTTTTCTTAGTACCATTCAACCATTCCTCATAAGTATGTCTGTATTGTGTTGTGTGTTTTTCATCTTCCATCGTCCCACGTAAAACTGAAGAAACTGTTTTTGTATCCTTCCATCTGCCTGCTGACTCTGTAGTCCAAAGCTAAAGATATAATCAAAATATTTCATGTTTATTAAAAATAGTCAGTGTATTGTCATGATGGCGAAGATACGTGTATTTGAATAAGGGAAGTAACTCTGATTCTTGCTCTGCTTTTCCGTGTTTTGATTCCTCTGTCCTTTTCCTTCTAATTTTGTCATCACTGCCACAAGCAATCCATTCACTGAGAATATGGCACAGAAGAAATAGTCAACCAGTTTTGACATAAACTGAAACAAGTGAAACAGCGTTTTTAGGGTATATTCCTGCTTCGTTACAGTTGACTCGCCTTCAGGGTGAGCAGTGAATGAAATACACAGAAAATAACATAAATGGCCTATCAAGCTTATCATGTCTCTCCATTCCATCAGCAAGACTGAAAGCTTCACCACACTTTGGATGTAATTATTATAGGTGAATATGTGTGTGTGTTTGATAGTACAAGAACCGCCATGCTGTCAGTAATGTCAGTTTACGATCGTCATTATTATATGTATATGTTTAGTTTCATCTGGGACCTACATTGACACATAAAGTTGGTATAAAATCCATTGTTTTGTTTGTTGCCATCAGTTCTGTTCTCGACTGCCTCCGTAGTGTAGTGGTTAGAGCGTCCGCCCGGAGAGCGGAAGGTCGCGGGTTCGATCCCCGACCGCGTCATACCAAAAGACGTTAAAATATGGTACTTGTTGGTCCCTGCCTGGCGCCCGGCATTAATGGGTACAACAAGAACTGGTCGGTTCGGAGTCAGTATAATGTGTCTGAGTGGGGTATTCATGCTTCACTGCGGCATGGTATCTCAGTGGGCTAGCACTATAAAACCAGCTTAAGTCTGGGCTAGTACAAGCAGCCGCACATACACATACACACGCATGCACGTCGTCATATGAGCGAAATATTCTCAAGCACGACGTAAAACCCAATTTCACCTCACCTCAGTTCTGTTCCCAGCAATGAATCAAACCTACTGAGCATCAAGTCGCTGTTCCCCAGGCAGAGTTACTGAAGGGCTTAAGTTGTCACTGTGGGCTAGGTACTGCATGAGTGAGTGAGTTTAGCTTTACGCCACACTCAGCAAAATTTCAGCTTTATGGCGGCGGTCTGTAAATAATTGAGTCTGGACCAGACAATCCAGTGATCAACAACATGCGCATCGATCTGCGCAATTGGGATACGATGACCTGTCAACCAAGCCAGCTAGCCAAACCCCTCGATCCTGTTATTCGCCTCTTACGACAAGTGTCGGTTACTGAAGATCAATTCTCTCTGGTATCTTCACAGGTAGGTACTGCAACAGGATTGGACAACAAACAGAAAGGTGTATGAAAGAATGATGCTCATGACCATTAATAATCAAGCCACCTCAAACCTTCATTTTTCAAATATACAACAACCCCCCCACCCCACCCCTACCCTTTTATTTGTCCATCTGCATTGTTTTGTTTGCGCCCGTACAACAATGTAAGCCAACATGTTCTGTTAATTGTCATGTACCACCAAGTCTTCATCTTTAACCATTCACTACCATCACTTCATACCTCCAGATGTATTCCAGTGTTAAGGCTTGGTCGCTGCAATTTGTGTATATCTTATAAGGTGAGAAGTGGTGACAAGTCTTCAAGCTCGCTGGATTGGTTGATAGTGTGTTGAAGTACCTCCGCAACATGGATCGTTGCTCATGTTATCGATCACTGGTTTGACGTGTATACAGGAAATGTATAATACCGAGTGCGGGTTGAACAATTCAAACCCACAAAACCCCCCTTGATGGAGTTCACTGATGTTTAAGCATGTTATAGGTATATATTTGTTATAGTTTGCAAGATATCGGGTAGAAAGTAAAGAGCAAATTCTTGTATATTTTTAATGGTGTGTTTAAAGCCATGTTTTCAAATCAATACAAAACACTGTCCTTTAAATATCATCCCTATTCATTTTTGCGCATTAACGAGCATATGCACCTTCTTGAATGTACACACACTGGTATCTTTGGACCACAAACATTCAGAGATCGTATACGCCCTCAGCCCACTGGTGATTAAGTGCTGTGAGTTTGGGTCATCTTACCTCTTTTGTGTGGAACATTGTTAATAAAATGAATCATTGGTTTGTCTGGTCCAGATTCGATCATACGCATGCGGCCAAGAGCTGCAGTATTGTGTGAGGCATTAAATAACAAACATACATACGAGTAATATATGTGGTTTTGATTTCAGTAATCAGGAGTCCACAAATGCTAATCTGTCTAAAAATATTGCATATATTTGCGAATAAATAACTTTCTAAAATGTGTCGAAGGCACATGTGCTATCCGTGCTGCACTAGCCATGCCTATATGCCTACAATGAGTTCAACAGCATCCTTAAAGTATTCGTTAGCCAGATCCGAAGCTAGTTTCTTATCGGCGTTTAAGGCACGTCGGTTAACTCCACTTTTCAGCAACATCTCAACAACTTCAAGATGGTGTACGCCATCAACCCGGGTATACTGAGGGAACCCGGATGTGAGCGGCAACTTGACTGCGTCTAATAATTCCAGGACTTCCTCTTTATACAGCGCCGGAAGTCGAATGTTGTTTTGGAGGTAGATAATGCCTCTCGAGGCAGCAATGTGCAAAGGGGTGTTTCCGAACTTATCAATAAGTCGAATGTCCTCGGATACTTTGAGAATGCTTTCGACGGCTTTTAGGTGGCCACTTCCGGTAGCAAGATGAATGCATGGTATTCCACAAGGCCCGACAATTGAAGAATTAGCACCATAGTACAGAAGTATCATCACAGTTTCAAAATGGCCCATATTTGCAGCTTCCTGAACGGCCGTATTTCCAGCAGCATTTAGAGCATTTATATCACATTTGGTTGTCAACAAAACTTTAACGACATCGTCAGAACCGTTGATGGCAGCTGCATGAAGTGCACTTTGACCTCCTCGATCCAACATGGCGGGATCAGCGCCATGTTCCAACAGAACATTCAAAGCGTTCACATTACCCGTCTGAGCAGCCAGAGTCAATGGGATTTTGTCAGCAAGCGGTGAATTCACATCACAACCCTCGCATAGAAGTCCCTTCAGCCGATCCATCTCCGCATCCAGCACACAGATGTGAATATCACACGACTTACGAGGATGGTGACGCCTGTAATCACAATCCAACGCCACATATTTTTTTACCTGCCAGCCAACAGGTAACGCATCAATCTTGTTAAGAAGATGCTGACCAAGGCACGCCCTAATTCGGCGCCTGCAGTGGCCTTGTAAGGAGCAAGGCTGATTTACATTGAAGTCCTGAAGCTGATCAAAGTCTTCCTGAAGAACTGGCGGATTCTCCAACATCGTCTCGATCACCTCGAATACGTTCCTGCCGCTTAGATCCGTAGAAGGGATCAGGGCTTGCAACAACCTCGCCCTCTGTTTCTGCACAAGTTCATTCACAGGTCGGGTTTTCATAACCAGTGTGAGCGGAAGTATGACCTTTCCACTTTGTTTGTCCTTGAACTTGGAGTTGGCGTCTGCGCCGTACAGGAGCAGGAATAGGGCCATCTCGTACTGTGGTCTGTTTGGTTGGATGGCGAGATGAAGCGGTGTCAGTCCGTCCTTGTCCTTTGCTTCAAGGTCACAGCCGTGGTCTGCCAGCAAGCATGCACCATAGAGTTCGTTCCGGTCGACGGCGACGTGCAATGCCGTCATCATGTGCTTGTTCACAATGTTGATGTCACAGCCATATGACAGCATCATCTTCATCAAGCCAATCATGTCCGTCATCTTACGTCTTCTGACTTCCAGTTGGTATTTAGACGGAATTGCCGCCATTAAGGGTGTGAACAGAGGGCAACTGTTGCTTTCATAAGTTTGCAGACTCTTGTCAGCTCCATTTTCAAGAAGCACTTTTGAAACTTTGACGCTCACGTTAGCGCAAGCGCGAAATAGAGGCGTCTCTCCACTGGAGTCTTGTTGGTTGATATCAGCACCCCTGTCGATCAGAAGCTGTGCCACCTGGTGGCGGTCATACCATCCCGTAGCACCAAGGGGAGTAACTCCCCTAATATCAGCACGGTTTATGTCCGCTCCTTTGTTAAGCAAGGCTACAGCGATTTCATACTTCCCATCTTTTGCAGCACAGAAAAGTGGCGTTCGTTCAAATTTATTCCCAGCATTAGGGTTGAAGGCCCGAGCGCCCATGATACGAACTGCTATGTTGAACCGCTCAGCTTCCAGCGCTTGGGTGAAGGCCGTTTCCCGGATGTAGGTGGCGTTAATGTCAGCGCCTCTCTCAACCAAGCCAACGACAGTATCCAGCTCGCCATTTTTGATAGCTTCATGAAGGCTGGATATCAGCGACATGTTTGTCTTCTTGTGTTGACTTGACCCGTCAAGCCTAAAACGAAAAATAAATAATATGACTATTCTTAAAATTAGAAATTCTGTTACATATAATGATTTATATTATAAACGGGTGAGGTAAAACGCACAGAGACCATTCCTTGAGCGTTAGACTGAGTGGGCGACATTATTTAAGCCACACCACAAGTCAGTATATAATGTGAAGAAGAACCCAATTCCAAACGTCTACTGCACTGATGGGAATCACGAATAGTGCTAACAAACCAATCATCATAAGGAACCTGGATCATAATTAAGTGGCTCCATGCATATCTATGAGACGTTGTTACGGCCTGCTTTAGTCTGTCGTACAGACCCTGAAGCAAATATATCCAAGAAAGCCCACGCAAGTCTAGAACATGTGGCAAGTCTACATTTCCTCAGCTTCAGGCCCACACCGCTGGCAGTAGGACCCAGAGGTGGTGGGGGCAGTAAATATTCCTGTCACACACAATTAACGCAGTAATTGGTGATAAGAACCTGTGTACATGTGAAATTCCAAGAAATTATCCCTCTGCAGATTTGTTTAGTCTCTGAAAATGAAGAAAGTCTCAGGGCTCGTTTTCATTATATATATATTTTTTTTTACTATGAACTTTTTTCAGTAAAATATGTTCATTTCAGAGAGTAGTTGTTAGTCTAGGCCTGCTTATACATGTGCGTTAAGCTAAACCCGAACTGTTTGAGTTCAAGGTTTGTATCTGAATGGCACATACTTCATGGATGTGATCACGTGTGCTTCACGTGACTGTCTCCTAGTTTGCTGTGTGGATAAATGAATTAAGAACGGATTCAATCGACCAGTACAGAACAAGCTCCATTAATGTCCATTCATGTGTCTCACACGCCCTCTAAATGTGTTGTAGTAATGTAATTTTACGTCATGTGGAACATTAAGTATATATTATGAATGCGTATGAAATCGTAACCACATTTTTGGCCGCAAATGCTTTGTACAAACCAGCGATGAGGTTTCCGCGAGAAACGTCCCTGTATTTTCAACGAACAGTAAGTGTGGGCTTTGACAGACCACTGTATGCTGGTGTCTGAGAAGATACACAACATGAACAAGTAGGTTTCCGTTTTACACAAACGTTCTAGATGCCTTTCCATTTGCTGAAGATCAGTTCTAACCCGGATCTCCATGGGTCTGCAGCAGCAGCTGGGTTAAGCCGCATGTAAACCCGCGTTCATTGCTGTGCTGTTGGCATAGCCCTGAACCAAAACAACGCAGATGTCTTTCTAAACCTACCCTGGTATATGTTGATCTCACAAGAGTCAGCTGATGAAAGTTCAAAATGGCGGCTCACCAGACGTGAGTTCATCCAAGGCTGGTTCGGATTATGTGTTTATCAGTATCAGTCAACAAGCCGATGTAATGTGCTCGACGTCGTTTATTGTAATCGCAGTGTGGATATTGCAATTTAATATCAGTAGTCATGTTTTTAGAGAAGTGTCCCGCATAACTAACCCAACTGAGTTCCTGTCGCCATTAGTAAGAGGAGCTTGTAAACTGAGATACCAGCAATCTGGTTCCCGGTCGCTCTTCCGGTCTGTCACTGCTTGTGCTCTTCCGGTCTGTCACTGCTTGTGCTCTTCCGGTCTAGAACATATATCTTTCCATTTTCTCCATGTTAATAGTAGGATTCTCTTGGGTATGGGAGACTGGGGACTTTCTTTCCTTAACAGACAGTTGGTACCAGTTTAAGTTGTCGGCCATGTTCCTTCATTTACATCTGCGTATTTTAAGGTCGAGGGTGTCCTAGACCAAGGATAATTAACGCCATCAAATGTAACGTAGGCACTGTTTTAGGCGTGGAGCAACAGCCTGTCATTCCGTACACAATGTGTCAAATATACAAATTCATACAGTATTAGGATTTTATAGCGTCCAATCTGATCATAAATACGATCCGAAATATATAATTAAAGCGGTCGATGTATGATAGGTATCAGTATTCTTATTTAATAAATTACACCAACTACCACTGTAACCCATAGCACTTTCCAGACACACATTCTCTGAATCAATACTTCAGTACTACGTATACATCTCGTAAAAAGGGCTAATAACAACCAGCTTGTAAATATTATTAAAACAAAGACGGTGATTCATTAATGCCTTCATATATATTATATTTTTGCTGTGAATGTACTGATATATTGTACTTGTTATGATTTACAAACGTTCTTCTTCTCCCATGTATATTCATTGTGTGCATGCATAACCTGAGTAAACTCTTGAGAGAGAGAGAGGCACTAGTTGTACAGAAGCACTTGCTAGTTGTACAGAAGAACTTGCTAGTTGTACAGAAGCACTTGCTAGTAGTACAGAAGTACTTGCTAGTTGTACAGAAGCACTTGCTAGTTGTACAGAAGCACTTGCTAGTTGTACAGAAGTACTAGTTGTTGTACAGAAGCACTTGCTAGTTGTACAGAAGCACTTGCTAGTTGTACAGAAGAACTTGCTAGTTGTACAGAAGTACTTGCTAGTTGTACAGAGGCACAAGTTGTACAGAAGAACTTACTAGTTGTACAGAAGCACTTGCTAGTTGTACAGAAGCACTTGCTAGTTGTACAGAAGCACTTCATGACTTGTACAGAAGCACTTGCTAGTTGTACAGAAGCACTTGCTAGTTGTACAGAAGCACTTGCTAGTTGTACAGAAGCACTTGCTAGTTGTAGAGCTACTTGTACAGAAGCACTTTGCTTGTACAGAAGTACTTGCTAGTTGTACAGAAGCACTTGCTAGTTGTACAGAAGCACTTGCTAGTTGTACAGAAGCACTTGCTAGTTGTACAGAAGCACTTGCTAGTTGTACAGAAGCACTTGCTAGTTTGTACAGAAGAGAGCACTTGCTAGTTGTACAGAAGCACTTTGCTAGTTGTACAGAAGTACTTGCTACTTGTACAGAAGCACTTGCTAGTTGTACAGAAGCACTTGCTACTTGTACAGAAGTACTTGCTAGTTGTACAGAAGTACTTGCTAGTTGTACAGAAGTACTTGCTAATTGTACAGAAGCACTAGTTGTACAGAAGCACTTGCTAGTTGTACAGAAGCACTTGCTAGTTGTACAGAAGTACTTGCTACTTGTACAGAAGCACTTGCTACTTGTACAGAAGCACTTGCTACTTGTACAGAAGTACTTGCTACTTGTACAGAAGTACTTTCTTGTACAGAGTCACTAGTTGTACAGAAGCACTTGCTAGTTGTACAGAAGTACTTGCTAGTTGTACAGAAGTACTTGCTACTTGTACAGAAGATCTTGCTAGTTGTACAGAAGTACTTGCTAGTTGTACAGAAGCACTTGCTAGTTGTACAGAAGTACTTGCTACTTGTACAGAAGATCTTGCTAGTTGTACAGAAGCACTTGCTAGTTGTACAGAAGCACTTGCTAGTTGTACAGAAGCACTTGCTACTTGTACAGAAGCACTTGCTAGTTGTACAGAAGCACTTGCTAGTTGTACAGAAGCACTTGCTAGTTGTACAGAAGAACTTGCTAGTTGTACAGAAGCACTTGCTAGTTGTACAGAAGCACTTGCTAGTTGTACAGAAGCACTTGCTAGTTGTACAGAAGCACTTGCTAGTTGTACAGAAGCACTTGCTACTTGTACAGAAGCACTTGCTAGTTGTACAGAAGCACTTGCTAGTTGTACAGAAGCACTTGCTAGTTGTACAGAAGCACTTGCTAGTTGTACAGAAGTACTTGCTAGTTGTACAGAAGTACTTGCTACTTGTACAGAAGCACTTGCTAGTTGTACAGAAGTACTTGCTAGTTGTACAGAAGCACTTGCTAGTTGTACAGAAGCACTTGCTAGTTGTACAGAAGCACTTGCTACTTGTACAGAAGCACTTGCTAGTTGTACAGAAGCACTTGCTAGTTGTACAGAAGTACTTGCTACTTGTACAGAAGCACTTGCTAGTTGTACAGAAGCACTTGCTACTTGTACAGAAGTACTTGCTAGTTGTACAGAAGTACTTGCTAGTTGTACAGAAGCACTTGCTAGTTGTACAGAAGTACTTGCTAGTTGTACAGAAGCACTTGCTAGTTGTACAGAAGCACTTGCTAGTTGTACAGAAGCACTTGCTAGTTGTACAGAAGCACTTGCTACTAGTTGTACAGAAGCACTTGCTAGTTGTACAGAAGACTTGCTAGTTGTACAGAAGTACTTGCTAGTTGTACAGAAGCACTTGCTAGTTGTACAGAAGCACTTGCTAGTTGTACAGAAGCACTTGCTAGTTGTACAGAAGCACTTGCTTGGCACAGTTGTACAGAAGCACTTGCTAGTTGTACAGAAGTACTTGCTAGTTGTACAGAAGTACTTGCTAGTTGTACAGAAGCACTTGCTAGTTGTACAGAAGTACTTGCTACTTGTACAGAAGCACTTGCTAGTTGTACAGAAGAACTTACTAGTTGTACAGAAGCACTTGCTAGTTGTACAGAAGCACTTGCTAGTTGTACAGAAGCACTTGCTAGTTGTACAGAAGCACTTGCTAGTTGTACAGAAGTACTTGCTAGTTGTACAGAAGTACTTGCTAGTTGTACAGAAGCACTTGCTACTTGTACAGAAGCACTTGCTAGTTGTACAGAAGCACTTGCTAGTTGTACAGAAGCACTTGCTAGTTGTACAGAAGCACTTGCTAGTTGTACAGAAGCACTTGCTAGTTGTACAGAAGTACTTGCTAGTTGTACAGAAGCACTTGCTAGTTGTACAGAAGCACTTGCTAGTTGTACAGAAGCACTTGCTAGTTGTACAGAAGCACTTGCTACTTGTACAGAAGCACTTGCTAGTTGTACAGAAGCACTTGCTAGTTGTACAGAAGCACTTGCTAGTTGTACAGAAGTACTTGCTAGTTGTACAGAAGCACTAGTTGTACAGAAGCACTTGCTAGTTGTACAGAAGTACTTGCTAGTTGTACAGAAGTACTTGCTACTTGTACAAAAGATCTTGCTAGTTGTACAGAAGTACTTGCTGTTGTACAGAAGAACTTGCT